TGAAAGCAAAATTTGACAAACATTGAAAGAGTTTTGTGAGTCACTATATGTGCTTGCCAGGATGCCTCTGAAGGTAAGTTCTATTGGTCAGTTTAGTCAGGTCTGCACTAAATGACATGTAACTTAGCCCTCATTGAGGCATACAACAGATGCGAACACCTCCACTGAGATATTAGCAATAGAAATGTCATGCTAAATGAAGAATTTTCTGATGGCATGAAAGAGATAGGTATCCTCAATGATTGAGATCACAGCAGACTGGTAAATGCAACCTCTCCTGCCTTCAATTGTCATACAGTGAGTTTCTGTCACACAGCATCTATGGTCATTCTAAACACTTACTTTTCTGTTTACTGTGTAGGATACTTGACAGTTCATGTCAATACAGTTGCTAATGGAGACAGGGAAGTCACATGATATTCTGGATGACATTGAATCTATTCTCTAGGTCCTACTTTTTATCACAGTATACTACTTCGCTCATCAGGGTGACTTCAATATAGATATTTTTGATCACTACAGAGAGCTGCCATGTGAACCAATAGGGATGAAATCTGTTGGGAATAAGATGAAGGTGGCCTGGCTCAATGCCCGAGATGTCACTTTTGACTATTCCATGCTCTATAAGATCATCACGGACCTGAGTGATTTCTATTTACAATATCACAATCTTATGGAGGCTGCCAAGAGAGCTAAAGATCCAAAGCTAATTCAAGATCCCAAGCTCGCCCAAGATTCTATACAATCTCTAGCGACATTTGAGAATGAACTCAAACAAAACTTGCGCCAACTGCTCATGCATTTTGATCAGGTTTTGAATGGCCCCACCTCTGACTGGAGCAATAGGGAGTCAGTTGAGGATCTTTATTCTAAGCCTTCTGCTAGAGAGGTTGACCAAAATCTAGCACGTAATCAGTAAATTCAGACCAAACTGGGTGCGTGGCCTGAAAGCAGTTTCCAATCAGATAAAGAGTCTCAGTCTGAGGAGGTGAACGATGCAGACCAAAAGGAGACACCTGAACTGATGACTTTATGCAGAGGCAGAAGTAGCACTGCCAAAGGTAAAATGAAGGAAACTCCCAAGTCAACCCAGATGCCCTCAGCCACACTTGTGTCCTCTGCTATCTCGAACTCTTCCTGAGGCAGGAAAAGATCAAAGTGCGACATCAAGGTTAAGGATGAAGATAATAGTGCAGGTCTATCTCATACAGCTCTCGCTGATATCGCAGAGAAGGAACATGACAATAAGAAAGATACCGTTGAACTCCGATGGAGTAGTCACCTCACTATGAAGGGGGTAGCACAGCGAGTCACGAAGAAGGCAAGAAGGTTTTTCTATTAATGAGTTATACTGTGGTATGGACATCTACTATCTCATTAAGGACACTCTCACATACAATAGAACTGACAATTTTTAATCTATACAAAGAACCAGATTTGAATCCAGTTATTATATAAAGGCTGTTTGCTCAGATACAAGGATCCAAAAGACTGATAGGGGATATCTAGCTATTCTATATATGTCACATCCCTATTCATGACTTCCTTGTTGTTTCGATCTCTGTCCCCTCTCTAAGCCCCTTTTCAAAGCCTTACTTCAGGCCTTGATACACTCAGCACCATATCAAAATGTGCGCATCTTTTACCTTCGAGGGTTCACCCTCCTTACCAACAGAAGAGGTCAAAATTGCCAGAAACAAGAAGTTCTACTTCGAACATGTCATCTTTCACATAAACCAATAACAGTCATACATCAGGCTCATAATATGCTCAATAATCTTGATAAACTTATCAGGTCGAGGGGATATTATTCAGAGTCAATCGTCAGAATTTTGAAGTCTCAGAGATATTCAGCTCCATGCCAATCTGAAAAGCACTCTTTCCTGTATAGCAATGGCCATTCTATATAGCGAGTGTGAAGCTACAGAGTGCTATATAGTGCTGTATAGCTACTGGCTGAATTATGCAAGAATAAACCATTCTGCTTAAACTTACTGCTCTACCAAATCTGGAAATGCATATGTTGTCATCGTTCATCACATTGCGAGTGCCAGCTATGGTTGTCTATGTGTCCTATGACTGCTACGACTGCTACAATATTCTATGCCTCCATCACTCCCTCTCTTGCAGCATACCTCAACTCTGTCACTCGAAGCCATGTAACTACTTTCCCTCTTGCCAACTAGGTCAAGCATAGGTCAATACAGATACCGTCATCCTGTCATCAAGCCTCCCCATGAGCACTGTCTATTGGTTCTTCTACTATAGGCCTATCTTTTCTCAATGTATCAGCAAGGAGGGATGTCATGAATAATATCGGAAGGAGAAGTTTGGACTTCTGAGTCCTCTCGAACATTTTGACACCCTGGCTGTGCATTGCATGACAGTATGGAGACCCATTATTCACCAAGGACTCCTTATACTAGCAAACTTTCTGAGATGGCTCGTAGTCCTACTGACTAGTCAGATTCAAATTCAAATCCAACTGAGGGCTCATCACATCTAAATTTGTCAAATTTTGATGAAGTCACTGCTGACACTTTATTATTGTCCCTAATCCAGATGATGACATCCCGAACCACCATTCGCAGAATCGGGGCTGACATGGATTGGTTCATTATGAGCATTGGAGACATGCTCCTCTGGAGTATAGCAGAGACTGCCCTCAGTGACCCGCTTCCTGACCTCCTTCGCACTCACCTATAAACCTCACTCTTCACGGAACCTGCGAGGATTGACTCTTCAACTGATGGCAGTGTCCATGGTCCAATTCATTACTTTTGCATGCCTGAATATGCTTCTCATTTGGATGCCTTGATGAATGTTCTACTAGTTTTTGCTCATGCAGAAGTCATGCCTAGCGACATCCAGTTGACAAATATCCTGGCTTACATTCTCGGGATCTTGCCCATCTCTCTCAGCCATTTCTAATATTTGCTATGTATATGGCATACTCAAGCAAATGAGTGTCACAGCTCTTTCTTCACATGGGCCTTCTTCGAGCGGCAGCTTATCTCTCATGGAGAAAAACCCCACATTCGCAACTGGATAGTGCAATATCCTTATTTGCATTTGCTAACATATTTACTAATTGTATCACCCACTATATCATCAATATATATACTATTATTAGCACTCATAAGCATGATTTTCAAGGGGGAAAACAAATAAAACATATCAACAATATCTCAGAAAATATACTAATCTGGGCAAGGTTTCAATGCCTGACTAGTCTGATACAAAGAAGCTCGTGATGGTTTTCCTGGCACTCATAGCGACGCATAGCAGCTGTAATGACAACTATATAGTTCAACTGGTTCTACAGAGAGCTATATAGAGGGAGGTGCACTTTGGACCTATACGTGCTACTAGCCCTATATAGCACTATACTGTAGGTTTTTGACCATTCCGGGAGTCACGCATCACAGGCATCCCATTCTGCCCATATTTTGACCCAGGTCACAGGTCACAGAGGCCATTTTGCTGGCACTAAATGGCCTCAGATGAGACAATCAGTGTTGTCACTGACGCCTATCAGACACCGTCAGTCGGCCTTTGACTGTCTCTCCATCGAAACTGTCAGTAGGTGTCAGACGACTCTCAGTGAAAATCACAAATATGCACAAACAAGAATTTAAGTATATAATAAGTACATAAGAAATGATTATACACGAATGCACGCTTTACACCATGCATTGTTCTTCAAGTTGTTATGGCTACTTTGAGCCATCTGAGTAGAAAAGATCCCATCAAGGGCCCCTTAGGGACATCTCAGCAAGGAGGTTTTAGTACCAATTGTCATGCCGGTGTTTACTGCCAAGCTACCATAGAGATATGTTGTACAGAATAAATGGATGAATCTATTTGTAATTTTTTAATCAAATTCTGCTAGCGGCTGAGCAAACTCTCATCAGATGATTGGAACTGACCCCGTCTGACACTGACACCTCACTGACACTGACTGACACCCTCAGTCCTAAGTTGACAACACTGGAGACAATTACCTCAAATTACCTAAATATGGCAATTTTTTGGGCGCTTCGCGCCAATGTCACACCAAATCAAGGCCTCCACCGCATGCCCAGAGTAGTGTCCATGGTCACACATCACAACCTGCCCCGAAGTGGTCGAAAACCTACAGTATAGCCCTTCGACAACTTCCAGATGTGTTCATTTTACCTCAAGTCGAAAATGCACATACAGAAGGCTTGGATGATGAATACCCTATTTACTTAGAGGGTATCCAAAGCAATGAATTCCAAATCTTCTTAGAGTACATGTACAGCATGTAAGAAAACCTGCTCTGTTCTGCGTCAACTTCAAACTAATCCTACCAACATCCACAGATACTTACGTCCAGATGGGCCACATGCTTTTTCCAGTACGGAATCAACAATTGCATTATGCCTTGCCACCATGTGGTCTTTCCAAAGGATCAGAGATTGGGCCATCCGGGATCTTTCATGCACTCTGCAAGAGAACCCTATCGAACGGGTTCGACTCTCATGACGGTACAACATCGACGATTGGCTCGTACCTGCTCTGAACCAAATCTGTCAGAGACGAGGACCTATGACTGCAGCGGACATAGGTGTCCTAGAAGTAGAGGATGTCTTCAAATTGGTGAACGTGCGCGATCGTTACTATAGGGAACATATCCCGGTTGGACCTTATAGGAAGCGCCATCCTACCACTGGACAGATCCTTCACGAAAGTGACCCATCCCATGCCGACTTCTCCCAGCTCGTTCGAGAGGTCTTTGGGATTCATCCTCCTATATGAGATCCTATGACCGAAAGAAAGAAGGCATCTGGTTATCGCCGCTTGCAAGAGGAAGAGGCTTGGACTTTGGGCTACCGTTGATACATAAATTATTAGCAACACTTTAAATCGTGGTCGCCCTGCTGAATTCTGCGGCCAATTTCGTCTCATTTTGGAAACTGATTATAGGGCGTAATGAAGTACTTAGCTTACCTGGGATCCATTTATCTATGAATAGGGCGGATGGTCAAATCATCGTCATTGAGATCATATGTCGTAACCACAAGAAAGAGTTAAATTACTGTCCTTAATGCCAGGAAGGTTAGGCAGTCCTATCAGACGAAATGTCGAATCGACAACCCCTTCATACCTTGACGCCTCGGTCTTAGATGATTTCTAGATGAACCAGTCCGCTCGGCAGAAACGACACACCTTCCCTAACACTTTCGACAAACATATTCATATAGTGAACCTGTGAGCTTGTAGGAGATGTATTTTTTGGAAAGTCCGGATGGAAACGGAGGTTGACGCGTTTCAATGTTGAACGGAACCTGGAGAGGCTTCGGACTAGGATGTCGTCTCTAAATTGGAGCCGGCGGAGCGACAATGAATGTGTCCGCACGTGGAAATCAAATGTGAGCTCCTTTATGGTGGCAGGAATGGTGGTGAGGATAGGAAGCGTCTTGGACCACATCCACTCTATCTCCATATGAGAGAAAGTCAATGTAAGAGAATCCAGATGTGTGCAACAATAGAGACAGACATCGTCCCAAGAATACCGTACTATAATAAACAATCACGTTAGCTAATTTGTGTAGACATAGAACAAAGAATGCTCACACTGAGTAGCAACGAACTCGAGGTGTCTTAATGACGAAGAAGCATTCGCAATCAAATTCGCACATATTTTAGTGTTGAGCGATCCGTCGTCAGTATCTATTTTGAGATATTCCAGGGTTTGATTATAGGATATAACGCGGCTCAGGATTGCGGTACAAGCGTCGTTGTTACGGACAGAGGTAAGGCGAGTGATACAGGCAGGAATCCGTTGATATCGGTCTTCACGAAGGTTAGGGAGCGTGGCAGACTTGGGTACACGTTCGGGCGGCAAGCGAGTCGAAAGAACGATCAAATCCTTCGGACGGCACATGAAGAGAAATTCGGCCATAGGGAGATCGTTCGTGAAGCGGACACCGCGCAGTGTAAGGCGCGGCAGACAGGACGGCCGAGCAGTTTCATACGACGGTAGCGTCTGATTTTTCCTATCCAGAGAACCTAGCTTACAGTAAGAAAGCTCGAGATGTTGGAGTGAAGGGAGATGTCTGAGCAAAATTTGGATCTCAGGGACCGATAACCCATAAGAGATAACCACATCGGCTTGCACATGCACCTCTTGAACGTACGGAGTGACGGAGGATGATCTTAGGTAGATCATGACGTCCTTGTTTATGACCTTTTTATGCTAACCAACTTTCAGGACACGGAAGAGGTGGTACCGACAACGCCCGAGAAGTAAAGAAGACGCGAGACTGCACTGTTTGAGAGTTCTGGACTCGTGGTACAAATAGTCGATGATTTGATCCAAAAGTTCCTGAGGCAGAATGGCCGACATGATGGTATGAACAAGAGGGTGAATAGCCGCCCACTGTCTGTGGCCATTTAAACTTCGGCCTGCGTCGGCAATTTGTAGTTGCTGGCTTTGTCTATTCAACTGATAACATACTTTTATGTTTTCTTCACAAAAGGATGGTACCTTCAACACTTCAAGTCGCCTTCTAGAGATAGTCAGACTTCCATTCGTTGAGTCGAGAGATAACTTACATATAGTCATTGCCGGCATTCGGGAGGATGAAAGTTTGATATACTTGTCGCCTCAGTTCTTTTCCAAGGCTCTATGACACGTCTCCCATACCTGTTTACATTCATCGCTTGGGACACCTCAATATACTCCGGAATTCGGAGGTCCTGGATGTCTGGAAACAATGATAATGATAGCACCTCGGAACCCGTTGAATCTCAAGAGGCCTTTATAATGTGTAAATGGTCGAAGACGTTCCATCGAATAGACCCAGCGTGAGACGCCAACAGTCTTCGTCCACGCTTGTGGCGACGAGGACGGATCTTGTGCAGCGATATCGATACCTGTGAAATTAACGTTCGTATTCACAGCGAGATCTACCTCAGCGGCTTAGCGAGGACATCAAGATTACGCGGGTAGCAATCAGATGAACATCATTTCGAGTTTGTGAAACTGGAATAGGAGAAATAAGCTCGCAACGTGGCATACGTTAGCAGGGACAGCCTTTGAAGATATATCCAAGAAAGCACGGTCTGTGACCCTCAACGCGTTCATAGGCTCGCGATGCAGTTCTCAAATCAGGCCGAGCTTATTGAGAAAGGGACGCCCCTGAAGGATCAAAGTGTGAGGCGACTCGTGAGTGATCAGAGCTAGCAAATTTTTCTGTAGGGCACGTTTATTCCGCGTGGATATCCAACTGAGATACGCACATGTTGTGTGAGGCAATCTAGCGAGAACACGTCACCGCCAAAGCCTCCTGCAGAAAGGGGCGTTCCAGAACACCTGACAGAGTAGATAGCGGCAACATTGGGGGTGAAGAGCTGGGTGTCTAAAAGACGTCGTCTTGAGCTAGTCGAGGAACATGCGTGGCGGCACTATGCCAGGGGCGAACGGGCGCTAGACTTGTGGGTGCGATGTACAAACAGCGCTTATTGACCGAGCATTACTTGTTTTGGAAGTACCGACGATCATCCCGCCGCTCATGTAAGTTGGAGCGGAAGAATCGAAAAACGAGATCCGAGTGGCGGCAGACTAGGCTAGCAGCAACTCCGACCCCTGTAGACGGAAACGGTCTCGATAAGTGTGCCACGCACGACAATGTGTTTTCCTAATCAGTAATCTATCGGATTTTATAAACCCTCTCTCTCATATGAACACCCGCTACTCCTCCTTTATCCCGCACAATGGCCAACATGGAGCGCAAGTCAAAGTCTGGTGACAACTGGACCTACGACGATCTACTTTCCTATAATATCAGGCTCGAGTACCAGGACTTTTCTGCATTCTTCGAAGCCACCGAACTCCCCGAGCCCAACCTTGTCGATCCAGAAATCCTCACGGCCGCGGATGCTTGGAAGACAACCACAAATGATGCCTACGCCGTCCTTCACATGATGCGTTTATCACATAAATCTACGACGACAGAAAACGATCCTGCCACGACAGACTTCGCTTTCTTGCTCCTCCGCAGTTTGGGATATACGAAGAGGGACAGACTGGTGAGGACTAGACAGCCTTATGGGTTAATCGTCGCCGGAGAGAATAAGATTGGAAATAGCGACCTAACCATCGTTGATGAGAAGAATAATGTCATGTTAGTCTTCCGGGAGGACAAACGTTACAGAGATGTCCCCTCCGACATCCAGCTCATCGCTGAAGGTATCGCCGCCTTAGCCACTCGTAATCTGAGACGAAGGCCCTTTGGCTTACCGCTGATAGCGAATAAAATCATTCCGGGCATACTCATGCGAGGATCTTTCCCGATCTTTTACAAGATCGCCGCGACTTCGACGCTGACGGAGGCGATCAAGAGAGGAGACTACCCAGGAAAGGAGGCTGTCGTCTACGTACACATTCCTGTCATGCCCAGACCTGAGAAGAGAGCTGACGAGGGCATGATTCCACTTGACAATCGCAAGATTATCTTGTCCTACTTCGAAGCGTTCAGGAAGTTCGTCTGACCACTGTGCTGTGCTGTGAGTCCGAGTCAGTCACTTACATCACACCTCTCCATACTTACCTTTCTTTTTGGAAGCAGGTTATGCTCTAAGTCACCGGCATTCTCATATCCTCCATGTAGTTTCCATTTCCCCTCAGATTTCAATTCTTCAACCTCAAACGCCGACACTGCCGAATTCGAAGATGGATCCCTGCATCGATCATTTCAGGGTCCGCTCATCGCCATTGAGCACCATCCACCACCCACTGGTGAACCCTCTCTTGTCTGATAGGGTTACCTCCCTTATCTCAATCCAGTGTCCTTTCCAGTCCCCCCTCGCACTCACTCGACATATATGATGCTTCTTGTACATACTACCTTACCAAACTGTTTCAGCAACTTTCCTTTCATCATGGCTCCTATCCCTTTCTTTCGGCGAAGAATGTATGAAAGACAATGCCGCGTTGTCGAATGACTACTAATGAGATTGCCAGGTTATTTGCTTATCGTTTACATTTCTGTACGACCATCGTGTAAGTACTTACCTTTCAATGCGTCCATCTCCTTCCATCAGAATTGTCTTTAACATTTTCCCCGTGTCGTTACTCTGAAATAAACTTATTTTTGTCCAAGACGGGAGACAGAAGGGATGATGAGGGCAAACCTACTGATCGGGAGGTGATCGATTATCGAGCGCTATTTTGGACTTGGTTTTTTTGTTTTGATCTTCGTACGTGAGACACCAGTGTTGATTCCCGGTGTTGACGCAGGAGTTGCTGGAAGAGATCATTAAAATTGACCTTAAACCCGCTACACAGCGACGTCAGCAATCTCACACAATGCTCTCGCCTCCTCTCCGCCATCGTACCCGTCTCCATGTGGCTCTTCCGTATCTTGCGCATTCGCCACAAATCAAGATTGCGTATTCTTGAACCTTTCCTCGCTTCATCCCCAGTGTCGTATTATTTACATCAAAGAACACCGTTGTCGAAGGGCCTAATATCACTCCCAGTTGCATCTTTCAAGTATCGATCCTTCAGATACGTAGATTTTTCACTCATCTTCTATCACTTCAATGTCTCATTCGTCACGGTCTGCTACACAGGTACTCCATCCCTACACAATGCATGAATGCCATATACACAATGTCTACACCGGTTTCAGTTTTACCTTTCCTTTGCAAGGCTGATCGATCATGAGCATCATCCTTTGTCAATTCATGGATGTCCTTAGTTGAACGGACCGCTTTTGTCACAGTCCTCCTCAGATACCTGAATCCAGTGTCAGGAAACAAAGAAACGAGTCTGTGAGACAGGTTGGCCTTCTTTTTCCTACCGATGATCGTCTTTGCTATGATAGCGGCAAGGCAGAAATTCGACTCTCCGTGCACATACAGTGTTGAACTGAACAACGCCAACACGCTCACGCATTCATCTGTATAATGATACTCTACAAATCTCTATCCAACGTAAACGACTGTAGTGTAGTAATTGTCTCGATGACCAGATCAATATGGCCACATCCAACGCATTCGCGGCTTTCATGGACAACAGAACTAAATGAGATTCGTTCTTAGACGCTATATGTTCAAAGCAGCTCCACCGACATCAGAAGTTGTGGATTCGTTGAATCCTTCCCAATTGTGGGATACCTGACAGCAGCAAGGTTCCAATGTACATCCTTAGCCACCTTCGATGGGGAGAAACGGAACGACTCGAGAAGGGTCGAAAGCACGACCTCTAAAGAATTGCAAGAGTGTAAGCGAAGCACGAAGATCAAAGAGCGACCGGGACTTGCTCATTTCCAACTGAGAAAACTTAAACCCGCTAAAGACAGAATAAACGTCAGTACTTGATACAGGGTTGAATAGACTCGATGAACTCACAGGCAGCTCCGTCCTCCGCCAAGGAAAGTCATTCTGTCATTTCAAGGATGAGACTAAGTCACTGTGCGAGAGATAATGGACCCACTGGTTTGAGTAAACGCCTGGGATGTGAGCTTCAGTGACAGTCTTGGGAAGGGGCTCAAGCCAACGCTCCGGTTTCCACTCCCTGACATCATCACCCCAGATTTCTCTGTTTAGGTTAGAAGCTCGAATACCGATGACGACAGATGTATCTTTCGGAATGGGTATTTCCTGTATGGGCTGACCGTCGACACCATGAATCGGTTGTGACAACGGCATAACGACATCTTTCTTAGTCCTGGCGCGACTCGTTGTTTAGTACATGAGAGCAGATTCTAGGCAATGTTACGTACTCTCGAGATACGAATGTGGACGGGGGATACCTATGGGAAAACCTGTTAGAACAGACAAACAGACGACGAGGCATGTAGACCTCACAATCGTAGAGTCTCCCGGCAAACAGCATCCATGTATGGCAAAGCAATGAGTTTATCATACGATATATCTCCGTCTGCTTCGTCACGTGCTTGGAGGATCTCAGTTCGTAGTTTCTCTTGGGCTTCGGGATGTGTTGCAAGGGTCTGCATAATCTGAGCGAGCGTATTTGAAGTTGTATCGGTTGCTGCGAGGACTAGGACACTATACGAAGCTTAGCAGATAGACAGTGATTAGGAGGATACAACTTAACTTACGACATTTGAGCCAGGAGTTCCTCTTCAGGCATGCGTTCTTCCTCGGACGCCTCCATATTGGCACGTACTACGTACGTGTTCAATGCAGTCAACCAGAATAAGAACAGGAACAACATACGCAAGACACTGATAACGTCCTTCCCTTCACCGACTTGCTTAATGACCACTTCGTCGCCAGCTCGAAGCGCATCCTTCTTGAGCTGAAGGACAGATGTCGCATTTTGATACATGGTATCGGAAAGCTGTTTCATATACTGGACACGTTTGATGGGGAGAGAATCCACCATCAAACGAAGAATGTACTTGGGGAACAACGCTGAAAGTAGGGGTTGGAACTTATACCACACCAGGCGCAGCACGGAAATATTGAACAGAGCCGGCCTGGTGTCATATCGTCATAGATGAAGTTCCCGCTAGAATCAAGCGAAACTCACAAGAATTCTTTCATCGCGGCGGCGTAGTCGTCATGTCGATCCTCCAGCAGAGGATCGAAGGAGTAACCGAGGCCACCTTGACCAATCAACTCGAGCGCGGTACGATGCATCCAACGAAGAACGTCTACATCTCCATCTCTGTTGTCCAATTCTTTCTTCAAACCACCTCTTAGCTGCGAAAGAGGAGATTAAGTATTAATTGGAGATGATAGCGTTCCGTACAAACATTATGAGCAACCCGATAAAATATTGGTGTCATCCGTCTCATGTGATTGATAGAAAAGACCGGGTTGAGCGTTTTGCGCTGCCGACGATGATGTTCACCTGCACGGTTAAAACAATTGTAGCTTGTGTCTTGGAGATGATAGTAAGTAGGACTCACCAAATGTCGAAAACAGCCCGGGCCCAATGGTAGCATGAATAGACCTTACTGAATTTCAACCACAGAAAACCACTACGAAGGGTGGATATACTGACGTCCCAGTAAAGCCAGATTGCTCATATATAAATTGGTCCTTGACGACAATGTGATGCAATGCCTTGGGATCGAATACGAATAACATCTTGCGCTATAGGTCCCATTAGAAGGTTAGGCTACAGCCCATAAACAGTAGAACTGACCCCTAGAGGCCCCATTAGCTTGACAACAGGACCATACTTCTCACCAATCTCGTCTTGGAAGTCCCAACCGTGACGATCAAACAAACGATCGACATTTCCTGCACGATAATCCTCATTAGTGGCAACTCGTCATCACGATGTTGACATACCTTTCAGGAATGAACTATTTGTGGGACCGGGGATGTTATCCAAAGGAGAACGAGAGAACAAATGACCAACAATCTTCCATGTGATCCACGAGACTATGACGGCCAGGACACCCTTCGAAAGTGTACCGTCCAACACTTCCAGAACCATTGGAAGATAGATGGCAATAGCTAGATGTAGAAAAGCCGTTGAAAGCAAGAACACATCTATACTAGGTTCGAGAATACACATATATATACATACGCGGGAGTTTGCCTGTGGTTCGCTTCACAACGTTTGTACCGAGTCGCACGGACAAATGAAATCGAGGCTAGATAAAGAAAGTCATTGACATACCGCGATGACGCAGTAGCCTAACGGACATACAGCACATCAACAATTGGGTTGGCTTGTTGTCCTCATGATTAGCCTCACGACTGTCTTTTCGCACAGCAGGTATCCAACGCTTTCTAAAAGGACAGGCAACGACAACTCGTTAGTAATGCTTCAAGCCATAACAGAGGATCCACGGTGAGATGCGTCTGGCAAAGCTTGACAACATAAGCAGAGTGGGAGGACGTAAAATGTACTGACCAAATGCGCCATCTGCGATGATTGCTTCTTATGATTACCATAGGTGACTCCGCCTTAAAATAGATTCCTGCTAGCGCTTGCACCTTCTGATACTGATAATGCAAAGGCGTCAGATGACCTATTCGCTGACGATGCATATTCCTTACCCCCGGCAGCAAGCGTAATTCGCGGTTGGAATAAAACTGAAACGGTACAATGTAGGTCAAACCCCTCTTCAACTGCAGAATTATCCGTGACAGAGAGAAATGCGGAAGCACTATAACACCGCACCTGCTGCCGAACTCTCCATAATATAATGCGTCTCACGTACTTCAAGAGGCTGGATGAACTTAGGACTCGGCCTGTGTAAGACAACCACGAGCATGACCTATGCCATCAACGAAGGTGCTGTGAGTTCTGAAAACCCCGTCCGATTGGCATGAGGATGCTATGTCACGGTTCAGGTCAAGTATCCGTGAACATCGTAGGATGCGTCGCAAGCGTGATGAAAGGATTGTTGACATAAGCCTGTTCTTCCAAATCGGAAGAGGATGCCGCCTATGAGAAATGTGCCAGAAGATGAAACCATCAGGCAACAGGCTAACGTCGGCAGGTCTGAAAGGACATGAAATAAATTAGGCACGTTATGACTGAATGACATAGGAGCTCCATAGTCATACGTTGAAGTATATCTTTGCAAGGGGGTTGGCTGCGTTGGAGGAAGAATTACCGGTTTTCGAACATTCTGCCACTCCTATGGTCCACAAAATATAGTCGCCTAAGGTTGGCGCGTAATACCACGGCCTTTGGTGTCCCTTGAGCTTGAGAGCTTGAGGCTTTGGATAAGAATAAAGCATCTAAGCCTCGAGGTCAGCCGAGTCCGAGTCCGTGACTATGGTAAATACCTTAAAGTCAGATAGTACGGTACAGAAAAAAGAAGGTATAGATAGTATCTTGAAGTTCGACCTCGGTAGAAAACAAGATCTTTGCCATATGTCCGCCGGTGCGAATTGTAAACGTTGATTACAACGGGACGCCTAGAGATGCGAAAAGTCACACGCGCGTGGTCGCGAACTAAGAAATATGCCGGGCGGGTTCATTTCCACGTGCATTTACTACATCTTGTATGTTCCTATGAAGTTTAAACATTTGTCTTCTGGCATAAGTACAATGCCCTACCCTTGATATTGCCTGACTCACAATCTCATAGAGCCCCATAGTCCAACGATACAAGCGCAGAACCCCTTCTGGCCGATACTGCACAGTTCCTCATCGGATGCTCCCAGAACCTCCTCCGTAAGCCGAATCGAGCCACTCTCTCAAACGTCCACGTCGAGTCTCCATTAGATCTCCATGAACATCCTTGGCAATTTCTCCCATACCCTCCAGGAGTTGAACAAATTCGTCACGACCAAGCATTACATACGCGTCCTCGTGTAGACGGTGTGGACACCTGGAAAGGAGAATAACGACAGCGTCGTCCACGAAGCTCGTTTTCCTTGACTGGACCTGTGACATGCCTTCAACGCTCTTTCCCATGGCAGTGAGCTGGGGCTGAATGAATGCAGCTATCCATTGCGATATGAGCCACCAAGACTCCCCGTCTAAAGCAGAAAGGTCGAGTGCACTGCGGAGATTACTGAGTGGAACATTGTCTTGGTTAAGCTGGTAACGGATGGTTCGTAGAATGAGACAAATTATGGTGGGACTGCTTGTAAATGAATTTTCTTTCATGACTTCATCAATTACAATCGCCAAGGTCTGGACGAGCGACATGTGGTGAACAGCAGAAGCTTTCTCCGCGAACCTCAAAAGAACTCGATCGCCCTGAAGCTTCATGTAAGGGGAATGGTTGGGCATATCCAAAAGAGTACGAGTGTAGTTGAACATGTTGTCCTTCGAAAGACCCAGGAGTGCATCATCAAAGCACGGACAATTGAGTGTCCTGTTGAAATCGAGATCCGACTCAGAGTAGTCCGGATCCGAATCACTGGCGAACTTGGCGAACTTGGTAGCGAACTCAGTAAAATGGGACTCAAAACATTTGCTAAGAACTAGAGAGAGTGGAGGCTGAGGTAGGTCCGGGAAGTGCGGAAGAAGTTTACCAATGATACCTGAGCCTTGGAACCAAGATAGCCAATCGTTACCGTCACTGCTGATGGATGAGTGCACCGTCCGAATATTCGAATTGAGCACTGTGTTGAGGCCATCAACGATTCCAGCGAGACAAGCCTTGCATGTTTGTTCCCAATGCAGTAAGGGGCCAAGGCCTTCGAGCACACTCGACGTTCTCCCCGACAGATGACACCGTACCATCTGCAGCACCGCAACTTGCCTAATCGAGGCCTCGATCTCAGTTATCAGAAGATGAGAATCTGTATCCTCAACTCCGTGGAACGTCTTGACGAGCGTCTGACTTAGAGATTGAGCACACCTCTCGAGGAGGTACCTCAGGACGTTCAATACAACCGGATGTGAAACGAAGTTGACCCTGTCCAGGGGAAGGGATCTCGTACGCTTCGCGATATGCACCCGCCGATCTGCCCACTGATGGTATGAATCCCAGGCATCCGCTCGTACATGTCCACATCGAGAAACAGCCCAGCTGCCTACTCCTAGTCCAAGCGATTCCGTGTATTGACGTGGCAGTGACAGTGAGTCAGAGACAGAGATTAAGAAATTTGGATCCGTGAATTCGGTACCATGGGGATGTTGAACATGAGTGTCAGGCAGGAGGATATTGAGAACGTCTCTCAACCACTGAGGATAGTCTGAGTTGAGCTGTCCTAGAGGAGCTATATGAGTATTAGCCCCGCGAACGAAACAGTCCGTGATGGCTGTTAGAGTGCATAAACGCGTCTCTATTGCTTCTAGCAGAGGGTAGAGACTTTCAACGATTGAGATATCGCCAGACTGAAGGTGTCGCTCGGCAGCAAGGAAGACAATCCTATGTAGAAATGCCTCGTCGCACCAAGATTGGGGATGACGAAGTAGGAATGCTTTGAGTTCCTCATTCGTTATAAAGTTAGCTAGTTTCGCCAGGAGGCAGACTTGGATCTTCTCAGCTCGCATGCGGAGGAATGGACGTTGAGACGAATTTATACTTTGTTCCAGAATGTGAAGTCGTTGCACATTGTCGTGTACAGAACCAGAAAGCGAATCCCAGAGTCTGTTCACGACATGACTGAGAAAATATGCATCGTCATCCTCATTACCAATTATACCCCCCGCAAGCACTTTCATTACATCGCCAGTGTCGGTTTCAAGATACCTTGCAATGATGGTATTCGCAGGGATAGAAAGTGGGTGAGCCGTATTCGAGAAGAGAATCAAGATGGCATCAGACATCCACATTTTCCAACGTGGTGGTGCGTGGCCATCGTCGCTCCCGGACACCGGGACACCTGTTAGACAATTCACGAGAAGGTCCATAACAATGTTCCAAACGTCGACAGATATCGCATTGATGTCCAGTAAGCGTTTGGGTTTTTCGAGCGGACAATCCCTGTGAGCCAGAATTTGAATGACGAATGGAACAATCTGAGCGCCATCGTTGGTAATTGATTCAAGATGAAAGGATGGATCTTGCAGTGCTGCGCAGAGGAAGTTGTCATCCACGTATGCGGCATCGACTACGGAGAGAATGTAGAGGTCCTGCGTGTCACGATTAGCTACGTCCTCTTCTTCCTCGCGGCGCGCGCGGGCGGCATGACGGCGTCGAATAGAGTGAAGCATAAACCTTGTTTCAATGCCCATTCTGCGAAACCACCATTCGAGGAAGTTCAACGGTTTCATGATGGAGGGATAAAGGAACGCCTGAATGAGTCGTCTGACAGATTTCATGGTCCCTTTGAGAAATGTTGTCTTGTAAGGACACCGTGATGAGAAAGCTGGAGCCAATGTGGCTCCCAGAAGGAAAAACGCCCAAATTCCCACGAGGGGAACAGTTATCCTCTGGAGAACGGGATGTATGGTTGACGCAAAGAAGCATAAACCAACGAAGAAGAATCCCAAAGCAAGCTGGAGCAGCAGAGGCAACACCGCGACGATCTCAAAAACTTTCCACTTCGCGAGCCCGGGGAAACGAAAACACCTCACGCGAAGACGTGCTCGTGGGGAGATATAATCACTAGCGAGGAACTCGCGAAGCCATTGCTTTATGAGCATTCCATAAGAAGCAGCCATTAGACTGAGCATCAAGCTTCCGAACCAAGCTGCGTTAGTCGCAAGCGAAGGCCGTGATGGTTCAAATGGAGGTGGCGTTGGGAAGGGCGGTATAGTACTGGTGACGTTGTTTGTGCCGAGGGTGAAGCCGTTCAACTGTTCTGATATACGCTGTAGGATGAGAAGGGTGGCCTCCGCAGGGTCTTGGTTTAGACTCTTGTACGAATCAACCAGGAATGTTGTCGTCACTGCCGAAAATAGACCGGCCTACCAATGATTAAGGCGAGGTGGCGGCGGGGATGAGAAAACCTGGTTGGGCGAAGTAACACGCTACGTCACTCACAAAGACTAAGAGGGTATCGATATCTTCTTTACAATCCTTTATCTTCGCCTCGTCATTCCTCTCGACGAGGGTGGCTGTTGTGTGCCACCAGCTTGTCCCTGAATCGCCCAGCGGCTTTGCCTGGAATGGAACAATGTCAGCAGAGTTTAACTAATCCAGTCACCGAGCATACATAATTATTGACCATTATACGTTGGATGCAACCCTATCTGGATCGAAATTTGAGAGGGGTCTAGAGGGACAGTTCGTGCTTGAACACGGCGGGGGTGTCGCGCCAGAGATTGCATGAAGGCCTATATCTGCACTGCCTGTGAGAGACTAAGTTAATATCAACGTCGTCCCGCATCAGAACAAAATGACCTGATGACACAGTACCTACCTAGAAAACAGGACATTCACAGTAAAGCTAAGGCGTACTTATACCTATCTTCGGTCCGCGATCTGAATGAACTGATGGTCATTCTATTCGGAAATAAGCAACACGGCAAGCTTCCTGTGGTTGGTACAGATGCGATGCAGAGCGACAAACGTTTTGGCATCGTGCCTTACAGACTTTGATGGCTGCTTACGTCTCCGGACTCTGATTGGTCAGTTCAGCCTGCAGAGAGCTTGCGTACGTATTGCCGGCCGACCCTTGAGTTCGCATGATCGAAAACTGGTGGCCAGGATTCGGTACCACCGAACCAACACGGGGCGAAGAATATCATCGTAGACGAGCGACTTACATGGCTCAACGAGTGCCATGCGAAAATAGAAAACTCTGCAGATCTGAGTCAAAGACAGTCGATGCAGCGAATCCACCATGATGGTATGAAGGTAGCCTTGACGACGGATAAATGCAATTTGAATGTACTCCCCTTGGTCAATACCGGGTTTGTAGCATAGCTTAGACTACTTTGTATTGGGTATACAAATGTCGGATAAATACATCAAATCATGATTACTGTAACGATCGAGAAAGTTACAGAACAGGCTGCGCGTACCTGCCACGACCATCCATCTTACCCCAGAACAGTCTCATTTATTCGTATTCCGTTTCACTTCATAAATCCCTCCATCCCCACATTTCCCTGCGGACGACAATACATACGAAATGTCCGAGAAACTCGAACCGACATTGCAGAACATACTGGAGCAGAAGTCATTGAAATGGATCTTCTGCGGCAAGTTTCCATCCTCGCAGTCATTCCAGCGATCGCTGTAACTGATATTTCAGGCTGAATAGGTGGAAAGGGTGGTGTTGGTCAGTCACAATTGTCAGTCTTCCGTATGCGACGCCGAAATGAATATGGTATGATCGGTCAGGCAAGACGACCACTTCGTGTTCTCTGGCCATTCAATTAGCGATGTGTCGTGAATCTGTTCTTCTTATCGTACGTTTCGTTCATGTGCACGAGTTTATACTGCTCATCCTTGACGTGACGGTCTACAGTCAACCGATCCAGCACACAATCTTTCCGATGCGTTTGGCCAGAAGTTCTCGAAAGATGCAACGAAAGTGAATGGGTTCGATAACCTTTATGCCATGGAAATTGACCCCACGAGTGCGATACAAGAGATGGTCGAACAGTGTACGTCCGCTGAGTCTTTGCCATGTCTACTGTTTGTTGATGGCAAGCGCAGCCGATTCAAATGGGATGATGGGTAGTATGATGCAAGACCTTGCGTTCGCCATTCCTGGTGTGGACGAAGCGATGAGCTTTGCGGAAATCATGAAGTACGTCATTCAAAGCTGTCAAGATATTCCTTTGCTTATTGTGATCGTTAGGCACGTTAAATCGATGGAGTATTCCGTGATTGTATTCGACACTGCACCGACCGGTCATACCCTCCGTTTCCTCTCATTCCCTACCGTCCTTGAGAAGGCTCTCGGCAAGCTCAGTTCGCTAAGCGGACGCATAGGACCCATGTTGAACCAGGTACATTTATATCATTTGAAAGGTAACATTGGGCACAGCTAAATTCGCTACTTAGATGACAAGCTTAATGGGCGGCCAGGTGGATGCAACAGAAGATATGTTTGCCAAGCTTGAGTCGATGCGTGCAGTCATCACCGAGGTCAACACACAGTTCAAGGATCCTGTTCGTTCATTTCATCTTTCTATATATTGTGTTGTGCTAAATCGACTATGTCCTGTATACAGGAAAAGACGACTTTTGTTTGTGTCTGTATATCTGAGTTCCTCTCGCTGTATGAGACGGAACGCTTGATTCAAGAACTCACGACGTATGAAATCGACACGCACAACATCGTTGTTAACCAACTTTTGTTCCCCAAGAAGAGTACGTTGTTCCCATTCTAAATCCGGGTTTCTACTCTGAGCGAGACCCTGTCTTCAGGTTCGAATTGCGAACATTGTCGTGTTCGGCACAAGATGCAACAGAAGTATCTTAATGAAGCACACGAGCTTTACGACGAGTTCTTCCACATCGTGCAGCTGCCTCTTCTTACTGAAGAAGTCCGCGGGCCGCAGAAGCTGAAGGAGTTCAGTAAGATGCTTGTAGAGCCTTATATCCCGGACTTGGATTAGGCCATTTACAGTCCAGATAGTTCCAGGATATCATGGTTCACGGATTTTGGGTCTATATTGAGTGTGCGTATACTCGTGGAGGGTGTGTATAGTATGATGAACGGTCAAACATCATATGCAATTCTTGCGGGAAAATGATAAGTCACTGCTAAGGTAAGTCTGGATGCCGATGTTACCATCCTGTGACCTAGGCTCCTCCATTGTTGCGATGGCCGTATGTATAACAGTATATGCGCGTGCTGCGCTATCAACCTTCCACAGGAGTCTTGAGGTTCCACTTCGGATCTATCCTGCCGTCATAGGTGTCGTTTCGCGGACGCTACATCAACCTTCCGTAATGACAAGCTGACAGTCGGACGCTCGAGCATACTTCGCAAAGGCGATAAAATTGCGCTCGTTTTCGATGAAGAATAGAGAGTTAAACGTGGCCCAAATGGAAGCTCGAGCGGATCTATCAAAGTGTACAAATTTCCACAGAGCACAGGATACCCGTTGAACTTATTTTCAAAGAGGACGGACGTTAACGATGCATCACCAAATACGAAAGTCGAGTCGTTATATATTCAAAGATGAAATGGAGGTTCACACTTACTAACTCTTATGAACTCCGCGTGCAGGGATGTATGTACTGGTATTTCGATGGCCAGGATGTATGAATTGCCTTCCATCACGACATCCTGGCCAAGTTAAATGCATGTACCACGCCGCCAAGGCATGATTTGATTGGAGCTAAGTGTCTCCAACGGTAAACTAACGCTGACGGTTTTATAAAATAGCTCGAAATAGCACCGTTCTCATTGGTGTGCAGGGTCTGGTGCAACCAATAAGTATGTTCATAGTCGCTCATAATGGCGGAGAGAATGGCTGGAACAATGCAGATGACATTTTTAGAGAATTTGGCTGGTAATGCGACCAGGCTGCCTAGTCCGTATCAGCCCGCAATCTCGCATGGCATGTTGGCGAGCGTCATGTATGTCATTTGTGCTCCTGTCAGCCATGGTGCCTCTGACCTTCAGCTACTATAGGCCCTTCGCGCTCCGGATGCAACGTCGACACTGGGCCATGATAGTAAGACCGCATTGTCAGAACCACAAGCCAACCTTCCCTGCTTCGGCGCCGTTGTCCTTGGCCATGGCCAACATTCAGAACTGCATGTGTTCCTACGCACTGGCCCAGGTGATTTCCCTAAACATTTTGACGGATATATAACACGTCAAGGCTCGTACTTTGGGATTAGCGTGTACTACACACTTAGGAATAATGGGGCGAGCTGCTTCTATGACCTGCACAATTTCGCAAAAGCGAACGCACTCTTTCCTGAAACCCGCTTCCTACCTACTCCGTCCAAAAGCCTTGAAAACGCTCGTGGCATTCTCGGGCCATTTTGAAAAGTATGAATATGGCCGGCCTGTGAAGAAGAATACTGCACTGACATTTTTTTTTCAGCTTTCTCTCTCAGAGATTGGTCCAAACCCCTCCAGTGCACGAAGAAACGGCGTCCTTCTCGCTATTAGCTTGTTTTTCGTATTTCTTGGGGCCACAACATGTTGGAGCCAATGACGGGACTGTTCGCTGCCAACGCATATGCAAAACTTCTCGCAAAAAGAGCAATGCGCGGCCCGAGCCACTGAAGTCGATCCTCTTGCGTCAACACAACATGTTTCCTGAGATCGATGTTTGTACCTATCTTTGCGAAATGGCTGGCTTCATGGTTGCTCTGCTAGTGTTGTGCGTGAGTATGGACTTCATGCTTTACTCGCCTCCTACCGTATGCTATTTCGATAGGCCGAATGTGACCTTAGATTCGCTACCTTGCTCATGTCAGTTGCGACTTCGAGCATCTTGCTCCTGCCTAACCGTATATACGGTTTGTAGGGTGATTCCAAAGCCTTCTGGATGACAGTGCGTCGTATGTGAGAAATATAATCTAACTGTCGGTAGTGATGCACAATTCTTCCGATAATGTTAGGCAAAACACGTCAGTGAGACACTACTGACACTACACAGCACCACCTGCTGTCCCATCAGGTATGTTTTATACATTTGCAGTAATATCTATATCCTTACTAACCTCCGTGTCGCAGGTCAAGTTTCTTTGCGCTATTGGCCATATCGTTCAGTTCCGATAAGAGAACTGCTCGGGTCTTAGTATCCTCACGAGTATGGGTTTGGAGTCCGTTTGTTTACTATCTTGATGCAAGTGGTCCATAATCTGTAACACGTCCAAAATGTACGAACGCCGAGCAATCGGATATCAGATTCCCCCACATACTTACCATCCTCGTAGGAGCGCCCCATATACACTAAAATCAGAGGCATCGAGCTTAGCAACTCCTGATCATTTCTATCCAAAGTGCCTGCGTCGCTTTCCTCGTGAGGACCGGGCCTCACTGCGAATCTCTCATAGGGTCTACTTCAGTTATCCCGCCACTGTGTTTCCACTCGTAACTCGTATTGTGCTCACGACTTCACACGTCTTGCTACTGCTCCGACTTCGTTGGTTTGTTAAATCAAGTTCATCAACATTGCTCTCTTCATGAGGGCTATACCGCATCAAGAAATAAAGTCATATCCAATATACAGATGGTATAATACAGGTATTGGGACCTATTCAGCTCAATATACTTCAATAAGCGCATATACAATATAATGAACCAATCGCAAGGTCTATCACCACCGAAGGGCCAACAGCACATCCGGGAGAATGAGAGGATGACGCTTTCAAGATCGAGTACTGGGCAATTCAAGGTGATCTGATAAACTGGAGGATACCTCAGCAACCAACAAATACCCTGTACCGGTCATTCACTTACCTCGGCAGCCGTCGCATCGGATATGTTTGACCTGCCTCCTTCTTTCGAGGCCTCAGACTTGCTGATCAAGCTAATTCCTCGGCCTAGAGCAGTTGCATCGGACCAGAACTGTTTATTACCTGGCTCGTCTTCGAGACACGTTTTGCGGAGGTCCCGTAAGAACCTAAAAGTACGTTCGAGTTAGCAAGGGGTTTTCAAGGTAGGAAGAAAACAAGCTTACTCGTTCCAAGCGTCGATCTCATCTTCCTATATACAGAAAACAATCAGACTCGCCTGCTACACGCCGAACCGAATGACAAGTTCATACCTGAAGAGCGACCTTCCTCAATTCCTTCATACATCCCAGCATCTCCTCACTTCGTTTCCACGTGAAAGGTTTTTGCACAACACTCTTGATCACCCAAGCAAGGTCTTCCACCGCTTTCGAAACAAGGTCCCCACCCACGATGTTCTTCTTAAAGTCTGTTAGTGGGTACGCAAGGCCTATGATCCTTCCCGGTTCTCTGCCGAGGTCCGGTTCTAGTTCCAGTGAAATTGAACGCTTGGAAGTAGGTGTAAGAAGGGGAGAAGGTTCCTTCTCCTTTCCTTCCTCGTCGGTGATCTTACTGGGACCACCAACTTCCTTGTCCAGAAGGATATAGTCCTCGTCTTCAGTCTCGGTCTCGCTTTCGGGCTCAGTCGCACTGTCGTCGCTGTTGATATATTTCTTCTGAGTCCGGCGCTGTGATTTTGGAGAAATGGTAGCGCGGAACCGTGCTTGCGATTGTGTGCTCTTGAGTTGAGATTGCCTGCGTTGCAGTTTTTCAAGAAGAAGCGGTTCCTCTTCGTCTTCTAGTGCACGCACATGTCCATCTTTTCGCAATTTCGAGACTCTCTTCGGGACTATAAGGTACGTGACGCAACACAATATAAGACATCCATAAGAATGGTTGCAGAGGAGACTCACCTTCTTTGACCTTGAATACGTTCTTACACTCCTCGATCGCATGGCGCGCCCTCTTTCGTACACGCCGTGGCGGTTCAAAGTACTTGGTGAGTTCAGGGTGGGGAGGTGGTAATGGGTGAGTGTCGAGATCCTTCACGACAGCGGCATGGAATTGAGCGTGTTTCGTACGATGGATAGCAGGATTGTAGGATAGACGGGTATCGAACCAGGGGTTCCGATTGCTACAATGTACATCAAAGGGATGAGTTGGAAGAAGGCTGAACGAAGGTTGGGGTACGTACCCTTGTTCGTCTTTCTCACCAGCGTCCATGAGATCCATGGCGTCAACGAGTTTCTCCATAGCGTCTAGTTGTTGCTCCGTAGGGAGATACGGATGTTTGGTTATAAGCTCTCCTTTCTTATTGATCAACTTATCTAGTGATGCAAAGGTATACTTCCGCACGTCGTCCGCGAAAGGCATCTGAAGTAGTCTAAGTTTCTTTGCCGATTTCCATCACACCTCGAGCAATAAATTCTTACCTGGGCCCAAAGGAAACAGTCGACGCCGTCGAAGACAGTAGGAGAGAGTACGCCCATCTTTGGGTCCATGTTGTCTCGACTCACCCACCTAGCAATGGCCATGTAACCTTTTTCGTACATCGCTTGTACAATTGAAGATAACGCTGCTTGGTCGAGTGGTTTTTCTGGATCTGCCCAGACGTATTGAACCTCGCCCATAGGCCATTCCCTCCGGAAATTCCTCTGGTGGAAGAAACCACAGATATCAATGCCTTTCTCCGTACGCAACCGAGGGAACTCTTCTGCTGTCGGAACGAAGGATGAACCGTATTTGTACCCTCGTACGAGCTCTTCCTTTTCAATGACTTGGAGCTTGTCCGTCTTCGCAGCCGCTTCTTCCTCGTCCTCAGTTTCGGATTCTTCTTGGGGAGCTGCGGCCTCCTCCTCTTCGCCTTCTGCGCGATGATCCAGATAGAACTGTGTACGCATGATTAATGGTGTGTACTCGACATATTCGCCCTCTTCTGTCATCTCCACGTCTTCCGAAACAGGTCTTGGTCGTGCTGCGAACTTCTTCCAACTTTTTGGGCGCATGAGTGCTGTGCATTTGCTCGTCTTGGCCCTGATAATGATAGATTCCAGAGGATGGTCCTTTGTATCACCTATGCGGAGCTCTGTCCCCAGAAGTGCGGACTTGACTTGCTTGACATCTGGTCGGGCGACCTCTTCGAGGGCGAATTCGCAGTTGCCTACAATGCCTACGTCCAGCTGTTCAACGAACTTGTGATAGAACTCTTCGTTTGCCCGCTTGAAAGATTGTAAGTCTAAGTCATGTCAGGAAGATACGAAAATACCTTGATGTCAGACTTCTTTTCGTCGTGGAAGTCTATTTCGTCATCATCAAAGTCGACTCCGCTAGGAAAGTAGGTATCAAGAAAGTCGACAACGGAGCGCAAGAAACTCACACAATGGTCAAGCTGACATTCAAGTTGTTCATTTTGCGCGTGGTGGCTTCCCAGTCTTCAATCTCGATGGGACTTTCCCCGTCAGTGAGGAGGATCATCTTACGTGTCCATTTCTTCTTGTTTGCCAGGTATCTCTCCTGCGTTTCAATGCCGACAATAATTGCATCAATGGCTGGAGGGGATCAGCAGATAGTTTCCTGTTGACACCCTAGCACTTACGATCACCGTGTTCCTCGGATGCTTGCAATGCGGACAACTTGGCCAGTGTATTTGCATTGGGTTGTCCTATGGGAATGTATTCGCTGACGTGTTCGTACCCGCCATCCTTGTCGTTGATTATGTTGTTGGTCTCTATCATCATATGAGGCCATAGTCGACAACCGGCGTTTACACTTACATACCTTCCGAGCCAAAGAGAATGACCCCACATTGGTCGGTTTTCCTACCATTGTAGATCTATGAGGACGTTAGTGCAGTATACGGGGGTCGGCGCTTATAAATAGTTACCATTTCTTGTATTTTGAGCTTGACAAACTGCAGGGACCACTCCAAGTTGGTGGTCTCTATTGTGCGTACTTCGCCGGTAAGTCCGTCAGGAACCTCGACCTCCCTCAACGTGCCCATTGAGGGAGAAACGTCGATGAGAAACATCGTCACGGTATACTGAGAAAATAATGAGTCATTGATATATTTGTGAGGATACAGAACGTACGCCTGCTCGTTCCGTCATGGTGGCCGATGAAAGAGAAGCGTGGCGCGGTGGCCCCAGCACGACGCGATCGACGGCGCGTGGCACCTGACCTAGCGGAGTTTGAATTCGGAGGTATGACAAAGACGCGTGTAAGGATGTGGGTTCCCACGGGCTGTTGTCTTCTCCCACTTGCACTGCTTGAACCTCTTGGACGAAATAACTTTGTCTATCGCGCGCACGGCTCTGACTCCCGCACGTGAACCTGTCCGCTCGCTTCAAGCAACTCTGCCCGCAGCATGGCTGCATCCATTCAGACTGCTTTACCTCCACAACTCCCGAGTGGCTTACAAACAAACAACCCCCAAGTGACTCGCGACAAACTCCAGAGTTTACTCAATGTATGTCTCATCTTCCTTATTCAATTCACCTCATCTAACACTCTGCAGCGTGCCAATGTTCTTCGTTCCAGCGGACTCACCGCCGAAACTTCCCCCGAACTGGCGAAGATATTGCGGTTTCTCCAAATGTGTAGTGTTCAACAACGTGAATCTCTCCTTCTCTATCCTTTCTCTCTTCTATGCTCAAACTATGTAGGAACAGCGCAGGTCGATGGCCCGTCTGCAGAGCACCCGTTGGCCAATGGCCATGCACCCGTAAACGGCGTAGCCTCTGTCACGTCAGGCCCTGTGCCTACCCAAACTTACCCCGGTGCTCCTACTACCCCCGTTTCTTTCACCCCCGACCAGATCGACGCTCTTCGCGCACAGATACAAGCTTTCAAGCTTATTTCTCGTGGCATGCCCGTACCCGAGCATGTCCAGCAAGCTGCCCGTATCGCTAGTCAAGCTGCGCCGACCCTCGAGAAAGTTCTCCAAGGCCAGGATGTCGCCAGCCGAGTCGTCGATGGTGCCGTAAAGGTGCACAAGGGCGCGAGCAACGAGTCTGATACCGTAATTGCAGAAGAGACGTTGAAGGCGGAGGACCTCGAGGCGCTGCAGAACCACCCTGATATGCCCAAAGGGCCATTTCTAGAGGACGACTTGAACTCGGGGATCTATCCTTACAATGCTTATAGACATCCATTCACTCACCTCTCGAGAGATACATCGAGCAACCCTTCCCTCTTTGCCACTCGCCTTCAGCGCACACTCGTTCCCGGCATCATGCCTGCCGGTCTAGACCCCCACCAAGTCATTGCAGAGCGGAATCGATACGTCGACGCCCGAATAGAGCAGCGAATGCGTGAATTAGAAGCCTTGCCGGCCACAATGGGTGAGGGTGGACTGGAACACCCTATGGACGATATCGAAGGCAACAAGTCAGAGAAAGAAAACGTAGACGACTTGATGAAATCGCTGGTCCACCCGAGTCCAAATACGCACGGCAAGCTCCGCGCCCTTATCGAATTGAAGTCCCTCCGTGTGCTCGACAAACAACGAGCGATGCGAGCCATGGTATCCGAACGACTGACTCACGGCACGCTGTTGCCACTCAACCGCACAGAGTTCAGGAGGGCCCGCAAGCCGGCCGTTCGCGACATTAGGTGGACGGAACAGGCGGAGAGGAAACAACGGATCGAGCGCGAACGACGGGCGAAACAGAAGCACGTCGAGCAGCTTAGCATCATTTGCAAACATGGCGAAGAGGTCATCGCTGCCAATCGTGCAGCTCAGGCTCGCGTCCTTCGCCTCGGCAAGGCTGTTCTCTCATTCCATGCACATACTGAGAGGGAGGAGCAGAAGCGTATCGAGAGGATCTCGAAGGAGCGTCTGAAGGCTTTGAAGGCGGATGATGAAGAGGCCTACATGAAGCTCATCGACACGGCGAAGGATACTCGTATCACACATCTCTTACGACAGACCGATTCGTATTTGGACTCGCTCGCTCAGGCTGTTATGGAACAGCAGCGAGAGGACGGTCATGATCCACATATGCGCGGCTTTGAGGTCGAGGAGGGTCCTATGAATGAGTCCACGTTCGGTGCGCAGAAGCTGGACGATGGCGAGACCGATAACTCGAAGCTAGACTACTATGCTATCGCGCATCGTATCAAGGAGAAGGTCACGAGGCAGCCGGGTATCCTTGTTGGTGGCACTTTGAAAGACTATCAGATCAAGGGACTGCAATGGATGGTCAGCTTGTATAACAACAGACTGAACGGTATTCTCGCTGACGAGATGGTAAGTTCTTCCTTTTCTCTAATACTTAGAACTTCGCTAACGTGCTCTTGCAGGGTCTCGGAAAAACCATCCAAACCATTTCGCTAATCACCTTCCTCATCGAGTCCAAGCGACAGCGCGGCCCTTACCTCGTTATCGTCCCGCTTTCAACAATGACCAACTGGTCGGGAGAATTTGCAAAGTGGGCCCCGAGCGTGAGGATGATTGCATACAAGGGCAATCCGGCACAACGAAGGGCGTTGCAAGGGGATATCCGTTCTGGAAACTTCCAAGTGCTGCTGACGACCTACGAATATATCATCAAGGACCGTCCCGTCCTGAGTCGCATAAAGTGGGTGCACATGATCATCGGTAGGTGTCATATCATATTTTCGTTGCGCTGAAGATCATACTGACCATTCATCTAGATGAGGGACATCGTATGAAGAACACTCAGAGTAAACTCGCCCAAACGCTGACGCAACATTATCATTCCCGTTATCGTCTCATCTTGACCGGTACCCCGCTGCAGAACAACCTGCCCGAGCTATGGGCTCTACTCAACTTCGTCCTGCCGAAGATCTTCAACTCGGTGAAATCGTTCGACGAGTGGTTCAATACTCCTTTCGCCAACTCGGGTACTCCTGATAAGATCGAGCTGAACGAAGAAGAGGCGCTGCTTATTATTCGTCGTCTTCATAAGGTGCTGCGACCGTTCTTGTTGCGTCGGCTCAAGAAGGACGTGGAGTCGGAGTTGCCGGACAAGGTCGAGAAGGTGATCAAGGTCAGGATGAGTGCTTTGCAGTCGCAGTTGTACAAGCAGATGAAGAAGTACAAGATGATCGCGGACGGTAAAGACGCCAAAGGGTACGTTCCAATCTCTCTTCACAAAACTCGCGGTTGGGTGCTGACCTTGCTTGTTGTGTAGGAAATCGGGAGGTGTGAAAGGTCTCAGTAATGAGCTCATGCAGCTGCGAAAGATCTGTCAACATCCTTTCCTTTTCGAGAGCGTCGAAGACAAGATGAACCCAGGCGGGTTGATCGACGAGAAGCTTGTTCGTACTTCCGGGAAGATAGAGTTGCTCTCTCGTATTCTTCCAAAGTTCTTCGCCACCGATCACAGGGTGAGTTCCCTTCTCTTCGTTATTGCTTTGAAGATGCTGATTGCGAATGCTCTCCTTTTAGGTCCTCATTTTCTTCCAGATGACAAAAGTCATGGATATCATGGAGGATTTCTTGAAGATGATGGGCTGGAAGTACCTTCGTCTGGATGGTGGGACTAAGACTGAAGACCGTGCGGGCCACGTCGCGCAATTCAATGCCAAAGACTCTGATATCAAGGTCTTCATCTTGTCCACTCGTGCTGGTGGTCTCGGCCTGAACTTGCAAACCGCTGATACTGTCGTCATGTACGTTTCATTTTTTTCTATTCCATCGTGACATCGCTGATCTAACTGCAATGTTTAGTTTCGATTCTGACTGGAATCCTCATGCCGATCTCCAAGCGCAGGATCGTGCTCATCGTATTGGTCAGACCAAGGTCGTCCGCATCTTGCGATTCATCACGGAGAAGAGTGTCGAGGAGGCCATGTTTGCGCGTGCTCGATACAAGCTTGATATCGACGATAAGGTCATTCAGGCCGGTCGTTTCGATAACAAGTCTACTCAGGAAGAACAAGAGGAATTCCTTGTAAGTCTTGCACTATCTGACAGTATCATGAACTCTCTTACTAAACGATTATCTCTAGCGTTCCATTCTAGAAGCCGACCAAGAGGAGGAGAATGAAGAGGCCGGCGATATGAACGATGAGGAAATCAACGAGATCATCTCTCGATCGGACCAGGAGTCTGTGATCTTCCGCGAGATGGATATTCAAAGAGAACGCGAAGCTGCTGAAGCGTGGAAACTTGCCGGACATCGAGGCAAACCACCGCCGCCTCTTATCCAGCTGGAAGAGCTCCCTGAATGTTACCGAACGGACGAGCCGTTCGAAGACAGAGACGTTATTGAAGAGGTGGAAGGTAGAGGACAGCGAAGAAGGACTGTTGTTAATTACAATGACGGTCTTGATGACGATACTTGGGCAATGGTGAATACTCTTCTAAACTAATTCAGTGTTCCATTTCCCTAATTTCTTTTCCTTCAGGCTTTGGAAGAGGGCGAGGATATCCAAGAACTCTCAGAACGCAATCGGGAGAGGAAAGATAGACGCGCTACCAACAAGCTCCTCAGAGAGGCTGAATCGAGGGGCTCGCCAGCGTTGGAGGTAGAGACACCTCGTGGCAGTCGTAAGGCGAAGAAGGGCAAGGCGAAAGCGGAGCCAGCGTTTGATGCGGTCGCTGTTGGCGGCAAGCGTAAACGTGGCGGTATGAAGTCCATGTCTGTTACTCCGTCTATCAACGAAGAGGAGGATGAGGAGCGTGATACAGTAAGTATTCTGATACCATGCTATCTGAGTTCTGAATACTCATTACATCTTCGTAGAAACGTCGAAAGACGAAAACTGCTGAGGTTCCTCCTCCAGTCCGCGAGAAGATGAAGAAAGCATTCAACGAATGTTATCGCGCCGTCCTCACTTGCGAAGACGAAACCGGTCGAAAGCGTTGCGAGTTGTTCAAGGAGTTGCCAGATAAGAGGGTACGTGACGATTGCGTCGTAATGATCAAATCTCACTAGTGCTCACCTCTAATCGTTAATCTTCTCCAGGAATACCCCGACTATTATCAGCTCATCAAGCAGCCCATCGCGCTCTCGACGCTTCGCAAACGTCTTTCGAGCAATTACTACAAGAACGTATTGGACTTCCGAGAAGACTGGCGTCTCATGTTCAATAACGCTCGAACCTACAACCAGGAAGGTTCGTGGGTTTACGTGGACGCTGAGGAAATGGAAAAAGTTTTCAATGCGACGTTCGATCGTGTCATTGCCGGTTCCGGATTGCCAGGTGCGCCTGCGGGTCCGAGTCCTTTGAACGATGTTATCATGAGCCCTGTTGAAGACCATCGACCGTTGCAGAAGGGGAAACATGGTCGTAAGCAGGTTATCAGCGATGATGAATACCTTACACCCACCGATGAGGAATAGTTGCGTTGCGTCGTTACCATGGATCTGTGTTTATTGTTCTACATATTGTATTCTAGTTGTGATATCGTGTTTTCGGGATTGGCTCTATTCACTACAGTGATTTTTACCTTGGACTACATAATAGAAATACTTGCGTTTACGCGTTCTCAGGCACATTCACTTGAGGCCGACTTTACGGGTTTGATCGATGATCGCCGGCTTGAAATACGAACTATCGAGATTAAGTTTTAAGGACAGCGGCACATGGTTCATGTTCTCATTGCACCTCAACATGCAGCGATGTTGCGCAATCAGCCACAAGAATATGCATTGTGAGTCTGGCTGCAAATTTTCAGGTTCCAGCTGCCTTATCCACCTTTCCACAGAACAGCCTCAGCCACGGCGGGCCGATCTCGATGTTGTCACTCTGTTCAAAACATAGCTGCCGTGCAGCGATAAGCGCAACAAGACTCATCATTCGCATGAATTGAGCGATGGGGCTTCCCAATTGCATGCTCAACACATGATATGTCATTGAACTCGGCCGATTGGTCCTGATATAAAAGACCTGCTGTGGTTGGTGAAGAATAAACGTTGATACTTACGTTCTCTGCTTCTTCGAAACAATGGCTCCTTCTGTCTCTGACATCGCTAGCAACGCCGCTGAGCAGGTGTCGAATGGCTTGTCCAAGCTCAATCTCAAGGAGACGAAGCAGGAGGAAAAGCCACAAGACGTAAGACGAAACCCTCCTCATTTACTTCAGCATGTCTCTTGACTGTTCTTTATCTGATCCAGAAGGGACCTTCGTACCCTTTCTACTACCCGTATTTCGATGCGGCTGAGAAGTTCCCACCCACTGAACTCTTTGGTAAGTCATCGCTTTTCTTTGCATACGGGAAGCTAAAGCAGCCGCGTTTAGAACACACCGACCCCGGCTTGCGGGCTGACCCGAAGAAGCCAAACCTCCTGGGTCCCAACACCAAGGTCCACCACATCAGCCCATACTTGGGCACCGAGATCACCGGTGTACAGCTCTCTCAGCTCAACGAAGCCGGTCTCGATGAGCTTGCTTTGTATACTGCCGAACGCAAGGTCGTAGTCTTCCGCGACCAGGACTTCAAGGACATCGGTCCCGACAAGCAGATTGCACTGACCAAGTATGTGCAAGAGCCCCCGTGTTCTTTTTTTAATGATTATTTATGATGATGTTTCAAGGCGGTACGGACCTATCCAGAGGCATCCCACGTCTGGAAACGTGAAGGGGTACCCCGAGTTCCACGTTGGTGAGTCAGATCATAGACGATACGTACATCGCATAGAATGTCTAATGTTCTACTTCAGTCTATCGTGACGCGGAGAACGACCGGTTCAAAGAATATCTTGGTGACAACCGAGCAAACAAGACGAGCTGGCATTCAGACGTTGTATGTCTACTGCCTTTATTCATTTTCACTTGATTGCTCAATTTGAGTCATAGTCATACGAGAGGCAGCCACCCGGCACCACTTTCTTCTTCATTCTCGACCAACCTCCCGTCGGCGGTGATACTCTCTTCGCTTCACAAGTCGAGGCATACAACCGCCTCTCCGACGGATTCAAGAAACGTCTCGAGGGTTTACGTGCCGTTCACTCTGCCGTTGCTCAGGCAGAACACTCGAGGCAGCGGGGTGGCCCAGTCCGTCGTGAACCTGTTGAGAGCGAGGTCAGTTCCAAACACTGTATTTGGTGAAGCTGAGGCGTGTCTGACTTAAATCCGACGCGCAGCATCCTGTCGTCCGTGTACATCCCGTTACGGGGGAAAAGGCCCTGTTCGTAAACCCAGGCTTCACCAGACGCATCGTCGGCTTCAAGGACGAAGAGTCTGAGTGGTTGTTGAAGTTCCTCTTCGACCACATCACCAAGGGTGCCGACTTCAGTATTCGCGCGGCCTGGCAACCTGGGACAGTTGTCATTTGGGTACGTGCAATCCCGTTATCTTTGGCAATGCGGAGCCAGGCTGGCTGTAACGATCATACAGGATAACCGCGTTTCAATCCATTCTGCTACGCCTGATTTCGATAAAAACTTGAGGCGGCATGCAGTTCGTTTGACTCCTCAGGCTGAGGTTCCTATTCCTGCTTGATTATCGGGGAAGTGTGATGGCCATTTCTCGGATTGCCGGTGTCTTTGTATCACAGATGTTGTAAAGTTGTAGACTATTAGGACAAGGAAAATACATTTGTCCTTCGCAGTGTACTCTACTGAAGCCGATGTCCGGGGTAAAAGTCATATATAAAGTCCTGAAAAATCACGAGGCAGAATCAGCAAATACTTCATCGTAGGACTATTGAGGGCTATAGTGCGCCTAACAAGCTGAGTCCCAGTACTTGTCGGACTCCTGTTTGGAGTCTCGAACGATATCATGGATCATGAGGATGGTATGCAGGAAGAAGAGTAAGGTTGTCATGATAATAAGAATTTTTTCGCCCGCGGTGAAATGCAACACAATGTCTGATTGCTGCTCGTCAGGACGTGTGGTCAATGTTGCCAAGAGCGAAAAGATAACAAACATAATGGACCTGCAGAAAATATCAGCATATTGCCGAAACATATCACGAAAGCAGCAGACCAGATTAACCATGCTGCAGGAGACGCCAAGATTAGCGATGTCTTCCATCTGCATGTTTTTCTAAGTTTCGTCTACGGGAGGCCGACATCAGTATATACAGGTGCGCATCCTATCTCCAACGCACCGTCAACCAGACAATTCTGAGACCTGTGTTTCGCCCACTTATGTGACGTAGAAATAATACAAGGATCAAAGAATCCATTGTGCTTGCGGTAGCGGTGAGGATGGCAAGCGAACCCAATGCGACGGCTAGGGAATTCGTGCTGGCAATAAGCGTTGCGAGCAATGTCACATTTGTCCTATTTAATAAGATATAGTCGTTCAGTTTATCAACGAATCCAGAAGATCGGAGCGACGAACGGGGCCAGGATGGCAGCTGTGAAGCCAACCGCCTTGCAGTTATCGATGCAACTGCTGATAAATTTGTCACATTGAAACTGGAGATGGGACGGTAACGTGTGAGGAGATGAATATTTTTCAAGTTCTTCGGCGGCATAAATATTGCATGCGTGCTGTCGCAAGTTAGCCTTATCCACGGCTTCCAGTGTCTCCTGATCCAGAACGATCGCAGGGATGGCGAAGAATATGGTGTTCTGTATAAGAGAACGCCATCGTGAACCGGAAGTCCCAGTAGAAGTTGTGGATTCTTTTGAATAACGTAGCAAATGTGTATTCGAAGAGCGGAGACCTGTGGGTGCCGCGTTTAATCAGTGTAAGTACACTTCAAGTTCTTAAGCAAGGGTCACGCTACCTTGTAAATGAAGTATTTCTGATCGGTACTTGGGACCCAATGTTGACCTCGCTTTGGTCAGGTGCTCCCCATGGAGCACGGCGGGAGAGGGTCTTGGTAGAATGCTAGCAAACTTGTGTGGAAAGGTGGTGCATTCCATGGCCGCCACTCGAATGTGTAGTAGGACGTCCCAAAGTACGAACATCCTGCTTTTTATACGTTCCGACAGTTATAATAACACGAAGCACATTAGTGAGTGTTGGCCATGCCCCATGGCCATGGCCAGAAACACACATCAACTCCATATCGTATAAAACCATGGCCGACACGACCCTGGCCAACTGGCCAATCGGGCGGCTATGAGCATCGTTGTCACTTGGATAGACGATCAACAGAACACAGCAATCATCATGTGCGCCGTGCCCCCGGTAAGTATTTCAGTCATGACCATCGTTAACCAAAAGAAAAAATCAGCATGGCCATGGGCCGATAGCACTTATGTATAGGTCAACTTGAAGTGAACACAGCCTGCGTCACCGGTGAGATTGAACTCGTTCGTACACATTTAGCCCATGTGGAGATCTTTGGTTCATGTGGTCAAGTAGATTGGGTAGTAATACGTACGCCTGATAATCAAAATGGACAGCGTACTTTCAAGTTCAATGCTCGCTTAGCTATTGCATACGAGCGTCATTGCAAGCCGGAGTCGTTCGAACGCGCTTATATGCTGGATGTGGCGTTGTTTGAACGTGCTTGATAACTTGAGGCATCGCGGCGCCAGCCTCTTCACTTTCTGAACCTGAAAGTACTGTATGTCTTTCCGTGGCAGTTTGGAAACAAAGATCAGTGTAGAACATCCTGGGCTGAGACGTTTGCATGCCGAGCAGCCGTCGAACGGTACCACAAAGTCGAAATAGAGGAGGGCTTTCTAAACCTTGAACCTGGACTCGCGGGTAGGCTAGCCCCTTCTACTAGTACTGTAGCTGGAAATTACAGTGAAAACACAGCATTTTACTCCGACTATCTCTCAATTGTTGGTCCTTACGACTCGGCGTTGTATGACAAGATCAGAGTTGCTGACGCATCCAGTTACAACAATTTACAATGCCGTCAATCCATTAGTTTCTACGCTTTAGCAAGTCCTGTACATCCAAGGCAATGGGCCCTTTCAAGGTTTACTTCATATCCAGAGTTCGCTCTAAATCCTACGGTAAGCGCGAGGATAAAAGAAGACTAGGGCATTTCTGATTACCATCAAAGGAAGAGATGCACTATGTGTCTGTAGATACTCTACTAAAGAAACAGGTTGGACCGTGGCCGGTACATGTAGTGTTCACCCTCACATTTGTCTCTCTGGTCGTATGACATGGCAACGCAGGGGGTTGTAATGCGTTGTCCTTCAATCCCAGCGTCCTGCCTTCATTGTGAGTTTGAATCATGTTTGATATTTCAGCGGCTCGACCTGGTCTATTAGTATATCAAGGCAGTACGGGGGGTGATATTCATAAGACCTTTCTCTACCGCATACTATGCCACATACCTATACCAGCCGACCCCACTGGAATGGAATTGCGGGACGGGCCATCGCCATCTTAGTCATATGCGCCAGTGCGGTAGCAGCACAGGCACCCGTTAATGATATAGTTTCTTGGCCATCGGGTCTCCTACTTCTCGCTACGATCTAATACGCAGCTCTAGGGACCTCGCCAGATGATCTCTGGAACATGGAGCCCACCACTGGCCTGTTTATAGGCAGTGGCCTCCCTTTCTTCTCTCTTCCTACGATGCGGAAAGTTACGTGGGTATCGCCCGCATGTCACTTTATATCGGATATCCGAACTGCTTCCGGCATCTCGAACTTCTGGGTTCGTGCCAATGAAGTCAGTCAGAATGTGCGCTCGCTATGTTTGGAAAGCGCTCTGAAGGACATCCCTCCTGCTTATCCGGCTACTCCAAATGTCAGCATTGACGAGTCGGTGTGGAAGGTGAACGAATGGGGTTTACTGGAGCGCAGATCATTAGCTGGAAAACCAATACCGCGCTCCCCATTACCATCACCTTCAGAATCTAAGCTTAGCGGTAAACCATCTATCCCTAGTGCGCACGACTTCCTTCTATTTGCCGCGATAGACTACCATGTCTTCCGCGAATGGACGGTGCATATTGTTCGCAAGAAACAGCGCGTTTTCTCCACGGAGGGAAGCGGGCACCATTGCGTCTTTGATGTCTCCAGCGAAGAGGATGCGATGCCCATTGTCGCAGCACAGATTGTGCACCGTCCTACCTCTCAAAGTAACCTGCGACCGTTCTCCGAATTCAAAGGAACGTCGGAAGATGATCTTTCCCCTTACACACTCGAGATCGACCGCTTCTGGAAGTCGGACGCACCTGTCTGCCACATTGATTTTCATTCTTACGCACCTCGAGAACATTCTACGAAGGCTTCACTTCGGGAACTCGCCGGAGCGTATTTCAGAGTGGTCCAATATCTGAAGCAAGATAAATACCGCTGTATGGTGGGTGAAGTTGCTCAAATTAGTGTAGGGCAGAGCCTCTGGATCGCAATCTTGGGAGGTGCACTACTGGATAAAGGCAGGACATCCTTCCAGAATCTCCCGGGTCGGCGGATTTTGAAGAGTGTCTCTGCTGATGAGGCATATCAGGACAGAGTTGAAGCCGTGTTGAAGGAAATTGAACCTTGCGTAAATAAGCAGGTGTTCGACGACATGGTGTTCAGTGGAGGTGTATCAAGAGCTCCTGCCATGCCGCTACTTGTCACGGGTCTGGTAGGGCAGATACTCGTCTGTTATTTCCTGGCTGTAGACACATCTGCAGGCGTATGGACCAGTGTCGCACTGTCAAACAGCCTCTTTGCCGGGAAACTAACAGATTTACATACTCTGTATTTTGGGAAGACTCATGACACGGCTGAGCCAGGGATGAAGATGCGTCTTCCAAGTAATCCCTCTCAGCTCATGGTCATTGCTACCTTGGATCGAAGCGCACCGTCAGAAAGAAAACTGCGTCCAGGATTCCTTCTCAATCTCCTCGGTCTCATCGGCGCGACACTTGGCACGGTATTCCAAAACCAAACCCGAGATGCTCTCGGTTTCGCGCCCTTTGAACCATGTCGTCCATGGGTGGTATATACCGCCGCAGGGATCTCCCTCTCTGCTGCCAGCTTGGTCTTGTTAATGTTGTTCAATCAGCAGCGAAGGTCACGCGACTGGTTCAACCAGAGCGAATTTCCGACACGGATTGCAGTATATTCCACTTTGACTACTGCCCTTGGCATCTCTGTGCTTACCATTGTTTTCCGGCTACGAGGATTAACTCGATTTTGGCCTATCCTTGATGTACTCACTTGGATTTCTGGTTTGCCATTGGGAGCAATAGAGAATGGGAGGATGATATCGATAGACAGGAATATGTTACATTTATTACTCACCTTACGGTGGCTGATGGGAGCTATGGCTAGCGCGATGGGGAGCAGCGAATGACTGGTCACAATAGTACCGAAGTTTGGCTGTTTAGACATACCTCTAGACCCCCGTGTGCTTGTAATGTGTTATTTACCGTATTAAACACACGATGCACAAAGCAACTCACCGCCATCAACATTTCAACTCTGAGTAAGAGGGTCGAGTCCCGAGCGCTACATACTTGAAGTTGGAAAGTATTCACACGACAGGCGCCGGGTGATCATTGTGTAGACTTGCAGTCCTTGTTGAACGCTCTCCTTCAGTCGACTTTAACTGTTACCATGTCGTCAGATCTCTCCTCGCTGTTGAGGGCATCCAAAGCCCTCACATCTCATCTCAATAGGCCAGATTTACCTTCAGTGAATCTTTCATTGGACCAAATTGAGGCCCAATCCCGAAAGCTCGTCTCAAAGCAGCTGGGAACAGCTACCGACAATGACAGGGCGTAAGGTCGCGATTCGTATCCTACGGCTCATTTCTAACTCTCCTCGTAGGACCTATCTTCTTGCACAGGCACATGTTGACGCGCCGGCTCTCAGCAGTTCGATCGCGAATTTGAATACCGCCACAACCTTCACTCCTCTACAGGCACTACAAGACACCGATGTCGCAGGCTTCGTCCGTTATGCACACGAACAAAATATAATCGCTACCATTGAGGAAGCGCGAAAGGCCACGCAAGAAAGCTTCTATAAGTTCTTGGAAGAGAAAGAACAGGATGACTGGGAGCAACGGAAGAAACGCGTGTTCGAGCAGTTGGGTGATCGCGTCGGGACTGGCGATAACAAGGCTGTCAGTGAAATGAAACGAAGCATGCACGGGAAGAGCCTTCTTTCAGTGAGTCTTGTTGTTCTTCCATTCTCAATCTGCGTACTGAGTTGCGCAGGTGAGCACGGGGCCGGCACCTAACCTCCAAACACAAAATAAAATGATGGCCTACGATCGTGTCGTCACTGAACTGAATGCTGCACGACTACGTGGCATTTCATATCCAGTCATTCACGCCCTCATCCAAGCCTCCCTTGCCGTCTCCTCGTCCATACAAGCATCTTCATCTCAACCAACAATCCAATTCACACCGACACTCCACATTCTTTCCAAGATCACCGCTGAACCACCTTCACTACCTCCACTTGAACACGCCACCGCACATATCCTCAACGCGCCACTCTTTGAGCGCAAGTATGCGAGAGTCTATCTGGGCGACCCCGAGTCGAGGGAAGCCGTTGAGCTGAGGCGTCAAATTGCGAAAGGTGCACGAGAAGGATTGGAGGAACAGTATTGGGATATCGTAGAGAGGACAGTACATGCCAGAGCTATGGAGGCAAGGTTAGGTGGGGATCCAAGTGTGGCGAACAGAATTCGAGCATATATTCTTGTCAGGCACTACAGGAATGGAGAGTGGGAGGATCGAATCGAGGTAAACACCCTTTTTCTCATAGTGTTCGCGCTCGAAACTGAAGATCATCACTGCTAGTTAGTAGCAGGACAACCCTTGTGGGCGAAACTGTTCTACTTGGTACGAACAGGACATGCACGGGAAGCGCTTGACGAGGCTATCCGACACCAGCAGCCTATTGAACATCGTGAAGCCAGCTTCATTAGCCATTTCAGGGCATGGGTAGAGTCTCCAGACCGACGGTAGGTTTTTGTACTGCATCGTATATTATACGACCCAGGCTAATCGAGCTTTATTCACCGTTCCAGGTTACCGAAACCTCATCGAGACCAACTACACGCAGTGTACAACGCTCATATGTTGCACTCTGCGACGACAGACCCCTTCAAACTCGCTCTCTTCAAGCTAATGGGCAAGATCGACCCATCACGTCGAAGTGTCCCTCAAGTCACTGTGACCACTGAAGACTGGCTTTGGTTCCAGCTTTCCATGGTTAGTTCACATTCTGAAGGTACACCATGCTTATCTGATCCTTTAATGCACGACCTTTAGGTTGAGGAAGAAGAGAGTGGTGGTTTGCGTGGATTGGCGGAAGTCCTTCTCACGTACGGCGAGAGGCACTTCGATGGTACTCCTGGACATAAAGGTGCGAGGCGGGGTGTCTGGGCGGGCGTTTTGCTCATGTGTGGTCAGTTCGAACGTGTAAGTCCTTCGCGTATACTCACATTTTGATCAACACTGACTTAGTGAATAGGCTGCTGCGGCTCTGTGGGAACACCCAGAGACGGAAGTCGAGGCTGTTCATCTTGCCATTGCTCTGGCATATCATGGCTTGCTAAGAGTCCCGTCTCGAGCGGAGACAAATGATAGCACACCCCGTACGTTCGTTTCAAATATCGTTTACTATACATGTCTAAGTATTGGTCTTAGTTTCACTCCCGAATAGTGGCCCTCCTGCACTTTCACTCTCGGCCCTCATCTGGCGCTACGTCCGCCCATTCGTCAAGATGGATGCCAAAGAGGCATTGCAATACGTCTCGTGCATCTGTCTCAGCGCTGATCAAGGACACGGCGTCGGCAAGGAGCAAGTTGAGACTGCTTGGGAGTGGGTGAGGAGGATAATCGTCCTCGCTAATCCTGGCGCAGCATGGGAAGAATTGGTAGGTGGGTTCAGACCTGACGGAACGCGATTCGTGAGTGCATGTTTAATCCTCTTATAATTCAAGCTCATGGTTCCGTTCGATGACAGAGTGGATTCATCGAACAATGCGCTCCACTCCTCAAGCTGTCTGACATGAAAGAATACAACGCGCAGATCCTTATTCGAGCTGCTCAAACGTCGGAAGAGAACTCTCGAATCCCGGAAGCCATCAAGCTCTACAATCTAGCTGGAGACTATACGACCGTCATTTCCTGTCTTTCTCGCGCATTGGGTAACTCGATCACGTTGCCAAGTAGTGATGATGGTGCGAGGAGTATCGAGAAGACCGCCAGCGAGATTTTGAGACATTATGAGAGGACGAATAGGGCGACAGGAAAGGAGAGGGATGCGGTTGTTAGGTTGTTGAAGGTAAGAGAAGCTATGGAGGCCAAGGATGCTGGAAAGCCTGAACTTGCGCTCGAGGTAGGCGTATTATTCATTGTCATACATTTGCACTGTACTCAATGCTTCGTGATTACAGATCATGGAGTCAACTGATTTGATACCTCTGGATGGGGACGTGTCGAAAATTACTCGGAGAGCAGAGGAGTTCCGAGACCTGCCCGAAGCACTCCAGCGCAACCTCCAAACGTTCCTTACCCTCACAATGGATGCGCTTGCCGGTGTACACCAGAAAGTCAAGAACTCAATGGCGGCCGATGCGACTAAGCAGATGGTATGTTCATCTCTTCCTTTTTCACAACACATGTTGAATGACTTATGGGACCTCGTGTTCTCAGGCGTTAGCCTCGTTGAGGAAAAAGTCAAGATCGTTAATGATCTTTGCTGGTATTCTGAAATACCGCATGTCTCCTGATGTGTACTCATACCTCGCACGTTTGGACGTCGAGATTGCTCTGTAGTTTGCTTTATGTCGCATATACATTTCTGTTGTTTCTCGTCTTGTTCATTGCTCATGATTATCTTTTTCACTTCTACCCCTCACAATGCATTTTGTTTTGAATCACACGCTGACCTATAGCGTGCAAATGAACAGTGTAAGACATGCCAACGTCTGTCGCGGTGTCGCAGGGCACTTTAACGTCAATCCTGCAGCCCACTTTGAGACCAGCGATCCGCGAACGAGGCAGACTGCATACCATTTGTGCAGTCATTGCGTCTTAATGGTTTTATACGATCTAACTGTTGCCTGACAGTAACGGATATACTCTGAAAATGTTCACCTAATATTTTCCTCCGAACCTTATAGATAATTAACTCGTACTACTAGGGAAATTTTGACAACATGCGCTGAGTGTCCCCTCGTCCACTGGTGGCATTTTGATTATCTCTGTTCATAGCATTGTGTAGCAGATGTTGGAAAAAAAAAAGCACTGATCGAAAAAATAGCAACTCCTGGTCTCGATCCAGGGACTTCGGGGTTCCTCGGCGCTTATCTAAGCCTATGGGCCCCGCACGCTACCGCTGCGTCAAGTTGCTGTAGTCAACAAGTTTGAAATTAATTTTAGATAGCAAGAATTTAAGGAACATCGTCGAATCCACGGGAAAGTTTGGCAGACATTCAAGGAATTCATCGACGACGGATTCAAAGTCCTGGAGGGGTCGGCCAATGCTTGCGAGCGATAAAGAACTGGCCGCCGCCCGACTTACTCGCGATAGGTACCACCAGGCCCGAATTGCTCGTTGGCCACGCCCCGCACGCTTCCACTGCGTCAAGTTGCTATGCTCCTCTGCGGTAAGTAACTTACTAGTTATCACTAACGGTGAGAATAATATCACAAAGCTTTGTATCGTCGTTGGTTGAGACTCGAAGGTCGTCTGACTCTGTCAAATCCCACCAGGAAATTGATGTATCTTCGTATGAATCTCCACAAAGATCAACGTCCTGACATACATATATCTATCGTACATCATCAGTGCATACTATATGGTACAATAAATGTGATTAGCTCAAAGGAATGCCTGTGCCTGTAACATCCAGATACGCGCATACTCGCCCTGCCGTTTCAACAGTTCGTCATGAGTACCCGTCTCTATGATTCGTGAGTCATTCATATACCTAACGAGAGTCATTAGTGATAGTGTAGTTGAAGAGAATGCACGTACAATATGAGATCGGCATGTCGAGTCAGGTTCCCGAATCGATGAGAAGAAAATAGCATCGTCTTGTTTCCACGCAGGTCGCGTAAACGTGCAAAGAGATCTGGACAACGTCGTTAGATATTAGTGGCAGAGAGAATGTCGACAGGACATACCATGCTCCGCTGTGGGATCCAATGATGCACTCGGCTCATCAAAGAGTAGCAGGCCGACCTTTGAATCGTCCGAAACGACTGAGCGCATGAATGTCCGTGACCTGAACATTACAGTAAATACCAAGGCAAAATTAAAGTCCTGGTAACTCACACAGCTAGTCTCTGCATCTGACCTCCACTCAATCCTATCGACTTGTTCGACAACATCTCGCCAGCCCCACGCACTGTGGAATAATCAACAGGTCTTCCGAATAACGTTTTTGTTCCTTCGGGTAGACCACCATAGTAATCCTTTACCGGACGATCCAAGTACGTGTTGAAACCGTCTGGAAGTTTGTTGATAAATTCTTCGGAACCACCTAACCTGGCAGCCAATCGAATACGTTCTTCGTCTTCAGCGTGTGCCGGGTCACCAAATGCGATGTTATCACGGACCTGTTTCCCCATCATGATCTAGCTTAAGATCCTAGGCATGTAAATAGAAGACGTACCGAAAGCGGGAAATGTGTGTAGTCTTGGAAGAGGACTGAAATTGCTTGACGCAGGTCGGCAAGTTTCAACGTTCGAATGTCTTTGCCGTCTATCAAAATCTCGCCTTCCAACGAGTCGTACAGTCGGACAATCAGCTTGAGTATAGTACTCTTTCCGGAGCCGTTGGATCCAACGATCACCTGATACTCTATGTTCAGCCATGCAACAAAGAAAAGATACGAATACATACACAAAGCTGACCTTGCTCTAATTTGAACGAAACATCGTGCAAGGCATATTCCAGAGAACCTGGATACTGGAATGAAACATTTCTTCATTGTTCGTGAGCAAGATTAAGGTCAGACACGATATCGGAAGCGCGGCGCACCTGAACTCTAACGAGACGCCAGTTTTGAGCTTCTGTTCATCTTCTGGGAAGGGCACGGTACCGTCCACGACTTGGTTGGGGACTTTAAGAACATCATATAGTTTACGAACCGTAGCCATCTGGTCCGCAATTGACCCTGTTTGCTCAATGAGTCGCCAGAAAGAAAACGTGAACGTTGACACCGTTTGAGTGACAAGATGTAGAGTGGTAAGCGAGACAGGTATCGACGCTGGATATTGCACTGCGCGGAGAGCAAATACGATCTATAGAGTCGAGCAGTTCAAGCAGTTTGAATATAACACTATAGAAGGACTAACCTGTGGCATTTCTGCCATCGCCGCTTGAAAAATCCATGTTGGAGTGATAGAGCGCTCATGACGGGCCATGCGATTTTGAAGCTCCCAGAATTCACCAGCATCCGAGCCCACCGTCGCGGTCAGTTGTTTGAATACTAGACAGGACTTCAGATCATCGGCAGTATTTAGGAGAAGATAATACCCACAAGAGATGGCGTAGCCTGTGAGATTACCGGCGACGAACTCCTTGCGGTGCTCAGCGAATGTGACTATTCGTTTCAAGCCTTGAAGTTTGATGTAGGCCTGATTCTTGGTTGTCGCAGCCCATACTGTCGGTTATTCAGCATTTCGGGGATCGCATAAGAATGTAACTCAGAAAACTTACCTCCATCCCTAAGTGGTTGTTGACTCTGCCATCGAATCACTTCACTGATTGATTGGATGAGGGCAACCATTGCAAGCATCCGACCATCCATCTGATTGCTCAACGTATGCCACAACACCGACGACTGCGAAATAAGCTGTATTGCTGTCGAAGCGATACCGGTGACCATCGTAAGTGTCGTCCAGGCAACGCTGTGTCCACCGACGCTACTGGAAGCAGATTCAAGTTGTGCTTGAACAGACTCGTTTTCAAATGTTGGTACATCGAGACGCGCTCTCGCATGGAAGAGGTGGACAGCGAAGTGCTGTTTCAACCGCGAGCTCAATGGCCAAAACAACCGACCCTTTATCCATTGAAGTAGCCTAGTGATAAGTTTGCAAACAATAGCGCCAAAAGTGACCTCCATTAGTAGATTCCGGTCTACAGTGCGTGATTCGACAGCCTTTTGAACAATCGTCAATAGTTGTCCTTTGAACCTAGATAATTGAGTCACCCGAAAAAATAATAGAACAACTTCAATAGGTACACGTACCATAAGTTTGCTGCGGGTATCAGCGACAGAGCAAGCTCTACACAGATATAACAACAGAGAAGAAGCCAACAGCTCCGCATGCTGCTGATATCCTTAAGCATTAACCACACGAACGGTAGATCTCGTCTCAGCTCCAGATATCGTTCATACTTCGAAGACCCAGGTATCTTCTCGAGCTCTGGAGTAATTTCTTGGTAGAGGTCCCATACACCGACACGAGTGTGTTTTACACGAGTTGCATCATCTGGGTTGAAAGTTCCCTTTCTTGAGCTACGGGCTTTGAATCTTCGACGCATGTGTCCCATAAAAGCATCAGTTGAAGAGGACAAGTAACGCCACAGTCCTGATCAACGACAGCAGAGGTAAGTATTAGAAAGTTGCACAGCCAGCGCTCAACCCCGCACAACGCGCGTCTCATAACGCGTACTCCCACGTGCCGCGTATAGTGAGGCATTTTCGCGGCGAAATGTGGATCTGCTTGTAGTGACTGGCAGCTTTCGCCCTATGTACTCTTCGTTCTTGCGACAACGACAAGCCCTGCTACATACGAGTCGTCGTCCTCGCCGCCTTGCCTTCCAGAAGAATGAACAGGCTCATTAGCGTAAGTCAGGCTTCTTGCCAACATGAACGCAGTCCACGCCAACCCCACAAAGCCACAACAGGACTCCCCCACCTCCACAAGCAGTGTCCACCCGCAATGCATCTGCCTGCGATCAGTACGACTGTCTGCCCATGTCTAGCCCCTACCTGCGACCCTAGCTTTGGCCACGCCGGACATCATGACGACCAGAGTCACGACGTAGATTCTCAACCATTCCAGTACGGTCCTCTTTCGCAGCGAGGGCTACCAGCTTCAACTTCAAGAGCTCCAGGATACTATCCAATCTGCACTAATAATTGTCATTATCGGCTGTGAGTTATCATGTTGAAGATTATCCGAAGAAAACTAAATGTTTGTCCTGCCTAAACCTCCGATTAATCACCGTTCCAAATGTACCTGTACATTTTGCAGAAGCGTGTTCGCGAGTTGAATGGGCTGCCTCTTATCAGCAACACGTTCCCGCCTCCCTCCAGTCCTACTCAAACTGCAATCAACATTCCTAGTGCAACATTTCGCACGGCTTTTTTCTTAAATACCTGCCTCTTTAGGACAACCTGTATTTGTCCCTGAACACGTGGCCTCTTCACATGCTTGGCGCCGGACACCATCGCAGTCTCAGCATTGGTGCTGTACTTCCGGAACTACTCACTGGAGTCTCAGAGTGAAGGCACCAACAGCTGCCCACGCCCAGTCCAACGTCGTCTGCAGAGACCATCAGCTACTATGGTAAATATTCTGGAGTGTATTTTATCCCCATAGGGACTAAATGTCATTATTCTACAGGTCTTCGTGAACGAGAAGAAATTCGCATGGTGGGTTACTCCCTTCTGTCTCATCTAGCACCACTCACAACAGAATCAGCGAATCCTGCATCAAAGGACATCGCTCTTCCTCTTGTGCACATACTGATAGGCCACTATTCGAGGTAAAGAAGAAAGGTCGTCCGGTCTCACAATGCCCGCAATGTCGAGAACTCCGAAAAACGAAGAAGGTCCACTCGAGATGCGAATGTAGTACAAAATCGATAGAGAAACCTCAAGTAAGGCAGCTCACGGCAAACTGTAAGCCTTGCTCCCGTCTGCCTCTATAAGCGACTTAGCTCATCGTTGAATCGACTTGGTCAATAGCCAAGCGCTTCATCCCTATCTTGCCAGCTTTGCCTAACGGTCTGAAAGACGCTATGAGCGGTTCAAGCACGCCCAATGTTTCTAATCCAGGGGCTCAAGGTAGGCAGTGAATGATCACAACGAGCTGTTCCTGTCTAATCACATGTTGTCCAGTTTCCACACTCCTCAATCCTTGTAACTGCAAAGACATCTGGAACTGCCAGTGTCGTTCTTCGGATGAGGCCAGTTCAAGTATTATCCCTTCTAATGGTGGCTTAGCGGCCCTGGCGAGGGCGGCGGCACTCTGCTGCAATGAAGAGCTCAATGCGACACCCAAGACAGCGATTGTAGACGGCTCTTCTACCTCAGAGGAACCTATCCCTAGTTGTTGTCAAGCAGCTTCAAAACCGATTATCAACATCTCGAAGCGTAAACGTCGTGGTTCTCCATCTCCTATACCCCCTCCGTCAAGCAAGCACCGCGGATCATTGTTCCCTCCTATCGCGCTACCTCCAATCACTTCACACGCAGCTTCCATGTCTTCAACCTATTCACCAGTTCCAAACTTCCCTTCTATTCCTCCTTTAAGCTCAATCGCCGCGTTGGCAGGTTCAGGCTGCTGCTGTGGTTTTCGCTGCACATGTCCAGGTTGCGTGGAGCACCGTGGGCCAGAACATGCTAGCAAAGATCACGAGGACTGTCCAGACGGTTGTGCGACTTGCGTGGATTACGAGGGCGGAATCGAGCTTCCCGCGGTCCATTCGCACCATTCCACTTCTGCATCCTCATCAGGCTCTCATGATTCGTTGGAATCACGTACAGGGCTCGGCACTACAGGTGTTGGGATCGGATCGTCCGGCACGAATTTCGTGGATTCGTTCTTTGCGCGCGCAGCTGCTTCGGTGCCTTTACCGCCGGCTCCCCCTCAACGCGCGCGGAATGGTACTTTGAACCCGGGGGATACTACCGTCTATCCCTCAATGCTTTTTGCCAGTGGATCCAAACATCTAGAAGAGCGTGGTCCTGCCTTTGGATTGGTGAGACTACCGAAGTTGAAGTGTTGTTCTGGTCGATGCGGATGTCCGGATGGGTCTTGTGGATGTGCGAAGAGCTGTGAAGGTTGCGCAGATGATGTGGAGCATCTCCATGACCATGGAAAACCATCATCACCCTCCTCATCCGCTGTCGATAAGGAAGTGCGAGATAACGCAGGTGTGGCCAGTTGCTGCTCTTCGCCGCGATCGACGATCCAAACTTCATAAGTCATCCTTCATTATGCGAGTGGTTGTCCTGCCTGTTCCTCTACTCAATCATACCTATGCCCTTCCTCTTTTCTTGACATATATGGAGAATTCAAATAGTTCATATTGCTTGTATATTTAGTATGCATATCGTTCATGAATTCAATGTTGCGTATGAGCTCTTCGATCTGGCGTTGGTGTTTTCTGAGATCGGTACCTTTTCTCACTACGATATTTTGTTTCAACATGCCTGTCGCTGATATTGTTCTGCGTTTGTCTCATTTGCAGGTGACGATCTCTGGATCCAGGTAAGTACATTTGCCTCTCCACGTTCCGCTTAGCCACCACCTACTTTTCTGCGATAAAACCACATGCCCACCGTCTATGACATTTGTCACGGAAACAGGCGAAAGTCTGTGTACGGGTATAGTACGACACGCAATAGAGGAACCTCGAGGCTTGACATGGACAGAACTCGAGTTCACCTAATGACTTGGGTTCATATTTCAATGCACGAAGTATTGGACAAGCTGTTGATGGGCGTCGAAACGAGGATCATGCCAAAGAAGAAAGATCGGTCAGGCAGCCTCATTTCATGACTGACTACACCATACGTAGACATTCATAGGATGGCTGACGTTTCAGTTGGACATGAGAAAATTCAGCCCAATTTTGCAGGTAGCTGTAAACGAGCACGATACCTATGACGACTGAACAGTTCCTAAAGAACGAACACGGACACCCGTAAGCTTGAAGAGTCTTCTCCGGCGAAAACAAGGTTCGCACCTGTACAGACTCGGACAGTGCTTCCCATGATACATTTCATACTACTCATGCACAGGGGCGATCTGTCACGTCCAAGTTCTATGAATAGTTTTAAAAGGAACGAAGCTGGTGTCAAACAAATTATGTTCGTGATGCGTGGAGGCTAAGTCCATGAGCTTGCTAGGAGACCACTGATACTTGGCCGAAGCTCGCATGACATTTAACTTCTGTCTCAATCTGCTCAGAACGCGCTATCGGTGCGGTGTGAGTAAAATAATTACAGATGCCTTGGAATGCTGTACAAAGCATGAGGATTATCCAAAGATCAAGGCACATCGAATGGGCAGTATGGAACCAACGTTTCCGCTGACAGACCGAAGCAGTGAGAAAAACCTCTCGGAAGGAGATGCCATCGCACGGTCATGCCACCCAGAAGGAATAGTTACAAGAATGAATCTAACGAGCATAGTGCTCAAACAACAGACATTGTCCGAGAATATGTTGTAGGCGAAAAGCGTCGGACCCTCCAAAACGCCTCTTCCGTCGTGACGATCGATCCAAGTCCTGTATAGCTGTTTTCGTTTGATCTTGCTTAGCAGGAGCGTAGAGCGTCTTCCTTCAATTGTTTCTTGCATTTTCTCGAGCAACACCCTGTTTCTGTGCTTTCGCGCATGTATTCGGCTCTTCCATCGTAGTAGCATGCGGCTGCCGACTCGGCTGCAAGTAATTTGCAAGTTTTTGGCAGGACAGAACAAGAATCTCAACCGCGGTTATCAATCGGCCACTCTTGCTCGCTCAACTGTAGAGTCACTCAATGTTCTTCCATTAATATCCCACGACGTCTAATCAGCGTAGCTCATAACGGTGGCCGACTCGGGAATACTTCGCTTGCCGGGCAAGAATGAGCAATTCTGAAACCGCAACGCTGGCTAATCCTGACAATAACAAGTCAAGAGCCTAGATATTGTAGAGTTGTACCTAGAGAGATGTTCAGCCAATATTTCAAGTCACTCCGGGAAATTCAGCAATTTTTGTGTAAGTCAAAACGGTGATATGAAGGTTTACGATCATGATGGCGGTGATCCCCTCGAGAATTCGGACTCTCCTTCCCACCCATCACTTGGTGACTTAGCGGCACCGGCACTACAGCCTAGTATCCTTTTCAGTCTTGTCAGCCATCATAACTGTCACCGGCGGTCAGGCGTATTCATGTTCCAACCAGTATGCTGACTTCCCTGGAAGGGGCTTTGTTCCCGACAGTTCATTCTGTTTACCATCACGAACCGCGTGGCTGGAAGCATAAAACTCTCATGTCTCCCTTCTATTGTCGGCTTTCCCTCAGATTCCCTCCCATCTCGATCGCTTCCCCGAAAAGTCTCTTGCTTGCTTGTTTCGTGGTGCGTCGGATGCTCTACCAGCTCACCGGCGATCGTCCATTTTGATGTGTATCTCTCGCGTAGAGCGTTACGAAAGCCGAATAATAATCAAAGCGCTGGTCTGGACGAAAGCCAGAGGTTACTCCGCATCGGTCGCAGTTGAAGTTTCCTCCAACGCTATCGGCATCTTGCATTGGCTGCTTTACTCTCGTTTACTGCGGACTGTTATTAAAGACCCTTCGCTGCTGGGCCTTCCAGCCAAGCTATGTCTCTGACGGATGGCACGTACTACGGACCGGTCGACGAAAGTCCCCAAGATATCTTTCTTGAGAAAACATTCTTAGCAAGCGGGTACTTAACGGGTGTTGGCTATGGTATGTTGCTCAGTGTTCGTCCAGGTCTCAACACCAACCAATCATTCTCCAGGTGTACAACTCGTACTGTACGGCGCTTGCGTTAAGAAGCTGTGGCGGCGAAAACCCCGGATACGCTTTACACTTTTCCTCATCTCGTACATCACTGTGCTCTGTATTATGAACACGATATGGACGGCGACTTCGGCGTATGGTCTGCAGTTGACATACATCGACTATCGGAATTATCCGGGAGGTTCTCTGGGCTTCTTACGGGTCGAATTCTCGTTGCCCAGCAATGTACTGTCATTGGCAGCATACATCACTGGTAACATCCTCGCAGACGCACTTTTGGTAGGATACACGCTGTTGGATGTTCGTTCTTTAGCCTCTGACAAATTTACTAGTTATGGCGTTGTCGAGTGATTTGGACAGCAGCTTTCAATGTGACTGCCAATTTCGTCATGATAATACCAATGTTAATGCTTTTCGCATCTTTCGGTATGTTTTCTATTCCTCTTATTCCACGTCATCTTAACATTATTTCCCTCCCAGCTGTTGCAGTCGTCTTCGCGATAGAAACAGCCTCACCAGAAGGCCTCTTTTCTCAAACTACTACCAATTTCGCCCTTCCTTATTTCGCCATCTCACTTTCCCTTAATATCATCCTCACACTCCTTATCGTCGGTCGAATGTGGTTCTACCAACGAGAAGGCCGTGCCGTCTTTGGTCAAAGTTACGGCAAACATTATGCGTCTATCTCGGCCATGTTTATTGAGAGCGCTGCTCTCTACGCTATTTGCTCTATCTTGCTTTTGGCCACCTATGCTATCCAACATCCTATCAACCAGATATGGTTCGGCCTCAGCCCGTCCGTACAGGTTAGTAATGAAGCCGTGTTTGATCCCGATGCTCATCGTCGTGGTTTTTGGATGATGGCTGATGACTGATTTTACTTCTTGCTGTACAGATGATTGCGAACTATCTCATCATTTACCGTGTCGCCGATGGTCGAGCATGGTCTTCCGAGATGTTTACTAAAGCCACAGGCGTAGTATCCTCTATAGCCTTCGATTCCAATGCTTCCTACAATGATACCCCTTCTCGGAATAATTCAGAGCCAACGACCACGACGGTTGTCTCGGATTCGAGAGCGTACAGTGTCCCACTACAGACCTTGGGCATAGTCGACGATGGAGTTTCGTCAAGAAGTAAAGTGGACGATTCGTCAAAAGTGTCCGTGGAGCGTTCGAGTGTACACACGAAAAGTAGGGTCATATCATGGGTGCAGAAAGAGGAAGTCTGAGGCTTCTTCCATTGCTCTGGTTTCCTAGTCGTGTCATTGCTGAGTCTATTCGTATACCTTAATTTTCCGACGTTAGACACTGTACTTTTAGTGTAGCAGTACGTTCTGAACCAATCACATTCCAGTCTTACCAAGAAAAAAGTGTGCATAATTCATGTCTTGCGACAGCTGACTAGAAATACAGTTCGTCAAGATCCTCCGTATTCAATACGGGTTTAGCCTTCTTCACGTTCTTCTGCTTGGAGGGAGCTGCTTTCTGTACGATACCTCTTATAGCCAACCTGAAGTCCAACTTCCACTCCTTCACGGCATCTTTGGGCAAGCTTTTCACTAAAACTTCTATCCGCTGCACTTGCTCCCTCAGTTTCCCTATGTCCTGAGCGCGATGAAAGTCCGACGCAGGTGCCAGGAGCTGCTGCAACTGTGTGACTTGTTTGTACATACGACTAACCAGGTGCTTCAGAATTTAGTATAGAACCAATAGCCGAATGGGCATACCTGCTCCTATCTAATTCCTCGTTCACTTTCTCGAGTTGTGAATATCTGTCAGTGAGCCGTCGTTTGGCTTTGGCTTTCTCGTCCGATGCATATCCATTGACCTTCTCCAGGCATACCAAAGCGTGAGGTAGAGGTCCAAGGACGTAGTACCTGTATGGTTTGCGAAGATCCCCGCATGTCATTAGACAACTCTCGAACCAACGCTTTCTTGCTTCGGCAATGCCGCTCAGCCGTGTCTGGCGACTGGCCCGATATCGACGATATGTGTACTGGATGAGACAAGCAGCCCGAATTTCCTCATCCAAACGACGGCGTAGGAAACGCCGGACTGCTCTCTGAATGATCTTGGCTGCGTCGATATTCTCCTTCCTTGGAAGGAAATGGACACTCGGCTTAGGATCATCTTGGGGTTCATCTCGGTCAAGGAGCTCAGTCATGGCTATAGTGTCTACAGATATGTTCCTGCCTTGAGAGTCGCTCGTCAAAACATTCTCCTGTTCGTTCGCGACTGGGGGAGCGGATACATTTCCGGGTAAATGGAAGGGACCGTGAGAACCGCCTCGGAGATTCATGAGAGCATCGTGTAAGCTTGTGTACGCAATGGTGCGAATACCAGAGAGCGAGTGAGCGGGTCCTTTTGTGATATCCTTCAGCAGGATCAACTCATCGAAAGGAGAAGAGAATTGAGTATTCGTCTTGCGTAACGCAGACCAAAGGTCGTCCCAACCTTTCGCAGTGACATATCTTAATTTCGAGACCAGTGAGTATACGGCGATCCTCGAGACTAAAATACATACCGTATGTGCAACAGCGGAATAAAGCGATCAGGATTATATACGCTGCAAATCATCTGTAGAACATGCGAGCGGAAGAACGGAATGTTGCATCCAACTGGAAGATCAGTTATGACAAGCCGGATCACTTTCAATGAAATACAGGGAACATACATAAACACAGCGCTCTGAATCTGTATTCACACGAATTCAATCAAGTGAATCAGAAGTCATGCTGAATACGACACTTACATACGCAAGACCATGACATTGATAGCTTGCCACGAACTTTTCATGTACCACGCGTGCTTATTGGACATAAGATGCTCTGATAGGATTGCGGTAGCCACCCCGTCAGTGACTTCAAACGTACCAAGCAAGAGAAACGCACCAAAGTTTCCTTCAGAATAAATATCACCCAAGAGGTCCTGTACCGATCGCAAGAGAGCTAAGGCCCAATGACGAGAAGTGTCTCGCGAAGCGACAGATGGGTCAGTGGGTAATGTTATAAGCCAAGCCCGAGGTAGAATGGTGTTGTGTAGCGTTGCATTCATTCGGATCCTATGCGCGATCACGAAAGAGCCGAAAATAAATTCAATGAAGGTACACAAAGCACTAAGGTCAAGATGGTGCCTTGATGCACAAATCTGCCTGAAACAAGCTATAGGCATCATGTACGGAAAGCGACGAAGATGCTCACTGTATGAAGAGAATTCCCGCAGAAATCGGCAACCTGCCAGACCCATCAAGCGCCTGCAGAAGATCATGTACGATGTAGCGTTGCCCGTCACGAAGAAGTTCCGACCGGGGCATCCGAGTTCGAACACAGGGTATGCGGCCCAAGTACCTCTGAGCATTGACATGATTTAGGGAGAATGCAAGGGTAGATGTTTCCAGGAAGGTAGTCAGGAAATATTGTGCAGTATATTGAATATCAGGCCTCAACGAATACAGTCGATCCTGCACCCAGTCATTTGCGACCTGAATGGCTCTTGGAGCCTCGGGTATTGTGGTCCAGTCCACGATTGAAATGGACCCTAACATAGGATGGATAGGATAAAGGTTTCCATACAATGCATCCAGCCAGAACCTGTAAGTCCACATATAAGACGTATCGCAATATCCAATAATGTCATATATACGTACCTTCGTGCTGCAAGTTGCCTACTACGTCCTTCTAGAGAGTGCAACGTTTGATAGATGAGAATTTGCTGACAACATATGCGTACCCGGATATTGAATGATTGATTGGCCATAACAGATGCTATGTGACTTTTCTGGCAACTAAGGAGTTTACACTCTCCGAAGAGGGCAAACAGTGAGCAAGGGAACAAGTTTGCACTTGAACGACACTGCCCATTTTCATGATAAACGCGTTCCCTGAGACGATCCCGTATGGTATGTTGAAGCATGACGGAAAAGTCGCATGCCCGCATGGTGATATCGTCTCCGACAGATGTCCCCAGTACAGAGATAGCATTTTGACGTGCGATGGGATGTAAAAAGGTTCCTGCAGCAACGACGACCAAGTCTTCATCTGGCTTTTGAAAGGCAAACAATCGCTGCATTCCAATGACGTTGCATGGATCTGATAAGTAGGCCACCTTCTCTAACTGCCGGACATATACTAAAAAGGCTTCCAACACTGACGAGATCTCGTGGCAGGTTGCGCTGCGAGGGATGGCTAGTGATTCATTGAAGACGTGATCGAGACAAAGTAATGTGGTGAACGTGTCGTTAAACTCCTGGTGGATTTGGAAGGCAAGACGGCGCAATGAATCCACATCACGACGTGCGATAGCTTGGAAAATGACAATCTATACCGGCCATTTTAGATTAGGCCATTTTCAATGAGTTCGTCGAACCTACCTGAAGGCGTTCATGCCCGGACGGAGAACACGATTGTAGAACTTGATCAGCAAGTTCGAGAATCGATCTAGCTTGTTCTTCGGTGGTATCGCATTGAGATGTCGTAGCAAACGAGAAAAAGCGCCAAAGTCCAGCAAGCAGGTATTGAACCGCTTGTTTCCCATGTATCGGGTCTTCAGGTCTCCGTAGCATCAGGTTAATAGCCTGAACAAAGCGACCTTCGGCGGCATGGAGCTCTGCGGCATCCAAAACTTGGCCCATATTTTCAAGAAGTTCTACTTTGGCCATATTGAAGCCGAAATCTTCGGTGTATTCTATGGCTTCATCTTGACATGCAAATAGCCTGCCAGCTCGTCTATGCCATCTCTGGTTTAATAACTTGCAGTAGCTGAATGCGCAGAAAACTCACTGTACTTGATGCTCCCTGAAGTAGTGAAGTTTCGCAACGGCTATGATGGACTCGGCGGCTGTGGGATCAACATCCGCATCGTGCTCATGAACGATTTGGACAGCGTCATCAAACATTTCAGCTTTTCGGTAAGCCTTGGCAGATTCAGTGTAGTCTTCTGCAGAGCGATATGCTTCAGCGGCTCGCTGGTGAACATTTGCCTCTGCGAAGCATCCCGCAGCAAGACGATAGTATTCCTTCACCTCCTCCGGCTGTGAAGACGCTGCGGCGCAGCTGACGAAAGCCTCAGCTGCTTCCACAAGAGCCCCATCCCGGCTGTCAGATGTGACTGGTAGAGATAAAGCCGACTGTCGGAGATCGTAGGCGATGGCAACGTCTCTCTCTCTATACAACCCTGCGCGTTCATAGCAATGCACAGCTTGTCTGTATGTTCCATTCTTGAATAGCATATGACCAGCCTCCGCCCATTCCTCTTGTGCAGAGGATACTGCCAGTTTGGGGACTTCATCAGCGGGCGTGCATATTTGTACTTGTTCACGCGAAAGCCAGACGTCCTATCAATGCAGTGAGATATGTTTATGGAAGCAGAGGGTGATCATCAATGCCAACATACCCTCATCGGATTGCCCTTGTCAGAGCAGTCTGCTATCCACACATTATGTCGTGCACGCGTAATTGCGACATAGAGAAATTTCAGCTATGATTACACCCAGATATGATGTTACGGCATGAATCCCCAAAACGTAATAAATGAATGCTTACCTCTCGGCAAACTACATTGTGTCGTGTGTCAACTAACTGAGATGGCTGGCCAAAATCATCTTGTTGAAGGATGTTCAGGACGATGCGCCATTGTGAAAGCGCGAGATCCGAGTCTTGAAAGAAGTTATAAAGAAGAACCTGGACAGCCAAGCTATGAGTCGTCAAGATCCACTCGTGATGCTCGGCAACCTACGTCATTGAATTCAAGACCTTTGCTTTCGGGGAGTGTCCTACATAATCTTGGGTAAAAATGCAAAGAGAAATTGAGTCGTTCAAATATATACACACATGATCATCCCTATGTTTCCTACTCGCGAACGCAGTTCATCTCGCGCTGCTTCGTCTCTGACCAAAATACCTAATGGACGTGAGGATTAAGTCGAGAATGTGACTTTAACAACTCGGACTCACATTGAGTAGCTCCGAACTCTACAATGTTGTCGCTAAATGGAAAGGTGAGCGAAGGTCACGGCATGATCACATGATCTAACTTACGAAGTGCCAAACAAGAATTGTTCAAATCGTATTGAATGTTCGTCCCATCCACTGAACATGATTGGCTTAACACCGTCGCCAACTCCTCTTTCTTCCGCAAGGATGTCAATCGAATGTGGCCAGAACTGTGTGATGATGTGTATGACAGTCTGAGCAAAACTGACGATACCGCCATGAGAGCGATAGTTGATCGCCAACTGGAATGCTTTGGGCTGAACGGCTTTCCTGAAGTTCTTGGGTGAATCTGCGCGACATGCTTTCTGTTTAACGAAATCAGAAACGATATTCGGGATGGATTAAGTGTGAGCAGACCTCTATGCGGTAAAGAAAGGCCTTCAGATCTTTGAATCTGAAAGCACTTCCTGCAGATATCGTCTGAGCTGTGTCTCCTGCCCAGAACAACCCATCTGCATTTCCGCATATGCTACGAGCGACTGATATCGGACTAAGTAATGGGTAATTAGGTGAAAGAAGACGAACAACTGTACCTAACGCATCAATGAGCAAGTTGTCCTGGGCCTCGTCAACGTATCTACGGCTCAACAGTATTAGCGCATGAAACACAAGGATAGCCAAAAGCTTACAAGAAGTCCACTTTCTTGCCGGGGATGCCATGCTCATTGAGTGCTTGTAGAAGAGCCCTGGTGCTGTAGAAGATGGTCAGAAGATATGCTGGCAAACCTTAGGAAAACTAGGACGCACCGGTCAGCAGCATCATACTCTTCACGTTTTCGTTTCAGGCGAAGAAAACCCTCAAAGAGATCATACAGTTGCTCTCGCTGTGTAGCAAACATGCCAGCAGTGCGACGACTGAGGGCCAGATAATCTTCTCGACAGAGATATCCAGTGGGGGATAGTAGGGACTTTTCAGAGCCCTTGATGATACCTACGAAAAGTTGAGATGGCATGAACCAAACACTCCGTCATCGCGCTTACCCATGAACTCTGCAAACACCAGTGATGGTTCTGTAGAAACAAAAGATTTTCACAACTACAATGCGAAGGCGGAGGTAAGCACGTACCTAATACCTTCGTTAAGGTCTGCGGGAAATGGGGCCAGTACGAGCTTTTGAATTTCCGGTACGATACACATGACGCCTGGCGTTCCGACAAGTGATTGATTAGAGGGCCTTCTCCGGAGTAACACTGTCTCAAATCGAAGTCATTCTCGAGCATCTTGCAGAGCTAATAAAAGTCTTCAGATTCACTCCAAGGGACTGGCAAAACTGATATTCTCTCACATGATCAAAGGTGAGGAACAGCGGGAAATGCTCGTCCTGAAGTTCACTAAATCTGCTTGGAAGGTCCTGTCCCCAATCACGTTCTTCATCAACGTTGACGTGAATACGTGTTCGTCGTCCAACAGCACGTCCGACTCCTTGCGACATAGAGACCTTCTCGTAGTATTCTTCGACTTTCTCTGCCAGCATCCTCGACTGTGTGACGAAGATCTGACGAGGCTTCGGGACACTTCCAGCCAGGGCGTCCCTTGTGTCTTGCCACGCCCTCTCGATACCAAGGATTTTGAAGATCATTGTCGTAGTTTTGCTGCGGTTGTTGCAAGTTTATCTCCTACCCAGGATAATCGTTGACATTGACTCACCCAGTGCCGCTACGGCCCAAGACATACGAAGACCCGATATGTTTGACGATCTCTTGCTCCGTCGCTCTAAAGATTGATATAAGGAAGTGAATCAAAGCAGCCGAACAATTGAAACATACGACATTTGGAACACGTGTGCTCCTTCTTCACCCGCTAGAACGCCTGAAAAAAAAATTGAAGATATCAATCTTGAACTAGACTGCGAAAGCGAATGTTTATCACCATTCAAAAATGCCTATAGAGATGAGGGTTGGCGGTTAGCAGGGTAGTGTATATAGGATAGTGACAATCAACGTGCCTGAGAGAATGCTACAAATTTCTCCAACCTGTCGAAGTCGCAACCTTAGATGAACGTATCCAGAAAGTGAGAACGAGACGTACATAACTGAAATCTGCGCAAATCGTGAACAATGAACAAAGCAACAAAAAAAGAAACCATGGAATAACGCACCTCCTCTTTATCATCGCTGCGACAACCCGGGATTTGAAGCCTTAGCTCTTGCTGTGCGCCTTCGGCTTGAGGTGGGAAAGACGCAGGAGATATGACATGATTCCTGGGCTGATTGGGTTGATCACGGACTTTGCAACTGCACAGAATGGAGATATTGATTAAACTACAGGGGGTAAACATCATCCAAGACCCACCGTTCACGATATTCATTTCCTCTCTTTGCAAGTCGTGCGCCCAAGACCTCCCAGTCGAACCTATCCAGTTGGGTGTGCGTATAGATGCCGAAGATCCGAATGACTGAAGGAAGCTGAAATTGGCACGATGCCGTTTGCTCCACATATCGAAACTCACCTTGACGGTCAACCTGTCCATCGAGATATTTAGCAATATTGTTGACCCAGCATGAAATATGACTTACACCGGTCTCGAAATCACGTTCGCAATCAATTTGATACTGTACGGGTGTCAGTTAGAGTGAGCCCATAAAACACGGCAACCCAACAATACTCACTACAAGCCGGGAATCTCTGGTCATCTTTGCCTCATATACCGGAATGTTTGTCGTTCCTCTGTTCAACCTCTTGTGGTTGTCAGGAGAAAACTGACCGTTGGAAAGCTCCCTGTAACTCCTTCAGCATGTTTTCAATTGTCATTGGAAATGCTATGCCCACTTTATCTTCTTCACGATGATTTCGAACAACACTGCATTCTTCTTTCTCGCATCACGTAAATCTCGGTTCGCATTGGATGGTATAAGAATTCGCCAGTCGCCGAAACCTTCCGGCGTATCGAAGTGCAACGCAGCTCTGAGCGGTTGCACCCTTGGATAGACCGAGGGTGTTGACTCGATTGTTGCAGCTGTCAACTCTTCAGTAGCGTTAGGTACCACAGTATCATTTGACGCGATCGTAGGTTCTGGCTGAGAAATAATGGTAGGAATATATGCAAGTCTGATTGACTCCGCCAAAGCTGGCCTTCGAAGGACATCAAGATAATGCTGCAATATTGTGTGATCAACACAATTTCCATAAGAATCGATGCTCAAATTCCAACATACTTCAAGAATGCGTCTTTGACCTAGCAATATTTCATTGACGAGGGACTCCGCTTCCTCCTTTGATTCAGGTACATCCAAACCAAGGTCCTTGAATGGCTTGCTATCAGCAATACTGCGTCGTTTCTCGCGTGCCTCCTTCTTCTTTTCGCGCTGCGAAGTTCCTTTCCTACTTAGGCTAACAGGGCTCACAGGTGAAACCGGAGAAATTGGCGACTCATCGCATCCAGGAAATGAAGCAGAGATAACGCTCAACACGGGAGCTGCAAGCTGCACAGTGCGGAACGAGGTGGCTGCATCTGGTATAAGATCCAAAGACGTCATGAAAAGAGATATTTGAGACAAGAGCCTCGCAGCGATGGAGGCCACGAATCCCGATGCAGATGCGGGGAAGCTCTGAACGATGAACGCCTGCAGGTACTCCGCAGAAGCGGAACTAATAGCTGCAGAGCAAGTGAATAATCACTATTGTAGAGGATATGATAGACTTACAGGAGAAAATAAACTCGAACAAGCGGGGATACTCCAGGATATCATTTAGTACTCGCTCCTTATCGACCCCGGGATCAAAAAGCTTGTGTTCGAAACTGCTCCAGACAGATTCGACAGCCATTTGATCCCGAAGGACCATAGGGTCGAAGACACTGAGGTCTACAGAACGGCGAGCCTGTATATCTTTGGTGATGAAAACCATAGTTTCGTTAGGTTGAAGAGAAAGGCCTGTTGGTAGTAAGTGGGAACGATGGGAGCGTTGTCAACAGCTCAGGCCTAGAGTTTAATATCACTACCGTACCCTATCTACCTCATGTTCTGTCTTCTGGTCATGGGGTACGGAAATGCACTTACCTAAACTTACTTTGAACGCCAAAGATTCGAAATGAAAAGTTGGAAGCTGTCAAACTCGACATGAGGTGCTGCGCTCAGGCCTCAGGGCATAAAGCAGCTAAGAGGCCGCAAACGCGCAGGTCGATGTAGTCCTGAGTGTCAGTACTTCAAGCTTCAATATCTACCATCATTCTTTCAAATGTCAACGCTAGAAACTGAGCATCCAGAAACGTTGCGTGCAAATGTTGGAAGGCAGGAAGTCCGTGGGATACCAATTTAGCGCTAGACGTTGTTACGTAACATGCCTGTAAAGGTAATTTCGCATTCTATTTCTTGAACTCCATACTGTATCTTTTGATTTGATCTTGCCGCCAGGATTTGAGCTCTTTATATCATTACATTGACTCTGAGCACCTGGCCGAATTGGTCTTCATCTACATATCTATCATGTCGGAAGGCGAGACGTTGAACATTACCCGTCTCCCATTCCAACCACTACCATCTGTTGTGCCCCCGGACTCATACGATGCTCATCGCAGCAAACAAACACCTTTGGTCATCGACAATGGCTCTACGAATCTTCGTTTTGGATTTGCAACCTCCTCAACACCTCGTACTGGCCTGAACGTGGTTGCAAAGTACAAAGAACGTCGAACGAATAAGCCACTGCTTCTGTTCGGCGAGGGAATCGAGGCTGAGAGTGGAGCTAAAGCCCAGGCAAAGACACCATGGGAAGGAGATGTGTTATTGAACTTCGATGCGCTGGTGAGTTGGATTGATTCCTCTTTCGTAGCATAAGGTCAGGTTGTGTGAAGTTCTTAAGAATTATAGCGAATAACTCTTTGCTTGTTGTGAGACATAGGAAAATGCATTGGATTATGCTTTCATCCATCTCGGAATCGACACGCCTACTGTCGATCATCCTGTCATTATGACAGAGCGACTGAGCTCGCCGTTGCATTCTCGTGCATGTAAGCCACTTTGTTGCAGTATCTGTACGCATACTTATGAAGGTGTGATAGTAACCTCTGAGTTGATGTTCGAACAGTACGCCGTTCCTTCTTTGGCGTATTGCGTCGACTCAGTAATGTCGTTCTATCACAATAACATACCGTCCCCGCCTATACCTTTCACTTCGGATGGCTTGGTCGTATCATTCAACTCTGCATCGACGTCAGTCATTCCTCTTCTAAACGGGAAAGGCATCATGAGTCATGCTAAGCGGTGAGTACAACTAGACATCGTACAGAGAATTCTTACTGAGGATATGCTCAGGATACCTTGGGGTGCAACTCAAGCGACAGAATTCCTCCTCAAACTCGTACAACTGAAATACCCGACTTTCCCAACACGAGTAACAACAGCACAAACAAGTGTATGTCCAATATTTCTCTTGTGAACCTTCCTCCGGTCTGACGGTCCTTCCTAGTGGATGCTCCAGAACTTCTGCGAATTTGCAATCGATTACCCAGCTCTCCTGCGCGAACTCAAAGATCCATTAAAATTGCGAGCATCTGAACGTATCGTCCAGTTTCCTTTCATCTTGCCAGTAATAGAAGAGAAGACGGAAGAGGAACTCGCGAGGATCGCTGAACGGAAGAAGGAACAGGGAAGGAAGTTGCAAGAAATAGCAGCGAAGTCAAGGATGGAGAAGGTTTGTTCCGCCCTCTCTGTGTTGTGTTTTCATGCGCTAACTGGGTGGTGCAGTTGGTGCAGAAAGAAAGTGATCTTCAGCATTTGCTGAGTTTGAGGGAGCGACGGGAAGAGGAGAGCAAGAAAGACTGGGCTGTAAGTTCCTCATTTTGCCGTGTGATGTATGATCTGACAGAGCTGTCCCAAGGCAACCCTGCAGGAGGAAGGTTTCGAGAACGACGCAGCCCTTGACGGTGCTATCAAGAAGCTGGAAAGTAATTTGAAGCGCGCACGCAAAAAGGAAGCCGACGGCGAGGACATGGAGGTATGAATATTCCTCAATTTACGACGTCAGAGGAATTCTGAGCCTATATTACAGGATGAACCGCCTTCTTTCCCTCTAATTGATGTGCCAGATGCAGACGTATGTCCTTTACTTTGTCCACTGTCAGCTCATCTTGATCTGTGCTTCAGCTTGACGAAGACGGTCTCAAAGAGAAGAAGAAACAGAGGCTGTTAAGAGCAGGTTACGAAGCTCGCGAGCGTGCGCGCAAGGAGAAAGAAAGGGAACGCGAGGAACGAGAAGCAGAGGAGCGTAAGGAAGAGGAAGAACGAGACCGCGACTTAGCTGGATGGGCGACTAAGTTGCGCAAAGAACACGATGTACGCAGTCTTCAGTCCTACAGTTTCTCCGAACGCAAGAGTATAGTGTTGACCGGTACGTTCCAGGCCATCATAAACAAGATTAAGGATCGAAATCGTCGCAAGGCAGCTTTGACTGATAGGAAGAGCGCGGCGTCGCAAGCGAGGATGAAGAGTATAGCAAATCTTGCTGCAGATGAACGTGTACCCAAGAAGAGACGTAAAAACGGAGGAGGTGGGTTATCATTGTGTACCGAGATGTGGCATCGACTGAATGTCTTCTTAGAGGACATGTTTGGCGCCGATGATGCAGATTGGCAGATATACCGCAAGATCGTAAGTTATCTCGGTGTCCGCAACGGCAATCTTTCCATCTGACTATTTTGTAGAACACCACTGCGCCGTCCTCGGACGAAGAGGACGACTATGCCAACTTGCAGACAGTGGAACAGAAGCTGCTTGCTTACGACCCGACGTTCACCGCTGAACATACCCATGCCTCATTGTCCTCACAAAGGTCTGCCCTCATGCAAGCTTTCAGACCGGAGTATGCGGAGGGGGATGTAGAAGGTATTTACTCTTTTAACTATATCTCTACAGTGTCTGACCATGTCCTCATTGATAAAGGGAAAACACGCATTCATTTGAATGTTGAGCGATGGAGGGTCCCGGAAGCCTGGTTCCAGCCAAGCATGGCAGGGGTAGATTCTGCTGGTCTTGGAGAAGTTATACAGACTGTCTTGGCTCGTTTTACCGACACTGAAAAGGGCAGACTCGTCAAGGTATGCATCCATTCCTTGAGCTTTTCCCTCTTGATTTATTTACTCATATTTAAATGGCAGAACGTGTTCGTCACTGGTGGTCCTTCCCAAATACCCAACTTGCTTCCCCGCCTAAATGCCACCTTACGGCCAATTCTTCCTCCTGAAATGCCATTGGATATTGTCCGCGCTGCTGACCCTGTCCTTGATGCTTGGAGGGGTATGGCCGACTTCGCTAGGACGGACGAGTTGAAGCGCGTCGGTGTGACGAAGGCTGAGTATGAAGAGTGGGGCGGTGAGCGGATCAAACGGTGGTGGGGAGGTAATTGGAATGCGTCTGTGCCTATTTGAGGTTCCTGTGTTAACAACAGTTCTTGACTCGTTGTACCTATATCTACTGGATTGTAAGCTTTGTGATGAATGCGCTAGTGGTTAAATTGATCTAGGCAATGCAAATATTTGTACATGAATGTGTTACTTTCACCCAAGAAATACACGCATGGAATCGGTCAGATGATATCATATGCATCTTCTACCACCAGCTTCGGTTTGAGTCGCTTCTTATGAGGCTCTCGTTTCCCTACAATACCTATAACAGCTATCTGGAGATCCCTTTCCCAGTCATTCGCTGTGCTGGCTGGAAAGCGCTGAGACAATTCTACTACCTCAATAACATGAGCCCTCAAGATCTCAATTCTCTGTTGCCCGTGTATTGCGGATGTCGGTGTAAGTGTCTTCTGAAGACGCAAGACCTCCTTCGCTAACTGACTGTGAAAAGCATGCCATCTATGAGAGAAGTCCCAATACAAAGAGTAACAAGGATCTAACCTGGTTCGATCTAGCTCTTCATTGACCTTTTCTAGATCATCGTTATTGCCAGCACTCCATTTCTTAGCGGCTTGTTTCTTGGCCTTGAAGGCGAGACGGTTAAGCTTTTCTAGGCACACAAGGACATGGGGGAGGAAACCAAGGAAGCGAACTTTGTACGCCACGCGAAGACCATTGGAAGTCTTGAGGCACCCTTCGTACCAACGCGTCCAGGCCTCCGAAAGAGTTGACGGACTATCCCTACGAGCGCAGTAGCGTCGATATTTCCGTTGGATGCGTATTGCAGCTTGGATTTCGCTTTCAGTCGGTGGGGCGAGCGGCTGAAATGCATTTTCGATATGCACAGAGTCGGCCGACGCCACAGGTTCGGCCACGTCGAAGTCCTCTTCAGCCAGAGACGAATCCTCCATGTTGTCATCCGCTGCGACATTCAACTCCAAGTGGCGGGGGATGAACGGTGCGGCATCAGCTCGTAGAGTGCTCTGACCTCTAGACCGGACAGTGGCAATTGCCCCTGGAGGAGTACGAAAGACTAAGGTCCGTATTCCACGCCAGGTCCGGACGGGTCCTGTCAGCTTCGTCTCCTCTTTTAACTCAGTCAATTCGTCCAACAACGGATCTGGGCGTCCATCCGTCCGTCGAAGAGCTCTCGCAACATCAGGCCATGGTCCAGAATTAATGTAGCTACACGAAGAGTTAATGTATGCAAAGATGAGTTCCACGGTTTCTCACCCAGAATACAACGCAGGGATAGAACGGCCAGGTTTACGTAGCGAGTTCAGAGTCTGCACTATGTCCCGACGGAGTGTAGGACTCGGAATATTATATCCAACTGTGAGTAGATAGTCAGCATCCCGACGGATAACTTGAGTTTAATGCAACTAACGTAAAGCAAGAGTCCGGCAGCTGTGGAGGTAATTTTCGTAAGAAATGACAGAAACATGAATGTCTGAACCTGATAACATACATGCGATTAATGTAGACATTACGGACTCTAGTGGACTTATAGAGCTGTCTTTCTTCAAGAAAGAGATGATCTAAACATAAGGCACATGAAATGAAATAATGCCGAGGATGAAACACGAGTTTAGAACTTACCGGCAGCGACACCTGAGGACAACGCCTCTAGTACATCGCCAACGGAACGAATGAAGGAGCCAGTCAAAACCCAAGATGGTTCCTGAAGTGCAATATTTGGGTCGCTTGAAAGCGTAAGAAGCCAACTCCGAGGAAGCGTAGTATCATGAAGGTTTGAATTACGGCGCATGCGGTGTGCGATCACAGTCGAACCACATATCCAATCAATTAACTGGCACAATGTATTGATGTCCAGGGCTTGATTTGTGCTGCAAATATGTCTGACAATGCAACTGAGTATATTAGTAGGCCTGTATTATGCAGCGCTCTCGTACCTGAGCCCTAGCGTTCCAGCAGATATCGACCAAACCTGGGAACCGTCGAGGGCCTCAAGTAAATCATGAAGAACGAATCGTTCATGGTCTCGTTTGAGAGATTCGGGAGGATTCACGACGCATGGCGCTCGTTTCAAGAATTCTTGGGCGCTGGGTTTCTGAAACACAAAAGCAATACTGGCTGCTTGTATAACGGTCGTCAAAAATCGTTGAGGATTCTCCTGAGCACTCAAGGTGAAGAAAAGATCTTGAATCCAGTTGTTCACGACCTGTATACCCCTTTCGAACTCTGGAATCCGCAACTTATCCAAGTTGGCAAGGGAACCCAGTATGTAGTGTGGGGGATAAAGGGCTTGAAACAGAAGTGTAAGCCAGAACCTGAAAGGGATGAGTCACGACAAAACCCTGAGTGTAGCACAGTTTCGTACCGTTGCTGTCCGGCATAAACAGAGCGTTTCTCAACAGACCGCACCGTGTGATATATAAGGACCTGTTGAAAAATCAAGCGCAGCCTTGCGTTATACCATTCGACGTCGAGAGACTGCCGCTCAGTATGCGCATTAGGGCAGTCGTAGCTCATACACTCTCCGAAAACCGCAAAGGCCAAGCACGGACGGAGCAAAGGCGACTTCCAAAGTGTAAGGTCTTCTGTCTGCACCCGAATCTGAAGGCGTTGTCGAAGGGTCTGCTGGAAGAGACGCATGAAAACCCCAGCTTCCATGGTGACAAAGGCCTCTTCCACACTCTTTGCCGCCCGAGATCGAGACGCCACTCCATACATGAATGTCGGTTCCGGTATTGTGACGATATGATCGAGGGCAATCTGAAAACCAAACAATCGTTGAATCCCCGCATCGTTGCATGCCTCAAAGTTCGTGGTGATCTTATGCAGTTCTTGACAATAGATCAGGAACGCTTGGAGTATTTCTGCGATTTCCGAACAGGTTTGGGTCTGAAACTTCGGCATATTTCTGAAGACATGATCAAGGCATAATACGGAAGCCAAAGGGTTCTTCAGCTCAGTGTAGAGTTTCACACCAAGTTGTTGTAGGGAAAGAAAATTATGAGATGCAATGGCTTTGAACATCAGAATCTACAGGCAACATGAGCAATATACTGATGAATGGCTCGTGAGACAACTCACCTGCATCTCGATATGAGCAGACAGATTTTCAGTCTCCATGACTTGATTTGCTAGATCCAGCAGAGACGCAATAATGGGTTTGGATGTGTCGCGAAGCATGTTCATCGTCACGTCAAATGGGAGACATTTCCACAGACCCTGAAGAATCCACTCGGTTGCGAGGCTTGAAGCGCGCGGGTCATTACGATTTTGAAGTAAAAGTGTGATGGCTTTGATATCTCGCCCTTCAGCTCGATGCAACTCTGCTGCTTCTACTACCCGACCAACTTGTTCAAGGAGATCGGCTCGGACTATATCAAAACCGTAATCTTCCATATACTCTAGAGCCTCCTCGAAGTTTGCGAAGAGTTGGGTGGCCTTCCTGTTAAATCATATGTCAACATAGATATGTACGGCAAGCACAGTACCTACTCGAGGCGATGCTCGCGGAAATAGTACAGTTTTGCGATTGAAAGGATAGCTTCTGCATCATCCTGTTTGATTTTGTCCCGGTGAGACTTGATCACCTCCACGGCTTTGTCGAACATATTCGCTTTACGATAGCATTGTGCAGAGCGTGTGAACTCTTCGGCGGAAAAGTATGACTGGGCCGCACGTCTATAATCGCCTGCTTCCGAAAAACATTCGGCCGCAATACGATAATATGCTCGCGTCTCAGGACGCGTTCCCGAGGCAACTGCTGCATGAGCGAAGGCTCTGGCTGCCGTCGTGAACGCAGATGGACGAGTACTATCCAGCAATGACACTGCTCTCGCTCTTTCTCGAAGATGATATGCCTGTGCAATATTCCTTTCGCGATACATGCCAGCACGTTCGTAACAGTGGATGGCTTGTGTGTACCGCCGATTGTCGAAGAGTGCTCGAGCAGTCTTAGCCCATTCTTCCGCAGTCGACGATGTAGCAAGTTGGGGAAGAACATCGCCCGGTTTACGCATCTGAATTTGGTCTTTGTGGAGCCAGAGCTCCTAAGATAGATGTCAGAGTCAATCAATATGCAGTTGTACAAAACTGACACGCATGGGATCTCCCTTCTCTGAACAATCGGCAATCCAGAGATTCTTCCGCGCTCTCGTGATAGCGACATAGAGAAACTTAAGCTTGTAGAAGAGGCGGTGCTTAGTATAGATCCTACGATGCACATCGTTATGTGGAGAATACTTACCTCTCTGCACACTCCGCTGTGACGAGTATCATCAAACTGAGGGCATTTGGAGTGGTTAACATCAGGCAAGGCATTGAGTATGACACGCCACTGGGAAAGATCGACCGTAGAGTCTTCGAAGAAGTTGTAGAGCAAGACCTGTAAACGCCATGAGTTCATCTTGGAATATCTTGTCCACGATAACCAGTGGAGAAGCAACATAGCTTACATCGTTGAATTCCAGGCCCTTGCTTTCATATAAGGTCCTAGGGAGTGCATTTCAGAGACTGCGATGGCAAAAGTCACGACTACGTCACGTACATAATAAGTCCGATATCCCCCACTTGCTCCCGGAGCTTATCCCGTGCGGCATCGTCACGCACTAGAATACCTGCAGAGAATCTCAGCCTCCCGTAACCAAAACATGATGGGACGTTTACATTGCTGGGCACCGAACTCCATATGGCCACCACTACAACCACAATCAGCTTCGAACTGAATCGGCAGCAGCGTATCACTCACGAAGCACTGAAAAGAAACTGCTCGTATCGCATGGTGTCATGGTCCCAGCCATTAAAGAAGACTGGCTTTATACCATCAATCACGCCACGCTCGTCTGCCAGAATGTCAATTGCATGCGGCCAAAACTGTGTGATGAGTCGAACAACCGTTTGTGCACAGCTAACTATACCGCCATGAGAGCGATAATTCACTGTCAGCTGGAATGATTTCGGGGACTCTTGCAGGTTGGATATGCTTCTTGTCTCCTATTATATGGTGTTAACACCCAGTGGAGGAACTGAGGATGAAACGAACCTCGACACGGTAGAGAAATGCCTTCAGATCATTGAAACGAAAGGAGCTTCCAGCAGATATGGTTTGAGCGGTATCCCCAGCCCAGAACAAACCATCCGGGTTCCTGCAGAGAGTCCTAGGTACTGCGGAACGTATAAATATTGAACGTGATAAATGAAACTGGATCAGGAGGAAACATACTCAGTGCATCAATGAGGAGGTTGTCTTGTGCCTCGTCAACATATCTGAGAAAAGCACTTGGGTCATGCCTTCGACTACGCGAACTGAGCTTACTCACATGAAATCAATCTTACTTCCTGGTACCCCGTACTCCCTCAGCGCGCGTAGGATAGCATGAGTACTAAAAGTCCCAGGCCTGTTAGATTTTGTCAAGAAGCATTATTCTTGATGTACGCACCGATCTGCAGCGTCATAGTCTCCACGAATCTTTTTCCGACGAGAATACGCTTGGAAAAGTGCGTAGACGGTTTCCCTCTGGTTCGCAAATGTCCCTTGAGTACGATGACTAAGATCGAGATATGTGTCACGGTCAAGGAATCGTTCAGACGACTGCAACGCTTGTTCCGAACCCTTGATTACGCCTAGCTGGTTGTCAGAGATAGCACGACGGTTTGACGTAGTCATTACTTACCCATGAACTCAGCAAAAACCAGTGCCGGATCTGTTCACAAGATGAGCGACAAGCTCGTCAAGAGAATCATAGTGATGCACCCACCCAAATTCTTGGTCAGGTTTTGCCGAAAATGAGGCCAATACTCCTGAAGAAAGGCGCCATAAGATACAAACGAGGCTCGCTGTTGTTGCATGTAGTCGTTTGAGAGATTCTGCCCCTCATAAGTGGTTTTAGCCATGACAAGGAGTTGCGAGTTCTCTCCATATTTCCCAGATGCAAAGTCAGCTTCCAATAGTCTAGAAAGCTACACTCAAAGCGTTAGAAAGGTAGTAGCGTGCACTCCCAAATGAACGTACATGATCAAAAGTGATGAAGAGAGGGAAATGCTCATCAGTGAGCTCTCCATAGCTCTTCGGAAGGTCTCCGCTGTGAAACTGTTCCTCGTCTCGATCTACCAAACCTTGCTCTTCCACGGCTTGCTTGGCTTCAGCCATCTGCACCGATTGCTCAACTGTTCGTTGGGCAGCTGCATGAGATTCAGATAATTTGGCGTAGTACTCCTCAACTTTCTCTGCGAGTACTCGGGATTGCGTGACGAATATCTGACGAGGCTTAGGATATCCTTGCAGCATGGTTTCGCGCATGCCGTCCCAGGTTCGTTCGATACCCAGCATCTTGAAAAGCATTGTAGTCGTTTTACTATTAGTTCGATGATAAGCCGATGATGTGCCTGACCGAGAGTGAATCCTTACCCCGTTCCGCTTCTTCCAAGCACATAACACGATCCGCTGTGCTTGACAATTTCTTGCTCTTGAGGACTGTACAGCTTCCTATCGGATGCCTTACCTTATTACCAAAATTTAACTATGACACTTACGTCATCTGGAAGACATGGGCTACATCCTGATCGGCCAGGATGCCTAACAACCAGGTTAGGGTGCAACACGAATGAACACGAATGAGACCCACTATTCAATAACGCCTTAGGATGAAAGGTGAGCTTTTCCGGAAGTATCATACATACGCATTGACGTACCTGAGAGAATGCAACGAACTTCTCGAGTCTGCGCCAGCCGTCAGCCATGCGAAACAACTGAGATATTGTAAATATGCTCACACTAGTAATGAATGCAGCTGGATTACATATAAGGCACTAGTCTATTAGATATGTGTAATGGTATTCTGCTTACCTCTTCGCGATCTTCGTTTCGAAGGTCCGGGATTTCCAAACAAGCTGGCGGCAGTGGTGCCTCTTCTTGTGCTGGAAAGGATGCTGGAGCTACAACATTATCACCTGGGTGATACGATGGGTTTCGGAATATGCAACTGGGGCACAACGGTTGGAGAAAACAGAGGTAGAGGAAATCGTGAACACGTACCGTTTGCGGTATTCTTTGCCTTTTCCTGCAAGTTGCATACCAACGGCTTCCCAAAACCGCCGATCGAGTTGCGCATGGGTGTAAATACCGAATATGCGAATCGCTATAGCACAGAGTGAGACAATGAGACGATAGAAAGAGTTCCGAGTCTATAACCTTGCCACTCGACCTAATCATAGCACCAGTCAATAACAGACGATCAGTGCCAACGATGAGACTACATACATCACTCTCAAACTCCTTGATGCAATCAATTTGATACTACGAAAGGTCAGAGTTTTATTTCAATGACACGGAGGACCATGACTTACCACCAGTCGAGTATCCCTCGTCATTTTGGCCTCGTATATCGGAATGTCGATATCGGAACCTGTAAGTCGCTTCTGGTTGTCATCAGAAAAATGCCCACACGAAAGCTCCCTAGAACGAATTCAGTGTCGTTGAATCTACAGAGGTGAAATAGCCTACTTGATCTTCTTGATAATGATCCTGAAGAGATTTTGGTCGCTGCGCTTCGCCTCTCGAAGGTTGCGATCCGCGCGGGTCGAAATGAGTATCCGCCATTCACCAAATCCGTCTACAGAGTCAAAGTACAAGGCAGCTTTCATCGGTTGCACCATTGGGTAGGCTGATGGGACATTTTCCTCTTCATGTTCGGACGACTGAAAAGAAACATTACCATCGTCATGAGCGACCTCCGCTGAAGCCTCTATTGTGATAGTATTCTGTGGAAGATACGCGCTCTTGAAAATCTCCACAAGCTCAGTCTTACGCAGAACGTCCAGATACGACTACAGCACAGTGACATTGTAAACAATTAGTTAAACGGATAAACATGTTGACAAGTACCTCAAGGATCTTCTGTTGATTCTGCAGAATTTCCATGGCAAGAGTTTGTGCTTCCTCCTCAGATTGGGGCACATCGACGCCAAAATTCTTGAATGGCTTCGAGTCTACGCGCGGAGCTCTAGGAGCACGCTTCGCCTTTTTCTTCTCTCGTTGAGTTTTGGGTTTAGCAATGAAGAATCCAAAGTCCTCTGTCTCGATGCCATCAACTGGACTTTGGGTCACGAAAGGTAGGGAGCGAATAGCTTTTAGAACAGGGGCTGCCAACTCGAAAGCCCGATGATAGTCTCTAAGGTCGGGTGTAGGATAGGATAGAGACCAAAAATAGAACGATAATCTGGACAAGATCCTTGCAGCAAAGGATCCATCAAAATGTGCAGCTGCGGTTGGGAAATCTTGTAGAATCCATTTCTGCAATAATAGCGCAGTATCCGGCTGAAGACCTGCATCGAGTCAGATTGAGACTTCAGTAAGGGGCACATGCTGAGACGTACTTGAGAACACAAATTCGAATAAGTGGTCACGAGAAAGCAAGGTAAGGAAGATGTAGTCCCGCTCGGCAGCGGGATGTCTAAGGTGTCCTTCGAGAATGCCCATGGCATTCTCGAGTGCTACCTCATCCCGTAGCACAACGGGATCGAACAGAACAATGTCGAGGTCGACAAGGGTCTGTTCACGAGATCGCTCGGGAAGCGTACGCGAAGTGTCAGACTCGGACTTCAAGACGGCTTTAGAGGCGGACAGCTGCCCGTGAGGGCTCAAATCCTCGAAATCTTGCTTTTTGTCCTCAAGCGGGACCATGGTGAATATCTTCTTGGCTTCTGGTTATAAATGTCGCGTAAATACGCGGGCAGCAATTGCAGCCCCTACAAAGTAGTTGACTTTTGCACGGTATAGTGACTTGCGCCACACAGAGACCGTTTCAAAGATCTAAAAAGATCTAGGGTGTTTTGGGGTCGCCCAAGAAAGGCCAGGTATTTTTAAGCCTCCGAAATTGTGGAATGGAAAGGTAAAACCGAGGAGCAGATCTAAAGGACGTGAAATAGTATTCACTGGCATACGCTTTTGTGACGAAGCGCGGTGTACTGTCACGTAAGTCACGGAATGTCATGTCACGACAGGGTGTTGCCAGAGTGGGCGGCAGAGACGCTACACCTTACCCCACGATCTTACGGTAGGTAGTCCATGTAAACTCCTGCAGTTTCGCATTCTCTGACATTACAAACGTACTTTGATTCCCTCCTGAATAGATATGCCACCACCGCATTACGATTTCCTGATCAAGGTACGCCTACACATTGGATGTTAGCCATATATGCTAACGCTTACTCCCACAGCTTCTTCTCATTGGAGACTCAGGTAAGGATGTCCATTTCTTTCTATTTGTAAGTGACCCTTGAATGTCAAAGGTCTAACCTTTCGCTTTGCTTGTAGGTGTTGGGAAATCATGTCTATTGCTGCGGTTCTGTGACGACGCATGGACCCCGTCTTTCATTACCACCATCGGAATCGACTTTAAGATTAGAACAATCGAGCTAGATGGAAAGCGAATCAAGCTACAAATAGTTCGTCGCATATTCTAGTTCATTACGATCACCCTATTGACTACCCGCATAGTGGGACACTGCTGGGCAGGAACGGTTCCGGACAATTACGACCGCATATTATCGTGGAGCGATGGGTATCCTCCTTGTATACGACGTTACGGATGAACGATCCTTTAACAGTGGGTACCATGACAGCAGATCGTATACGAGGCACCTCAATATTCCCTTCCTTAGATATCCGCACATGGCACGCAAATATCGAACAGCATGCTTCCGAGGGTGTGAACAAGATTCTCATCGGCAACAAGTCAGATTGGACGGACAAGCGAGCTGTGACTGAGGAGCAAGGACGAGAGTTGGCAAATGAGCTCGGCATCAAATTCATGGAGACATCGGCGAAGATTAACGAGGGTGTAGAAGAAGCCTTCTTTACGCTTGCTCGGTAAGAGATTCACTCATCTAAGTAGCTCATATGATGCTTTTCTTGCTCACGACTGGACCTGTAGTGATATCAAGACTCGGCTGATAGACACCCAAGAAGCCGCAGGTTCCGCGGCTGGTGGTGCTGCCTCCGAGCCTATCAAGGTGAACCAACCTGCTACTACCACTTCTGGGGGGTGCTGTTGAGGGGAGTGCGGAATTCATTCTACATACTGTCTACCATATGTTTCTTCCTTAACCTGTACATGTTCTGTTTTCTCTCGCTTGTCGGTCGGTTCTTGTTCATTATCTATCACCCAAGCACAATATGGACTTTTATTGGCGTCTATCCTTGCAGCGAATCCTTAGTCACATGAATAACTCGCGGCGTGTAGTAGATATTATGTTCCTACATTACAAGTTGATGACAGGCAGTGGAGATTAGACCGCAGTTTGCGGAAGCAATTCCCTGAATCCGCCAGGACCCATATTTACCCCACACCAGCTACGTTGGTATATTTACACTTCCTGGTTGGGCTGAACTCCTTTCATCAAAGGCACTTTGACTGTTACTGATTTTTTAACGTCATTAGTAAGCGGACATATTTTCAGACACAGTCGGAACCTATTTACGCTACTTCAAAATGGTCTTCGGTGGTGCAACTATGGTGACACTTCCTTGACGCGGATACTGCTACTTTGTCTTACAGCAGCTCATTACTGCTTGCAGCACCGCATTACTGACAATCACCCTATTACTTAGGTTCTTCCGATTAAGGGTCTCGTTGAGGCCATCCGAAATTGTGCCTACTAGAGTCATCATGACCGATTTCGGTTTGCTTGGTGTTGTCTCTCAACGGCGTCGTCAAAATTGCCTCTTATGGGATACCCACCTACAGGCAGTCGTTTGAATTTCTAGCCTAGTCAGTATGCTCCACAGTTCTTACAATTGGCTTTCTGCGCAAACATATTCCCTAGGCAACGGACAAGTCATGATCTATCGCATCGGGATTAGTCGACCACATGAGTGCGAGCGTTCTCTAGATAGACCCTCTACCACTCGTGAACATCAGAACCTCACATCATAGCTTGAAAAGAACGACCTTCCGAAGTCCAGTATTCTGATCGTTGACCTCAGCATCTATGGATCCGAGGGCATGAAGCATCACCTGGATTGAGGTACCGTTTTAGAGAGACTGGCAAGACCAGAGTGATCGATGTATCGAACCCCGAAGGGAATTCAGTGCTCTGCTGAAGGACTGCCAACAGTTGAATTCTATAAAAATCAAACGAGAGTCAATTCATAAACTCCATTGAACAAACCCTGCAGATGAAGCAGTCAAAAGCAGGCAAACATGGCGGGACATGTAGCTTAGAACGGAATTCGAGGGTATGCTGTTATATGCAAGCTGCGAATGGATTCTGAGATAAGGTAAGCGAAATTCTCAGAATCATTGCTAACGATAATTACTTTAATTTGATGTCTCCTTCCATGAGAACTGGAGACAATCTGTGCAAAGAAAGGGTTCACTATATTCTCAAACTTCGACAATTCAGAATAGAGCAGGTAGCCTGCATTCACATACACGCACGTACCTTGAGGCTCGCGACTATTCTCGCGACTAGTACTTTTTCGTATTAAAAATGAAGTAGACAATGCACCTCAACAAGAGTCATAGAAATTAATATGTCACAAATGGAAAGATCGCTTTCAGGACGACGAACAATACTTCCTTGTAAAAGTGGCGAGTTCAAGTGGTACGGGTCAAGTCGCTTCGGCATGGGCGGCAAGACCGGCAAATCCCGAAAGAGGCACATGATTGCTTTGCAAGCGTGGAGGGCTTTTCAAAGTGTACCACCACCATCGCCTCCTCCTCGACGTCTGTCTTGCGTGTTCAACTACATCGCCCACGATACTGTCCTACTCGTCTAAAACACCCACTGTCTTCTGTGTTTACGGAGGATTCATGCTTCGACCTCCAATCGCTATATCACGGCATAAACATTTATATCACCCAGACCCCTCGACCACTTTTGTATGTCGAGTTCCTGACTGCTCGAAAACTTAACCATACTGAGTTTCTAGTAGCGCTAAACGCTATTCAACATGGCTGGCCAAATTGTGAACGTTCGTCGTGATGTCGACGACAAATTCTACCGCTACCGGTGAGTACACGTTTTGCTGCGGCTTTCCGAAGAAGATCTCAGAAGCTGACTAATACTTTTGCAGCATGCCCCTCCTTCAGACTAAAATTGAAGGCAAGGGTAACGGCATCAAGACTGTCATTCCCAACATGTCAGATGTCGCCCGTGCCTTGAGCCGTCCTCCTACTTACCCTACCAAATACTTCGGTTGTGAGCTCGGCGCTCAAACGTCTTTCGACGAGAAGAACGACCGATACATCGTCAATGGCGCCCATGACGCCACGAAGCTCCGCGAGCTCTTGGACGGCTTCATTGACAAGTTCGTGCTCTGCAAAGCCTGCAAGAACCCCGAAACGGATTTGATCATCACCAAGCAAGAGGAGATCATCCGTGATTGCAAGGCTTGCGGCGAGCGCACCGGTGTGGATATGCGGCACAAGTTGACCACTTTCATCGTTAAAAACCCGCCCAAAAACCCGAAGAAAGCCAGAGGCGCCAAAAAGGCTGGGTCGGGTGACAGCTCCCCGCCTGAAGCCCAGGAGCATGGGTCTGGGGATGACGGTGAAGGCGATGACGACGAACTCACTAAGCGCATCAAGGCTGAAGCGGCGGTGCTTAGCACCGAGACCGCCATCACCCGGGAGGATTGGTCCGCCGATACGTCTCCCGAGGCTGTGAGAGCCCGCACCAAAGCCATCGAGAGCGCTATGGCCAATGTTGCTCTCGCTGCCGGCGGTGATGAGGAGAGCGATGAGGATGCGGATAGTCCTTACTCGCAGCTGGGTCGCTGGGTTGAGGAGAACCGTGATGCTGGCCCTGTGGAGGTCTACAAAAAGGCTGACGAGCTGGGTATCGCGAAGAAGTATAAAACGGTGCAGGTCATCTCTCAAGCCCTGTTCACCGAGAGTATCCTTTCCGAGATCAACAAGTATAACCCGCTTTTCAAGAAAATGGTCACTTCTGAGAAGCATCAGAAGTCGCTGTTGGGTGGTATCGAGCGTCTCGTTGGTCGCACTTACCCCACGCTCGTCGCTGCTATTCCCAAGATCCTGATGGCCTTCTACCAAGCTGACATTCTCGAAGAGGAGGTTATCACCCAGTGGGGTACCCATGTCAGTAAGAAGTACGTGGACAGGGACACGAGCAAAAAAGTCCGAAAGGCCAGCGAGCCCTTCCTTAAGGTACGTTCTTGTCTCTTGACCGTTTCAACATTATATTGACGATCTCTATAGTGGTTAGAAGAGGCCGATGATTCCGACGAGGATGACTAGGTGTAGATGTGTGGATAGGACGCTGTTCCGTGTATGAACTTTTGATTTGTCTGTATAGTCCATCGTTTTTGCATATGTTGTTGTTTTATCAGTCGTGGATCTACTACCCGACTTGTATATATACGTCGTTCGTTATGTTCTTTTATCACAGTACGTTGATTGTGCTGCACGTCTTGAGGCTCCCGCTGGGCTCTATAGGGGCCTTTGAGTAAATTTAAATGTTGAATACGGGCGCTTCATTTCAATTTCACTTCCACCACGACGCTCAGGCCTTCCTGCTTGTTACTACATTGCCCATATTTCACTGGCTTGTTCACCCGTCTGCTTTATTTAACTGATCAAAACATGCGACCAGTAGTCTCGTACGAGGACATCACCAATCCTGAAGCAGACTCGCAAGCGCAACCTGCACAGCTAGGTCCTCAACTTCCCTCCTCTGCACCTCAACCTCCTGCTAAAAGGCGCAAGAAGTCTCATAACCAGCAACAACACCAGCAGAACCATCATCCGCATCATAGAACGCGCGGTCATCCAGCACAGTATGTGCAGCATTGGGATGAACCAGATGCTTCCGCGCCGGAGATGAATTATGGTGGTGAGGGTGAGAGTATGTATGTTGAAGGTGAGGAAGCGGAAGAGGGAGAAGGATATGAGGAGGGAGACTACGAGGAGGAATATGAGGAGGAGGAGAGTAGGGAGTTGACGCATGAAGAGGTTTGGGACGATTCCGCACTCATCGATGCCTGGAATTCCGCCGCAGCTGAGTACGAGGTATGTCGCACTTGTGTTCTTCCTTGTCATCAGGCTTATACGATTGCTTTGCTCTATAGGCGTACCATGGAAAGGGTAAGAAATGGAAAGCGGAACCTGTAAAGAAGTCACCGCTGTATGTTCTTTATCATGATTCCGTACTCGAGCTGCGATACTGACATCCATCTCATAGATGGTACAACGTGCCTCCCGCTCCTTCAAAAACCAGAAAGAAAGGTCCCGTTCCTTCGACTCAAAATGGTGGCGACGCATCGGAAGACTCCACCCCTGTCAACTTCGATACTTTCATCCCGAATCATGATCCCTCCCTCGCTTCGGGACAACCGCATCCACCTTCGGTCCCCGGACCCGATTATGCTCAATATTACCTACCCAACCCTCCCGGTCCGATGGTCAGTCAGGATGAAGCGTTCCAAAGAGCATTATCAGCGATGTATTGGGGTGGATACTGGACGGCAGTGTATCATGTGAGTACCATCTCGAAGCTTTCGACTTGATCGTTGGACGTAATGATACTGATTGAGTATTGGTAGTGTCAAAGACAGGGCGAACAACCTGCTCCTGAAGTCGAACAGGATGCTGAGGATGGCGAAATAGATGCTACTGCAGGAGAGGAGAATGCAGAAATGGAAGAGGACTTGGTTCCGTCCCAGCGGTAGTGTTCTTTGTGATCCTCATTTTGGAATGTGACCCATGGTGTATGTGGTTTTAGAAGAGAGCTGTTCGTATGTGATAAATGACCAATGCCTCCCTGCCCGAGGTCTTTACGTGTTATGCAGCGCCGCATCGCCTGTCACATACATCGTACTCTTATCTCAACCTCTTTAGCATTCTTTGTCCTTACATGCTCTCGTGCTTGCGGATCCTTACGCCACAATTCGCCATGCAATATATGTCACGGTGTGGGTGTCTGACACCTGCTGTAGCTGCCCAACTGACATGCTGAGGTCCAATATCAGAAAATGGTTTGTTAGAACACGCCGTTGACGTCGCACTTATGGCACCGCAACTGTACAACTGCGATAACACCCCGGGTATGAAAACGTCAAGTGTTATCCTGGCGCAGTTTGTCAGTTTCGGATTCGTATAGTAGTTTGACGCAGGGTAATTGGGTCGTCATCAGGCACCTTAGATCGTTTTTGAACGATTCGTCAGGTGGACGTACGCTGGTAGTGCAGCAAAGCCTAGGAAAATTAAACTAACAAAATTCATACAGCAAAAGCTAAGGTCGTAACTTGGCATACCGAGCCGAATCTTCATTGCAAGAATTTCTGTATATCTTCCGCGGAAACCCCATTATACTTAGCCCACTCTACCGCATTTTGGTCTATCCACTTGGCAACCGTCCTCCAATCCCTACATTGGCGTGTCACTCCCATCCGGTCGATAGACAAATTGCGAGCCATGAAATCACCCGGTTCGAGGGTAGCATCGGCGTTGCACATGAACAACTGTCGCATATACATCATGCAATGAACGAGATGGTGACTCGTATCCGTGAGATGGTTGGGTTTCTCCATGTCTCGGCCCATAGAAAAAACACAATGTAAGGCGTGGTATGCGGCTGAGATGTAGCGATGGTGAAAGGGACCAATGTGGTGGAACCCGATTCCGAACTGATTCTTTACGAGGGTGTCCCAGTTCGGTGCGCTTGTGTTATCTGCAAGTCCGAATCGTATGGACTCTTGAAAGGTCATCTCTACCGTTGGTACTGGGCCGGTAGGCACCTCGAGAGGATACTCTCTACCAATATACGCTGTCGTCGATAAGTGTAAACTCGTTTCCCACACGGAAGAATATTGTCACTTACAGAAGACATAAGGCTTCTCGGGTGCGTACGCTCTGTACATCGTAGCGAGTAATATAATCACGTTCGCCAACGCAGTCGACGACAGAAAAAGGACGGCCGGCGAAGGGATGCCTTTAGGCTTCATGATGCAAAGTCGTTCCAAGAGTGGTGGACGCGACAAGAATCCTCGAGGAAGGCGTCGATACTCGTCGTTTATGGTATCGATGTTCTCAAACAGAGGAGTGCTTTACCGATGTGATCGAAGGATGACGGTCACGGACTAGCCAGTCGGAGAAAACGAGATAGCGATAGGCTTCACACTTCCCCACTGAGCCGATCTTGTCCCAAGGCAAGGATAAACGGATATGAACCGAGAAGGGTATTCACAGCCTTTACTCCCTTCCCATGTCAATTCCAGGTCATACTGTATTCAGCGTACGCCACAAAGCTGCCTGTCTTCTGTAAAGGGCAAACAGCAGGTGAGATTGTACGTCCGAAAGTAGTGTATAACCTTCCATTCACTGGCTACACCGTGTGCAAATCGCTGGCCCTGCGATACGCCGTATACAATTATGTATACAAATGCACACGTACATAAGCTTCTATGGGTATCAGAAGCCTGATACGAACAAGCGTTGACGCACGAATAGGCCCGGTGTGGCAGAAGAGAAACGTTGTCCCGTGAGCGACGTGGAGCCTCGACTACCCTGTTGGTACATCCATGTTCTTCCTGCATTCTATAGAATCCTATCGAGTCTATGTTTGGAGTATATTCCATGCCTGAAGGACAGATAGACTCTCGTGGGGATCAAGCAAAGTCCTGTCTGTGATCAGTTCTGCGGTTAATTCGGGTCAATAGCAGCACAGTATTAAGCTTCCTTTCCCTGGACTATTGCGCATCGGTGTCACTGATAGCGCGAATAGCGCCCGTATAAGAGAGAAGACGGTCATTAGGCATGAATTCGAAGGATCAAGCGCAACTTACCACCCACATCTCCTTTCAAGCATGTTCACGAAATCCCTTCTCGTTGCCTTTTCATTGATTACCCTGGCACTAGCCGTGCCGCTAGGTAAGCACTATGCTACTTGAAGGAAGTAATCAAAGTTAAGAGTTCACCAAAACAGGTGATAGCGAGAAGAGAGCCTTCAGTTAGTCTGCAGAGAATGGTACCAATCATTTCCTTGCTAAGGTCTCGTCGTTAGCTGCGGAGGACCTCTTCCTAGAGGCTAAGTCCGATGTGGTCGTCAACGCTCGAGGTCTCTGTGAGTACAAGTGACTGTCGTGACTTTCCAAGACTGAAGCCAGTACCGCACATTAATCAGCTGCCGACGATCTCTTCCGTGAGGCAAAAACAGATGTCGTCCAGAATCTAAAGAGGGGATTGAGTAAGTCCGATATCGTACCGCTGGCATAGTTTGCTCATCCATCCATCAGCTGCTGAGGATCTTGTCGCGGAAGCCAAGACGGCTGTTGTTCAGAATCTCAAGAGAGAATTGAGTAGATAATTTTCCATCCCGACTTCACGAAGGCATGACGGTGCTTACTTTTCTCCTGTCTTCTTCAAGCCTTCGACGAATTGGTTAGTGAATCGCGTACTGGAGTCCTTCAGGGCAACGAAAGACGGGGTCTAGGTACGTTGTAGCAGACGATAAATGCTCTTTGGTTGATTCAGGACTCACTCGGAACGTTATAGCCATTGAAGAGTTGATTAACGAATCCAAAGCCAGCGTCCTCCAGAACGCCAAGAGAGACATCGGTACGTTGGAGAGTGTATAATAGTCCATGGTTAGGGCTTATCGGAACCGGCTTTGCGGTCTTAAAGCTTAAAGCGGCAAGTATAGTACGAGTGTGAGAGTGAGCCATAGTCACGTTATAGCCAAACTAAAACTCACACTGGTTCATCAGCTGTCCTTTCAGTTCGTTGGTAGACTTTTGGCAATATTCTCTATGTTTGATCGGTGAGTACTGTTTCACACATGGTTATCAGGATGGCCTTTGAGATGGTGCCCTTAACTTTGCAGTTGATTCCAGTCCTTGAGTTTGTTTGCGCGATGTCTTTGGCAGCAGAATTCCGGGTGTCTGTTTCACGTGTAGCGATATCGCAAAACCATAGCGTGTATTGGTGTTCCAAACCTCGTACAATATCCGGTGTCGACCGCATCGTACTCCTATCATAACAGAGTTCTGCTTAAAGGTTCGGGTCTGCGTGCCTGGCCAGCACCAAGAGATGTTCGTCCGGTCAATCTTATTGCCCTGGACAGAAATACAAGGGAAACACACCTGTCAAAGCTTGAAACATTCTCAAATGTTTGAGAGCGCTTAGTATCCCGAAGTTCACAAATATCTGCGTGCGCATGGGAGAAGGTGGGAGCAAACCACTGGTTCTGGACGATTGACAGTTTGCATCATGATGTCTTTCATACAAGCGAAAGAAGGATAAGAGAAATCATGGCCGTTATTCCACCGCCGAGTCCTTGTCACTCACATGGCAAAAGGAGAACTGATGGGGCAACTTCGAACAGACCTTTTGCACAGCTGCATTGGAGGGAGCTGGCGATGTAACATGAGTTGCACATGTGTAACTGTGTTGCAAGCAACTGTCTGCACAATGACCAGGAAGAGTTCTATTGCTGTCCTGGTCACTAGGATTCCAACAGCCTCCGATTCGTTACCTTCAATGAAAGTCTTGGACAACCACGCTTCGACTCGCACGCATCAAGCGACACCTCTTGGCACTGAAATAGTTCCCGCGAACAGAAATGAAGGCCTCTATAGAGACTTTCTGGGATGCATCCTAGCTTCAGGTCAAGACTTCAACGTCAAGATGAATCAAGCGCACCCTCCTAAGCACGCCACCGATTGTGTCTCATGGGCGTCCGGCTGATGTTGGTGACTGCCACAGGAACCGTCGTCGGAACGCCCTTGCAACTGGAAAAGTGAAGGCCGCGGAAGCCCTTGTTCTCACACAAATCCCTACTAAACAGTAATCTTCATAGTGCAAGCGGAAAGATCATACACAGCAGTGGTGTAAGTTTGCATAAACCGGACAACTCTCAACGAACACCAGATCGAGATCGATGGGTGATCGCCGGATAAATGTCCGCTTCCGAAAAGGGAAGCAACTACAGTTCTCAAAAATCCCTCAGGATCAAAGCGAACAGTGTTCTTCGCTCGTTCTATTCCTTGCTTGGTGTTTACAAACAGCTCTACGTCTATCCGTTGCATTTTCCTCCGAAAGTATCGCCTCGCCTAACCGGCTGCCCTCTTGAAAGGGAGTTGCCTTTTGGAATGGCCGGTGTCTTTGTCAACAGATCCTGATGGCCTGATGACCTGATGCGACTAGGTTAACCCCCACGTTCACACCGATGCCATGTGAGAGCTGTCTGCTCGACAGACACAAAACGCTGCGCATTCTCTTTGTATTTAAAACACTCCATACCAAGATGCTGTCAAGGACTATGCTATTGTCCGACGTCACGCGTTTTGCAGCGCGTTTTCAGTTCCTAGGCTGCGAGCGTTCCGGATTTACCTCATCATAAGCCGTCATTCGAAGCATGTGCGGGCTATCGATGTAACTTCCCACAGGTTGATCTAGCAAGATCACGGGAGACTCTAGTATCTTCCAGGTCACTGAAGCCGCCCGTCACTGTTATCATACCGTAACCAGATTCGCACAAATGGGCATCAGTTTCCCTTTATTCGCTTAGGCTTCAGAACTCAGATTTTCTCAAAGTTCATTACAGATCTTTTCTGACATGGTGCCTTAGTGACACCCTTTCGTATAAAAGCATGCTCAACGTGCCTTGGTTCCGATGTCATCAGACGCTCCCCAGCTTTTTGCAGGACTAACTCCTCTACGACCTGAGCGTCCCTGGCCGCTTCCTGAACCGATCCCGCCATGAGCTCCATTGTCAACCCGAATGGTACCTATTATGGACCAACAGATGAGACCCCAGACGAGATCTTCCTCGAGAAGACGTTCATGGCTAGTGGCTATCTAACCGGTGTCGGCTATGGTGTGTAGTTAGCTTCAGCAGCTCATTGATCGATCACTATAATTTCTTAGGTATTCAACTCGTTCTTTACCTGGCGTGCCTCAAGGCATTGTGGGACCGTAAACCACGCAACCGCTTCACTTATGTCTTGCTTGTGTACATTTCCATCCTGAACGCAATGAACACCATTTGGACGGGCACTTCGGCTTACGGTCTGCAATTGACCTATATCGATAATCGGAATTATCCTGGTGGCATTTTGGGATTCTTAACCGTAGAATTCGCCCTGCCTGTCAATGTCCTATCTTTGGCTGCATACATTATCGGTAATGTGTTAGCTGATGCATTGCTAGTGAGCAAATACCTTCTTGCTTTTCTTTGTTCCTTGAACTCAACTTTCCATGCAGCTTTGGCGTTGTCAAGTCATTTGGGCAGCTTCGATGGGGCGTAGAGCTAATTACTTCATGATCTTCCCCGGCATCATGCTTCTTGGCTCAATAGGTGCGTTCTCGAAAGAAACACACTCTTAGGTCGTTTCTCACTTTCTCGATCTCAGCGATGGCAATAATGTACGCTTTCGAGACCGCTTCCCCGACTGCTGGTTTCTTCAGCAAGAGGTCTATCAATTTCGCGCTACCTTACTTCGCCATCTCCCTCTCGCTCAACATAATTCTCACACTCATGATCGTGGCGGTCATGCTCGGTCGTAAACGTCGGGGACGTGAGATCTTTGGTGATACTTACGGCAGACACTACACCTCGGTCTCCACCATGTTCATCGAATCCGCTGCCATCTACTCCATCATCTCCATTTTGCTTCTGCCAACCTACGCAGTCCAGCACCCTATTAACCAAATCTGGCTTGGGCTCAGTCCATCCGTACAAGTATGTCACCTATCTGTGTTTCTGTGTATTCGAAGCAATTTACTAAGCCGTCGGAATTGCAGATGATTGCCAGTTACCTCATCATTTATCGTGTCATCCAGGGTCGTGCCTGGTCAACGGACACCTTTGCAAAGACCAATAACCCAGCGTCTTCCATTGCCTTTTCCTCAAGTTATGGACACTCTGCCACTCGTGTTGCTGGAGGTGCCGGCTCGACGAACACGATTCCTCTGCACTCATTGCCCGATGATTCTAAGTCGGGAAGGGTGCAGGTGGTTACGACCATCCAGACCCAGACTGACGGCGAGGCGGACAAGGATAGTATGGAATTCAAGAAGGAGACCGTCTAACTGTTTAGTGATACGGTTTGTGTGTTCTCTGGGTTTAGCGGTTGTTGTAATGCAGATTCGCTGTAGTTCGCATTGTGTTGTACGATGTCCCTTCATAGAGGCCATATCCCTTGTAACCTTACGCGTCGTGTATGTCACACTAATGTACGATTATTACCCTTCTGCTACCAATGCACATCCTTTCACGAGAATCCCAACAGATGACAACTAAGTTATTGTACATTGGAAAGGCCGGTGTAACGATTAAGGCTGGGGAACAGTATCCGCAGTGCAGAAGTTGGTTTAGTCTGACAGATCTCCGTTAAAATTTTGAATTCAGTCAGGGATAGGGCGAGTGCTAGTGCAGGACAATGCCTCTTACGTCCAGTGCCTGGAACTCAGGCACGATATATATGTTCCGGTAAAAGACTTCTTCTTTGAGGCCAAACCGCCAAGGCACCGACTGCATCGGACAGATCCCGACACACCTAGGTACGAATTTCGTATGTGGAAGAAAATCGCAGGCGACATGATTGGAAATCAATGTGCATGTGCCCGACGATTAGAATCGGGCATTGGGTCCGCCGGGTACGGCAAACTCGGTCGGCATAGCCAGCAGTTGGGATTCCCGTGTTTTGCTATTGCGCGAAGATGACTATACAATGTTGGATTATGATTGAAGAATGGTGGAGAACTTGATGTAGAGAGGTGGCCGGTGTCTTCAGACGATGATACCACAGAAAGTAAAGTTTATCCTCCGCATTCATGTGGATATATTGTACAATCAGAATACAGTTGATACTTCTCGCTCGACTACTGCGAAGCATCCTCTATAGATATTGACTTCAAGGAGCAGCTGCAGAGTCAGACTCTAAAACCAAACGCGATGAGATCGTGGGAAGAATGGTATGAACCTGATACTTACTCGTCATCTGTATACAACAGATGAAACAGTGTTACAGAGGATACTGCTCACGAGGAACGCGAAGATACATACCATGATATACAAATCGTGTCTGCGCAAACGATGAGAGAATGTCAAAAGGATTTGGATTGTATAAATGCCTACCTTCTTGGGATTATCAGGTGCATGAGCAACGTATCGGTCGTTGTCTGGAGGCCTAACGTGAAGTCAAGTTAATTGCCACATGCAGGTGGTAATCTGCTTACCGCTTCTTCTCCTGTCACATTGAGGCACGCTAAGCTAAACAGAAGCCACGGTAGACGTAACGAAGCACATACCTTGCACGATGCCAGCATGCTCTGCAAGGTGATGCATACCGCAATGACGCTCAAAACCGGAGACCATTCACCACCAAGGATGGAGGCACATATCTATGATAGGACGCTTTAGCCTTCTCCGCAGACATTTGAGACAATGCTTACATGTCCATTCGAGTATACATGCTATAATGAATGTTTGTCAGCAATGAAAGCAAGTGCGTCACATTTCAGTGTAACATACAGGGTGTAATGGAGCCTTGTACTTGTCATCCACGACAAACTGAACAGCAGGTGCAGATATAGGGTATTGTGGGTCAAACCTAAACATCAGCGCAAACACTTCGCCCTGGACAGATCCAAATGCATTCAGCTTCAAAGAGGGGTAATGAAGATATAAGAGAGCTATGCGTACCTTATACTGAGATTCACCGAGCACCTCCAATGACAAGAACCATGTTTGAAAGTCGTCGGCTTTCAGAAGAGTAATGCCTGTATGAAGGAGTGTCGGAACTCAGCTTACGGAACACTGATCGACAATATCGTACCACAAGGAGTGCCCGCGGTCTTGATCTCCGTCAATTCCTTCTGTAAGCGTCTTGAGGAGACCGCCATAGGGGAGCAGTCGCGACGCTAGACAGAGTTCTTGAAACCGAGAAAGTGCAGCAGTGGTTGTAGCTGTAGAGGATCGCTTAATGGTGGCGGTACAAGATCCTATTATACAAGCGGTAAGGTACTAGTATGGATGTCCGGCCCGGTTATCCCGCGGCCTCGAATCGCTTCTTCGTTTGGGCTTGGGCAGGTTATTTAGGTTGTGATACGGAATTTTTGAAGTACTCGAAATTTAAATATTGCGAGATATTTGTGAGCATCAAGAACTGAATGTACTTCTGGTTACAGCTTCACCCAAGCAAGATAGCTGCTTGCCAATGGTCCTTTCCCATTTCCGTTTCTCGATATCCTCCAGTGCTGTTTCTTCGAAATGTTATTAGCAACACGTATTGAATTGAATCGGTCAAAGACCACGAGTTATCAATGTGGCTCATGCATCAATAATGGTTAGTCCACATGTACTATCTCCAACTCTTCCACGAATGATCTCAAGATGTCCAGGTTCACTCCTTCAACGTCGGCATCGCCTCCATCTGAATATGTCGAATTCTGACAGCAGAGGACAAGATGCTTCAGTGGGGCCTCGCGTTGTCGAGCTTCTAAGACACATCGAAGACTCTCGATGAGCTCATCATTGAACGCATTGACAGTATATGCGAGAATATGAAGGGTGTCCACGGCAGGAAACGGAATCAGTATCAGTGTTTGGTCCGCATGCGCTGCATAAGGCTTGAGCATCTGCTCGAGAAAACTTGGCAAAAGCTTCACTTCCACACGGACGGACCGGACATTCGGAAATCTCTCGCGGATCGCCTCGAAGTAGTCGACCACACAGTAACGTTCATCGTCATAATCTGTCTCTGCAGCCGTAAGTGTCAGGCTTTCAACCGTTGATAATACAGGCGAGAGTGTGGCGATAAACTCTGCGGCAGGCCGTGCTTGTGTGCAGGATCTTGGAAGCCGAACAGATATCCAAGGCTGCTCCATTGATTGGCTTCCTGAATGCTGAAGAGTATTTGACCCGGTGAAGCGGACAGAAGCTCTGTCTATTTCGAGCCCGCAAGATAGGATGGGTGGAGATTTGCTCAGGTCCCTGTTCGCCCTCGACATCACGTATGCAAGAATCCTCCTATTTAAGGCTTTGAGCGCGGAATGGTCGTCACGGCCAAAACCAGCGAGGAAGCATACATTTAGCGACAGTGTTTCCAGACAATCGAAATACCTCAGAATAGCAAGAATGGATATCGCATCGTCATCGATGGTCAATGCGCGCACCTGAGGACAGGCAACAGTATACTCTGCCGGAAAAGGCTCAGCACAGTACCCGGTCCAGTATAACTCCAGAGTCTTGAACGCAGGAAGGCCTTCGAGCTTCCTAATCAATGGTTCCACCGAATCACGACTACTCATACCTCTTCTCTTGCGTATATGAGCGTCGGGAAAAACCGCCAGTCTCTGCAACGTAGGCGGAAAGCCGATGGACCAAATCGTATTCCAATTCCACGCGGTTATTGTCAACGAACGCAAATTTGGGAACTTATCAGAAATATTGCCGCAAGGAGGATGGGCGTTTCTAAATCGAGAGGCTTCACCATCAGTCCAACACAGTTCTGTCACTTGGCGACAGGGTGGCCATGATGTTATGGCCCCGACTTCGAATAAGACGTATACATCTATGAGCTCTAAGGATCGAACGCGAGGAAGCTCAGCGAGGATATGCGCAATAGCTTGCTGGCAAGCATGGTGGTCCAGCGTGTACTCATAGGATCCACCATCCAATAGGACAACCAACGGCATTTGTCCGGAGTGGCGTAACCATTCAACGATTCGCTCCAAATGGAAAACGGGTCGCAAATTGATGAAGGTGAATAGCTGCGGACTTGACAGCAAAAGTTTCCTCCAATACCGGCATACGAGGGCGCATCGGTACCAACGATGCGGTCTCTCATTAAGACTGGGATCCTCTCGACACATGGCGGCGTACAGCGAAAATATATGGCAGAGTATCTCCTGAGGTAAACGGGCGTTGATAGGAACTTCTTTCACGTTACGAACCGCGTAGAATTGTGCGATGGTACGACGATGTTTCACGATAGCAGCTTCCAGTTCTTGTATGGAGGTCGTATGGGCTTCAACTCGTACTTCTATCTCGCGCGGCAATAGATCCCAAAGATCATTTGGGAAGGAAAGTTTGAGGTTAGATTCGAAGCTGAAAGATGACTGTTAGTGAGAGGCCACGGCAGTCTATGCAAATAACAAACCTGTATGGTATCGAGTCCATTTCTACGAAACTGTGGAGGTCGAACCGCAATTGAAGCCAGTGAAGCCTAATGATTATGACCATATATATCGGCTTGGGCACGTGGAACCCACGTGTATGGAGGTCATTACTTTGCTGTGCCGGCGATCCTGCTTGTGTCCTGTTCCACAATGTACGCTCGAAGGCCAGCGGCCTCCAACTTAGGTTTCTTCTCGAAATCATTCTCTGTTAATTCTACATCCACCCCTCAGACAACCCAAACCACCACCAATGTCGTTGTCAAGACGCGACTCGTACCAAAATCCACAAATACCGGTGCGGTAAAGGTTGTGGCAAGAGACGCCACTCCCGCAGCTGCCTCCTCCTCCTCTCGTGCCCCTTCGGCAACACCTTCAGAGACGAGCAAGAAACGAAAACCTGTTGCTGACCCTTTCTCTGAGATTCTGAGGGTTAAGAAACCTCGTTTGTCTCGCTCGCCAGCCCAGTCTCGTGCAGCCAGTGCGCGCCCCTCGGAAGAGCCTTCTACCCGCGCTTCATCCGTCGCTCCGTCAAGGCAGGACTCTCCTTTAACGCGTCGTCAAGCACCATGGATAGATGAAGATGGTCAACCGGGATCGGAGATGCTCAGCTGCGAGATCACTGTGCGAAACATAATGAAGGGTTACAAAGCTTGTATGTATACCGTCTTCCGACCATGTACAAGACATCATCTGAACACGAGTAGTCTTCAAGAATCCTTCCGATGCAGCAGACACCTCATTCGAGCCGCATATTACCAACTATCCAGTAACTGAGCTCGAATACCCAAATACTTCCGCTTCTGAACGGTAAATTAATAACCATCTCATCTTGCCTTAATTCTCATCTCATTCATCTAGATTCATCTTGCTTGAACCTAAAGATAAGGATCATTACAATCCTATCTTTTGCTTACAAAAGACAATTCATACCATCGTCGAACGTACGCCTCTTCGATTCTTCCGCCACTCAATCTGCTCACTTTTGTACAGACTACCTGACACCTGTGCAACAATCCCTCTTTGGATCGGTCCCTGACAAGTCGCTATCACACATTTGGGATGACGCGGAACGCGACTCTTCGCCTGACTCTGACTCTACTCAAACTCCTGACGAGTCGGAGTCATCCATTCTGCTAGCCTCCATGTGCTCATCTTCATCGCTGCTAGAGACTTTCTTACGTCCCGCTTCCGCCTCCCCTGCCCAGCAGACCTTCAACTTTCCTCGTCGTCTCCAAAGCGCTATCAACAGACGCAATGGTCCTCAGTTCCTTCAAGTCATGGAGGGTATTAACGCGTTCTTGCGATTCTTGAAATACCCGCACTTGCCTTCTGACTTATTCGACCATACCCCGCCTAATGGTCTCATGTCTACCATAAAGGCAAAGTCAGCAGTGCCGCATGACATTATTATGCGAATCATTGACGAGACATACCAACGGGCTGTAGGTCCGCACGTCGATTCGTTGAAAAAATACGAGGCTTTTACGGCTGGCACATACGGCGAGCTCATGCCCTCGTTTATCTCGCGGTTGATCAAAGAGACGCGTCTCACGGAGGATTCGCTGTTTCTGGATCTCGGATCTGGTGTTGGCAACGTTGTACTTCAAGCGAGCCTGGAAACAGGCTGCAGAAGTTTCGGAGTTGAACTCTTGGACGCCCCAGCCGGCATTGCCCAAAGTCAGCTGGAACAGCTGAAGATTCGTTGTCGAATGTGGGGTGTGAAGTTGGGTGAAGTTGAACTGGAGCACGGCGATATGTTGGCCAGCAAGAAGTTAGACTCATTGTTGAGTAAGGCCGACGTGTTGCTTGTTAACAACAAGGTATTCGACGAGCCTTGTGAGTCTTTCTGACTTTTGATTCATTTGATCGTGTGACTCACAAATATTCTCAGTGAACGAAGCTATCAAGGGCAAGCTTCTGGACCTTAAGGAAGGTGCCATCGTCATCTCTCTTCGACACTTCTCTCCACCAAAATCGTCCTTCACCGGACGAAATGTGAGTACTTTCATCCCGCTTTTCTATCACATGCTTTAACACACAATCACACATAGGTTGACGACATTAGTAGCATCTTCCAAGTGTCCGAGCGCAAGTTTCCTTCAGGAAGCGTTTCATGGACAGGAAGTAGCGATCATTACTACATCCACAAGGTCGATCGCGCTGCCTACGCTCTCAACAGAAACCGATATGAGAGTTCAAGAGCGACTTCTGTACGAAGCACTCGTTCAAGGAGATAACGTTATGCCCTACATCCCGGTGGTGTATGGCTTATTGCATGACACTGTATGCTATTGACTTCTTGGTTTATCGGCCCGTCTTGCAATCGAACTCACTAACCGCAATATTACTTACCCCTAATCCTCTCCATTTCTTTCTCAATCCTTCTTGCTCTCATAGTTGTGTCTCATCCGCTATCTTATTGCTATTTGCTGTGTGTAGCAATATGGACCATCGTCCTTGCACAAACTCTTCTTGGACAGTGACCTGCATTCTGCTATTTATTAACCACAGGGCAGACACTTGTTGTAGATATTTGTGTTGAACGGAATATATATTCCAGGACCGAGGACTGGTCGGTCGAAAATCACACCACATACATACATCCAGACATTCTACCTATAATCAAATCGCACTTCCCCTCGCCACCTCTGTTGTGACACCAACCCTAGCAGCAACGCCGGTGCCCGCACATGAAGAACCAATCGTCGGGTTAACAAGCGGGTGAATGCCGTTAGGGAAACACGAGGGTAGATTGGTATTAGTAACAATATGGGTGACGCAGATCGGCTTATTGAACTTGGTCTGTACGACAAACGAAGCAGTTGATCTCGCGTTGAAATTGTTTCGCTTGTTAAAGAGGATGGTCATCTTGCAAATATCGGTGATATCAGCTGGAGTGTAACCACCACCCGCAGTGTTGTCCCAGACGGTCTTTGGTTGCGGCTTATCCAGCTGTATGAGAGTGACAGGTTAGGTCGTGGTCAAGAAACGGACCAATAAATACGGTGGCTGACCCGGAAAGCGCATAATCTTGTCTCTGAACTGCATCGACCAGCATCGTTATTTGCTTGCCTGAAAGCTGTTCGGGTGTGTCGTCCAGATGTAGGGTCCGTCGCGTCCCCAACGAAAATATGATCTTGCATTCTCGCGAATTCACGGTCTACAGCAGTCCGTTCGGTCGGGGTAGGGTTCATCTATGACGTTCATCCATGAGACGTCATATATAATATTTCATTCATGAGACGTACAGCCAGAAAATTCCCAATCGGTAGGCACTGCGCAGGGTTAGTGATGAAGTTTGCATTGAGAACTGTCGGCCTCTGGATGCATTGCAGAGTAGTTCGGTCGAAAGCACATAGGGGATTAGCCGCTAAGAAAGATATTATGATGAGTGCCGCCCAACGTAAGCATTAGAGGGGGAATGTGAGCGCACCACATGCATTGCATTGTCCCTTCCCGTTCTGGTCCTTGATACCGTTACAGGTTGATGGGGCACGCGACCTATCATGCAGGGAGGGAGAGTTAAATTGATTGAACAATGTTACTATGTGGGGAAGCTTGAACGTACTGGAGCTGGTCGAAGGGTCCGGTCGGTAAAGCCAACGTGAAACTGCAGAGAGTGATGATGACCAAAATGAGAGTGAATCGTGTCATGAAAGCCATCATGAGGAGATTAAGGAATGCAAGAAAGGAAACGAAGTGTAGGATGTCAGAAGGGCTAAGAAATGAAGGGATCGACCTGCGATGAGGATTGTGCATCCTCCCATAGAACTACTTATACGCTGGAACATCTTGGGCGCGGCAGAGGATTCCCTTGGGAACACTAAGAACGGAGAGAAGGGGACAGTGATGAAACGTGGAGACAGTGAATAAGAAACACTAGCCAAGGCTTGGCATCATTGAATGCAGGTTCTGCAGTGCGGTCAGATGCATTTCGATCAGTAAGTCAAGTATCTACATGCGATATGGGTGGCCCATTTCATCCCAAAGGTTCGGTCTCGATAACCATCCTATTTGATACTATGGAGATCGTATCGTCTGCTTCTCCAGTAAGTCAGCATTTGAAAGCGTACCTTGGGAAGAGACAAAGACTCGAATCTTGCTTTCATACAGACATGCTATGAACTGGACGATATGAGCGTCCAATCGACCAGTGTCAGTTTGCTCGCCCATCAAGGAACCCAATGATACCGCCGGAGATGATCTGCACCATTAAAGAAGTTTGAGACACACGGCAAACATGAACGTGTCTGCCTTCTAGGCAGAGTTCATGCAGACAGGACGACGTCCTGGCAACATGTCAATGCATCTGTCCGACGACAGATTTAAAATCTGCAGAGTGAGTTGACCAATCAGCGCCCAGAAACATAAGCAACCATCAAAAGTCTGCCTGGGGGACAGACAATAAAAACGTGGTGCCAAGATGTTCGCCAATCTGCATCGCATCTGTACTGACTACGGATGGGTTCTTGCGTGCCGTGACAATGCCCGCCCATGAATGAGCTATGAATCCTATCAATCTGGCCGTGACAACGTTGATTCCAGCCGACAGTGATATAGTTCGCAATCATCAAACCTAGTAACAACTGCAGATTATAAAACAAGTAAGCGCTAGCTGAGCAATGGTCGTGTCCGAGTCGCAAGCCGAGTCGTACCGTTTCTCGTGTTGTCGATTGTTGATCAATGGCCTCGGTGAAATTACCTGTTTTGGAACACCGTTGTTTGGCGTTCAGGTAACACCCGCAGGTTCATCCTATACGTCAATATATTTTCTTACGAACTTGACAGACATGACTTGGTTCATAACGAGATTCGTAGGTATACACGCTTCAGTGCAGTCACGATATCTTGGTAATAATGGAAGAAAATAGATCAGGCTGTCATCTCCAATACAGCATTGGGAAAATCACTTACTTCTGAAGATATAACGAGGCAAATGGATATGACACTTCTTATATGATAATTAAACGTAGTTAGTTCAACGTCTAATCATAGGCCCACTAAAGATTCAGTCGCTCACCATTTCATCGCACTCACTCGCTCAGGTGAGTGTGATCTTCCTCCCCTCACGTATACTTGTCAAAGCAGCGTCAAGAACACGGTGGAGCCTCACGGCATCATCGATAGTGGTATACTTCCCACCGTCACCTTTAGCAAACTCGAACCACGCCTTGGCTGTATTCCCCAACTTGTCCAACTCGGTCTCTTCTAATGGCACTTCTTCGCCCTTCAACAGTACCCTCTTCTCGTGCATGGAGATGAAGCAACCTAGCTCCCCATCTTGCTCTCTGTGTTCGAGCTCGATGACACCATCCTCACCATCGATGATCCAGCGGAAAAGGGTACGTCCCTTGGCTTTGTCACCGCGGTGGGGGAGGCTAGAGCGGCAGTGGATATTCACAAATGCGCCCTCGGCGTAAGGTTTGCCAGTTAAGAGACCGGAGAGAGAGATCTGGTCGTGTACGGTGTTTGGGAAAGATTGGCCAGTAGGGTTTCCCTCGTTGTCGACGAGGACGACATCAGGATAACGGATTGTACCGGCTGCAGTGACCTCAGTGAAATCACCCAGGGCCTCAGTTAGGGCGATTATAAGGTGGCCAATTGAGATACTCAGCGGAGTAGCACCTGGAGAAGTGAAGTTCAGCAAAATAAAAGGGTAACGCGCCAATACGTTTTACCATTGTTAACGTCCGCGGCGTACGCATGATTGGCATTGACGAAGGGGCCCCAGAACTTAGCTTCCCCGGGCCCGGCACTGAATACCTGTGTTTTAATGAATCAATGCCTGAGTATTATTTATCCTAGTAAACGACGTACCACTGAGGTTGAGATGACGCGGCCGATTTTGCCGGCTTCAAGAAGTTCCTTGACCTGTTCTCAATGAATTCAATGTTTCACTGCCGATACAATCACAACGATACTTACCTTTCTGACCGATGCACTCTGGTTGCCCTGCCCTCCTACGAGGCATCGCACGCCCTTCTTCTTCACCAACTCCGAGATCTTCAGTGTTTCAGCGAGCCCATTTCCGGGCGTCCATTCCACAAACACATCTTTACCCGCGTCAATAGCAGGAGCGATGAGCTTGAAATGCATGGGCATCTTCACGCTCACCGTCACCATGTCCACGTTCGGATCCTTCGCAATTTTCTCAGGACCTTCTGGACCATAGTAGGCCTTGATCTCGTGTCCAAATTCTTTGGAGTACTTTTCGGAAGCTGAGAGGGCCGACACTTGAGATGAGGTGCATAGCGCAGTGATCGTGTACTTTTCGGAGAGAAGTGGATGAAGGAGTGGAGGGACGAGTGCTCCCGCTGCCCAACCTCCCGAGGAGAGTCCTATAACACCGAGTCGAATAGGGGCCATTGTTCTACTATGTTTTAATGGAAGGCGATTGAGCAGATGTTATACAGAGTTATCCCGAGGCACAAAGGTTGCGTATCTGGATATCCTGCCTTCTAGAAGACTACTTATATGCATTCGACGAAATAGTCTTACTCATATCCGAGGGGCCGGATTGCCGGTCCTTACATGGTCGATACTGTCGGTCTGCATCGAGGTTGCTTGCGTGAGAGAAAAAGTAAGTGTCGTAGTGCACAGCGACATAGGGAATAGTACAAGTCCCAGCATTCGATTTGTCACTAACCATTCGCTGTGCCCTGACGCATGTACTGTTGCTCCGATCGGTTTCGTGCCAGTGATATCTGCCAAGTTGGAATGTGACAGTGTTGCAATTGGCAGACATGGTGTCTTCAAAGTAACCTAGAGAGGACGTCCACAATCCCTGCCGCGAGTCGAGTCGACCTGTTGAGTCGGTTGTGAATCTCCAAAGAAAGAGCGAGGTTCGTCTCAGAATATTAAATATTCAAATTACTATTCAAATTCAAGTCGGCGCTTCCCCAGATTCAAGACACAACTGCGTCATAGCTTGAACCACAACAACTTTTGAGTTGGGGATGATAAAGGTTGTTATTTTGTGTTGAATAGGACTAACAGCAGGACGTAGACCAGCCACAATGTCAAAACTACTCGCTTTACCACAGGAACTCCTCATGTATACTCGAGGCTTCATCCCGGTCTCCGACGAGCTCACTCACGTTTCACTACAATCAACGCGCAAACTGTTCCTCGATCTCTATATGGAGGACGAGAAGTTTTGGATGTCCTTATGTGCCGCGTGTGATATTGGCCGACCATTAGTGTCTACCATTCCAGGTTGGAAACACCCAATGCAGGATGCCACTTGGCGAGAGTTGGGGATCATAATCGCGAACCATTACGTGACCTGCGCTCCCTGCAAGGTTTATCATCCACTTGGTAAGTGATCCGCACACACTCTCCCTTGTTTCGCTGACGTAAATTGACTTCGTGCAGTCCAGGTTTCGGGGACGGGATTAGTACTCTGCCGCTATCACCAACTGAAGTCCAAAAGACTACGGAAATTGTCTATGGAACAACCGTATACATGCGATTCAGCTTGGTGCCGTTGTCTTTGACTGGGGACGACGTTGTGTTGAATTGCCATACACGGCACGGAAAGGAGGAGAGCACTTTTCTGAAGCATACCCCAAATACTTGCGTATTTGCAACTTACCCTCAGTCATTGGAGACACTTTCAATTATCGTTCTTGGCTCCATCCAAGTAGAAGTGACCAACAAGATGGGTGTTACGCAGTGGGACGTCGTCGCGCACGTTGATCAGGCGTATGTACGCTTGTACGATGGGTCTCTTATAACTCACCATCCCTCGCATCAGTCTGGATCATGCTCTCACATTCGCGGAGCTCTTTGAAATATATCAAACTTATAGAGATGCGGACGCAGCCGTAATATCACCTCACTCGCTTCGACTTTCTCAGAGATACGACTGTTGGACAATTTATCCCAATGGTCCGACAATTGTAGGCTCTAATTTTCATGGATGGCCGTGAAGACCATCTCATGAACGTGTACCTTCAGCTTTATCGATCCGGATCCATACGCCCAGCGAGTACCACTGAATTGGAATGACGTCGCATATTACTCGCTGGGCGTATGGGACTTTATAATGGAAACCGAAAGCTGGAGGTACGTGCGCTTTCGCGTCCTCCGTTGATTGCTTACATCATGGACCCATCCTCGTGTCTCATTATGCAGTCATGTGACGATATTGAACGTCCTCAGGACCCTTTATGATTTCAATGCCGAAGCTAAAGAATTCGAGTGGATGAATGCATGGAGAAGTTACTCGACATTGCGAGGATTGCTTTGTCAAGGGCGGAAGACGTATGTCTATCTCGCTCTTTGTTCGGGTGGAGGGTTCTGGTTCCTCTTTGTTAGGCCATTCTGGGGAATCAAACAAGTTGCACCCGGTTCAGTGACGTTCAAAGCCGAATGGCTCATGCACGTTTAGGCCTCACATTCAAACCCTTCAGAGTTGGCACATATAGACGGCGTTGTGGTTGCATAACGGACGTAATTGACCAGCAGGCGAAAACTAAATGTTTGGGGGTCGGATTCTCTCTCTATCGAATAATGACATGCCTAAGGCTCTGAGCTCTAGCTAGCATAATTACAACGCGATTGGAGTATACTATGATGTAAATTAGTGCGAGAGAGTTTCGTAGCAAGGAAACCATCGGGGCGGTGGAGCGGGGGTGGGGGGACACCCGCACTTTACGACGTTCGTTTGTTAGGTGTCCAACATCAGTGTATCCATTGAAACTGTGACCCAATAGGGGCATACCTGTTTTAATGGCACAGCATCCGTCTGTTTGCATGGGCACTTGGCACATGGGAACGGTTCAATCCTCCCAGCCGATAGGCCTGGCCGTGGAGGCTTTTAAATGTGAAGGCAGCGTAATGTTAACGTCAATAATTGGCCCTTAATGTTTAAGACATCTAAGAGTGGGCAACTGGTTTTATTTCGTTCGAGTAATGCAGTGTACAGGGAAGCTACTTATCAAGTCACGTCGCTCACAACTTGTGCCAACCAGTCTCAAACCAGATTCGCAGGGACTTTGATATCTAAAGAATGCGCAGAATGGTTGCCCAGGTTAAACATTGATACATCGTCTGTCGTGGGAGCAGTTTCTTGAGCAGCCCTTCCCTCCTGACCGCGGAAAACATGAACTGCAGGTCCAACCCGACGAAGCGTATCTGTAGACCAAGCGTGGCCTTCAATCATACGCACGATGATAAGGGCAGGAATGATACCCTAAAACAGCCTGAACTTGGATCAGAACACACGAAGACACTGACAAACACTCACCTCCAGTTGGACAAGCAAAGGAACGAACAGGTTGGAGCCCGTGTTGCCCAAGCCATACAGAACAACGAAAATGAACGAGACCAACCCATAGGGGAGGGCTGTCTCGACTATCAACGCTTCAACGCCGTTGTATCGCTGTCGTACCTCTTCAGTCACTGTGATGGGAAGTCTGCGGCGCAAATCGAGAAGACGCCACACTAGGACGATCGTGAGTAGAATGTTGAGCGACATAGCGAGCGAAGCATAAGGAACGGAGAGATTGAGTGTGGTTTGATCCCAGAGTGCAGCATTGGCACGAGATGCTTGGACACAATGAAGGATTGACATGACTTAAAGGATGTCGGTTAAGAGGAGCAAAGCAAGTATGGAGAAAAGACGAACCTGTGGATGCCAAGAGTACCAAGGTGAGAGTACCGGTAATGTAGAACTTCTTCCACAAGACATGACAGCGATGAACCTATCCAAGGTAGGTATGTTAGTTTAGAGCCTGAACAGGCTAGGATATTACGGCGCACCAGGAAGCCATCCGCGAGGAAAATAGTGATAATAGACGTAGCAAGCGAGGCAGTATTCACAGGGCGGTTCTGCTGAGTGACGATGAAAGCAAGTGGACCGCCGGGGAAGCCTCGTTCATCGATCCAAGCTAACTGGTTGAAGTTGATACTGCAGCAAATGTTGATAGTGGCCATGATGAAGAGGGTACTGATGAAGGGAAGCCAGATCTTGCTCGACTTGTTCTTGTCTAGGATGATAGTGCGAGCAGCGTTGTAGCACACCGCCGCATGCAGTCCTAGTAATTAAAATCCAGTCAGATGGGTCATTATCGAAGGCGGAACGGCAGACTTACCCCATGCCATAGCGCCGATGTACACCGCAGCATTGATCGATTGCTCGAACCAAAGCTGCTCAGTAGTTTCGTTCGTAGCGTTGGATGAGGACATGATGGACTGCAGGCGGGTGGTGTAGCACCTAAGGCTCCGGGAGGAAAAGACCGTTAGTTATATCTGAGTGGAACTGATGTCTATCTAAGCCAGTTTGATCATAAAAACGATCAAATCGTTCCCAGTCGAACAAATTCACCGAACCATATCACTATAAGCTTCTGAGTAACACCGCTGCATTACTTGCGTACGAAGCTACTGTGGACAGATCGGGAAGAACTTTGGGACCAAATGGGAGGAGGACCCCGAAACTGTTCATGTCAAAGGGCAACAACACGGTAAGACAACTGTCAGCGTTTCCGACTGTCGTACATTGACAGTTCAGAAACAAGGGTCATGGCAAAGATCTGATAGTCATAAGGTGAGAGACTCGCCTTTCTACCTACCCGGTCCGTTTGAGTTAGGCCGGTCACGGTTCGGCCAAGGGAATACCAATGCAAACCTTGCGAAGAGCCGTGCTTCGCGGATACCATAGCTCTAGAGGCCTGTCGTAGATTGGAGGAATCAGAAAGCGTCTCGGAGAAAACCCCTGGGTTATCACATCGAGGCCCGCGGTAAAGAAATGACAAATTTAAAACGTTTGAGAACTCGGAGTCGATAAACTGGAAGGATGATTCGTGATTGAGACTCGTACGTTCGCTGTACGCCGCGTAGCATGCGAGAATCGCGGGTGAGTAATCATGCGGACAGATTCACGCTTTGGCTGTATTACTATTAGGGTGGCCAGAAATGCTTGGGAATTCGAGGTTCAATATGCAATGCTTGAGTTCTGTATCAGGGTTACTTGCATTTCAACTGGCATGGACACAAACCGAAATTGAGATATAAATTTACATGTCCAAGTGGAAGAGCCACGCGGTTGTAAACTTAGATTTATGGTAGGGTTCATTGCACAAAATTCCGAGGCCGCCAGCTGGCAGGAGAAAAGTGCTCATAGTCACAAAGGCGCCCAGGTCCAATTATCTAAGCCTTTTCTAACCGATAAGTATTTCATGCTACAACTTACAGAAAATGTTACGAAATTCCGAATCAGATACTACAACAATCAACATGTTCAATTTGACTTTAGTCCTCGATGGCACTAATCTCTGTCACTGCATAATGATCCTCGTCTTTCCAAGTCAGGTAGTTCTCTTCAGCATACTTCCGAACTTGCACCCAGTCCTGACACTGATGCGTAACTCCAGTACCATACGCGGCTTGTGTGAGCCTACCATCGACGTTACGGGTCGAGAAAGCAGGCTCAAGCGAGATGTCCGCCGCACAGAGCACCATTTGACGGAGGTAGGTGAGGCAATGGAGAGCGTGAGCCCCGTCGTGCTCGGCGCGAGATGCATTGCGATGCCCATTGAACATCTTCCTGAAACTGTTCAAACAATGCATCTGGTGGTACATCGAGATAGCATAGTATGCCTGGTCGTCATCTTCGCCAAGGCGCACGAAGCCATGGCCGAAGGGAATAACGGATGCCCAGTCGTTGTCATCCTCCATACCATATCGATCAGAGTCGACGACTTCGAGTGCGACGTCACCAATATCGATAGGCACTCTGACTGGTTCGTCGTTGACGTTTGCGGTCTTGATTGCGAATCCTGTAATTGCGTTCAGTAATTCGCTACATGTGTTACAGCGCTCTGCCTACTCACCGTGTTTGTACGATGTGTTCACGACCGTGCCTATGGTATTGACGAGCAGCGAAAGCAGAAGGGCAAGGATACCTGTGTGTACGACCTTCACGGGTATCACATAGTGGTCACGCAAAGTAGAGAGCATCTCGATGGTCTAATTATCCGTAGGTGAGCGGATCCTTACCATATACCCTTGTGAGGTGCTCATATCATAGGACGTCAATCCTCTTGCTTATTCGGGTTGATCAGGATTATCAAATGCAGAAATTCACCAAGGGGTTGACTACTCGTATTTCTGATCGACCAAAAAGAGTTACTTGCAGAGCAGAGATCCATCCATTCACCGTTACACGCTGTCATTTCCGGATATGGGCGATCAAGCTTCAAGGTCCAGGTGATTTCCTCCACAGTCTTACAAGCCTGGCAAATGTATGTATGTCACCAAACTGACAGTTGCATATGGACCCGGTCATGAATCAGAATAGCGCAATATCCAGTACAACGGAACCACAAGTATTCATGGGATCGTTCAAACTTCACAATGCACTGATTGTTCTATTTGCTTCATTCACTATCCTAATCCGTCTTCTTCAGGTAATCACCGACTACCTCCATGTACCTCGCTCGCTCCTCCCAGAAAGGCGTGTGAGTCGAATTCATGAATGTGGTCCACTTGACGTCCGGGATACCTTTGAAGAAGGGTTCCATCACGAAGTCCTGCGCCATATCCCTGTGACCATTCAGCAAGAGCGTAGGCACGGTGATCTGTGGGATTCGGTCGACGATGGTCCAATCGTTGCTAAACCTGATGAATACCGAAACATCAGTTCACGACCGTGGGCTTGGCTTGGCAAACTTACGGAGCACTGGCAACAGTGGTGTCACCATGGGGTCCGAAGATAGCCAAGAACGATGCATTATACGCCGCCGGCAAATGCTTCAGTGTGCAACCGTATACAGCGCTGAACACTTGCAACGCTGCCCAATACTTCTGAGGGTCAGCCAGGCCGACCATGAGCCCATCCTGAACGTCTTGGGGCATGGTCTGCATGAGCTGAGCGAGTGATTGACCCCACAGCGCGGAGGAAGCGGGAGTGTCTGAGATGACCAGCTTCTTGAGACCTTTCGGTTTCCTCTGCACCTCGAATTCGGTGCCTAGCTCTCCTCCCCAAGAGTGTCCGAGGAGGTGGAACGAATCCTGGATGGAAAAGTGGTTGAGGAGATTGCTCAACTCGTCCATGAAGAGTTCAACGGACCAGAAGTCCGCAGGCTTCTCGCGCAGGTGAGTAGAGCGGCCATTGCCGAGCTGGTCGTAGAAGACAACAGGGATATTGGCGGTGTGGGCGAGGTCGGAGATGGGGATCATGTAGTCGTGAGTGAGACCGGGCCCGCCGTGGAGGACGACGAGCGGAGTATGAGCGCGGTTTTGGATGTCACCGAAGACCTTATAGTAGGTGTGGAAGGTTTCGCCATGGTACGGGAACGGAATGGTACCTTCAGTGAACGGCGTTGTAGGTGACGCCGAAGATGCTGATGCGCCATTGCCGCCGAAACAAGCAGCGGAAGTGAGAACGGAAAGGATCCTCTTCCATGAGCGGGTTTTCTGAGTCATCGTGCTCGAGGACTGGGAAAGCTAAGAGCTGAGAACGTTCTTGGCTTTGCTGTTATACTCATATTCGGGACACCGTGACAGATGCTGAACTGAGAAAGCTGTTAGCACGCCGGCGGCGGTATTCTCGGGGATGACTGCAGGGAAAGGAAGAACAGGTACGAGGGTTAGATGCATGTGCTCATTTGTGAAGGTTTCGTGAATGCACCTACACAGGCCCGTCCACCTTCTATACGTCAATCAGTCCGGATCGCGGGAAAGTCGGGCTTTACATGCCCACATGAAGTAAGTCGCCTTTCAATCTATCTTATGCTATGAATAAATGATACTATTCTGTTGACGACAGCTTGCTTCCAAGCCTGACCGAGGTTGATCAGGTTCGCTCAGCTACTCGACGTGCACTAAGCTCTGTCTATATTCTTTCTCGCGATTGCATGAATGCTGCATCTCATATTCTCTTAGGGTGAATTTACTACGACTCGGTGTCATGAATGTGAAAGACAGACTGTCGATTGTGCTCTTCGTTGCTAGTGTAATTAACCTGACATACATTGGATGGCACTTATCGAACCACAGCAAACAGATTCGTCGAGCGTATTGTGGGTCTTTCTTGTTCACCGTCTTTCTTTACTTCACTGATTCTATTTGCTATATTCAGCATATCGAGGACATGACTATCCTGAAACGCTTCCTCTCCCTCTTCCCGACCTACCTGAAGTTACTATGACAGTCGAAGAAAGCATCCATTACCCGCTGTTCGGCGCCGCTTCAGACGACCAATGGTTCTCACTCACTTCAGCTTCCTACGGCTATGTTCGCCTTGGTCCCGACGATCGCATGTTCGTGGTCACCACGTTCCATGAACTCCATTGTCTTCGTCTTCTTAACCTCGCGTTCAGCAAGGCGCACGTTGCGAATACGGGCCATATCAAGCACTGCTTGAATTATATTAGACAAAGCGTTCTATGCTCTCCGGACCTTACAATCGAGCCGGGGAACTTTGAGGAGAGGCACTTTGACATCGATAGGACGGGTGCGACTCACGCATGTAGGGATTGGAGTATGGTGTATCCTATTATGGATGACAACTATGCTGTCTGGCTAAACATAACGAGATGAGGTCAGGGTTCTGCTTCTAATGCATGTTTACGTGGGCCCATATTCGATTATTCAATAGGCTTCAAGTTGTTGACCAATTTCGCGTGTTTCTCTCGTTGTAAACACGCGTTCGTAGAGAAGTCTTGGCAAGACTGCGCACTCTGTCGCCTATCGCGTATTATTTACATGAACCATGAACTCCCTATAATTCCTCTCTGCAGCATCATATACCGTTGTCCAATCCCTGCAGGTATGAGTTACGTCTGAGACCGTCATCTGGTGTCCCTTGGGCGCTCTAACCGACTCCAACCTCATGTCCGCTCTACACAACACCATCTGCCTGATGTAATTCATACAATGTCTCGCTAGTTCGGGTTTGGTAGTCTTCGCGTCGGGCGTATCATCGGCGTAGAGGTCAACGATTACCTCTCGAACAATGTTAAGACATCGAAGCTGGTGAAACATCGAAAGAGTGAATGGTTCGAAGGTCGTCCCGAGACGAAGAAGAACACCTCCACTGGGTAAAGTTGCATTCCATTCCCCTATCCCGATAGGCGTGTCGATGGAATAGTGGACACTGTCCTCGTGCGCCATGTGCACAAGTTCGAGTTCAGGAATCGGCCAGGTTTGAGGGTAATCATTTCCACGATATGCTACACAGAATCGTTCAGGCATTGGTCCAGAAGTAAGACGATTAGATCACATACTGTACTCTCGTCGAAGGGGTTTAACCCATGTTAACGATGGAAACCGCCTGCCTCCGTTGACCCAAATGATAATCAATGAAGTTGCGAAGAAAGTGAGGCTAGCAATTGCGAGTTTAACTATATGGTGGCTTCGCGTCTTAGGGCTCATTGCTGGTTTGAGAATGGTGGATACGTGCGAGAATGTAGCCTTCGAGCTTATGGTCTTATGTAGGATGTGCTCTCATTCTGCGCTTAACCGATGTTTGTACATATTCTGATTAAAGCTTCACTTCATGTCACCCGTTCAAAGTCCAAGACGTGTCATTTTCATGTATACAAAGGTATCAAGGATTCGCGTCGGGTAAGAATACAATCCAAATCATCTCATATAGAGCATTAATGAAACTTCGGAGACTTCAATGTCTACGATACTTCACTTAGCACCGGTAACAATGTTTTGTAGGGTTTCGTTACCTCTAGAAGCAAAGAGCGAGACCGGGCCCTGTGATCTCTACACCGCGCTTGGCGAGATCTTCAGCATCGCAGTCAACCTCATCAACTTCAAATCTGAAGTCAGGACGGGACGTGATTTATGTGAATTTGTGAAACTTACCATGAGGGACGGGGGTCGAGGTGACCAACGCAGCAAGTGCAAAGAGGACGAGGAACTTGGTGAAGGTGCGCATGATATGTAGTTAAGAGTGAAGGTTGGGGAATGCGCTAGGTCAACAAGCTAGGAAGCTGAGTTGCGAAAGCTTCAACTCGTGAAGGGGCCCGTGCAGGCTTAGAACCAGACTTTATGGAATCAAGCACAAGGATTGTCAAGGCACCGGAGAGCAGTGGCAACTCCGGGATACAAGTTTCCTTATCTCTACGTGAGACGAGAAATATGTATTCGGGGCGTCGGGAGGTATAGCTGTGGACTTTCTCGCACAATGACAAATGGTGGGACGGATATCCGATGATATCTAACTTGAAGTCTGGCAAAGGACAATGGAATGAGGGTCTCATGTCTTCCAAGTTGATGCATCTGTCAATGAATTGCCTGCAATACGAAGAAGCAGCTAGTTGGTGGCCAACGCGATATGAGCGGACTCCATCGCTCCGTATTGGATCAGAAATCTGGAATGAACTTGAAGTCTGCTGGCGGGGACTTGTCTAAGTGCGTGTACACGGGACAGCCAAATACGACCACGCCAAGGTTTGTTTTGTATGCAACGTCCACACGGGCGTGCTTTTTGGCAGTTCGCACCCAAGCCTGGCAGTTGGAGGTAGAGGTTAAGGTAAGGCGGTTGAAAGTTAGCCGGGCGTTGAGTATATGATCGCGTGAGATCTGATGGCAGATCGTCCGACAGGACCCCGACACACTCCCATCCGGTTAAAATTCCGCAGAAACTGCAACGAAAGTGGTAAGTACGTTGACATCTCTTTTATGATGCTGTTGGAACCTGACTGATTATCTATATCTCGACCTTCCCATGTCATGTTGCCATATGGAAATCTAAAGTACACTCAGGCTGTCGGCGGTCATTGGCGTCTTGCATGAGATGATGTCGACTCAGGCTCGGAACGCCGCAATAATATCTTCAACAAGCACCTTCAGCTGACCACCTTTACCGGCACGAAAAACGGGTTACAGGAGTAGAGGGATCAGTGAGGGACATCGTGAATCACTGCCTTTCAAGCCTCATTGGATAGCTCTCTCTGACTTTGCATCGTTGCCACTGTGCGAATCAGCATCTACCCCGTCCTGACTCACGCAATACACAGGTATGCGTATGATTGAAGTATTAATGGAAACAAGTACACTAACTGAGTGGGTACAGAATCATGAAGCCGGTATACGTCGCTCTCCCCAATTCACCATTGGACGACCACGAAGCCAAGCCGTTCGTGCAGTCAGAATCCACGGAGGAGCTCTATCGCGTCGGCGCTTCATCTGTGAAGACTCTTTCTACCAAGATGACCGTGTTGGCCTATATTCTATGCGCCCTCACCGTCCTTCTTGCCTCGGCCAACTTGGCGTCTAGCATTTATAACGCTTGCTACTCTCATGGCCACAACACGAGTATCGACAAGCTTCCTCGTCCAGACATATTTGCTGGCCTGCCGAAGAACCCTACAATGGGTCATCACGTTGAACCCAGCATGCCGGCCTCTCATACTGAAGACTCTCATGGACATGCTCATGAGCATGAGCACAACCATGCCGCTCAGGCCTGTGAGTAGCCCTCAATTCCCCTCATTCGACACCATGGAAGACTGAATAACGCGTCATTTCCGAAGAAAGAGATTTCATAACACAAGATCGGTTCAGAAACGTGTACAGTAGTTTGATAGGACCAGAGGAATTGACTTTGTATAATCAGTACCGACCTACAGTACCTACGAGCGGGCCGAATACTTTTTATGACAGCCTTACGTTCGCCAGGTCTGCACTAAACCGTTTTGAAAAATAACCGTGCTATGAACGATTCTGCCAATGTATGTAGCTCTACCTAAGCGATGTAGCAAAGACGGTACCGAGCTAATGCATATGTCCGCTGCCAGTAGAGTTAGCCGAATGTGACATCCCAACTTTGTACGTGTCCTTCCACTGCTCATAGTTCTCCTCCATATACTGCCTCGCTTGAGACCAATCCTTGCACCTGTGGGTGATACCTACTCCGGTGACAGCATTCGTAAGCCTTCCGTCGGGAGTTAACTGGCGATGGCTCGCTGGTTCCAATGTGAGGTCGACGTTACAGAGAACCATTTGGCGAAGATAGATGAGACAATGATCAACATGACCAATATCTCCTTCGTCTAGTTGATCACGGTTGATGAAATATGCTCGTAAAGAGCGGAGGCAATGAAGTTGGTGATAATGAGAAACAATGTAGTGTTCATCGCGATCGGGGAGGTAGACGAAACCGTCGCCAGGTGGGAGTAAATGTCGCATATCCTCGGCAGAAGACTGCAATCCTAGACGAGAGGACTTGCTCGTCGTCAAAGCTACATCTCGAAGGGTGATAGGAAACTGAGGGACACCGGGGTCACGACCTTGATAACAATTTTATTTCGGCCTTCGTCCACTGGGGCATGGTATGACAGGATCACTCACTTGCATGTCCCTCTCGCAAACGATAATACGTATTGGCGGCGTGGACAAGCAAAGAGAAAAGGAGGGCTATAAGCCCAAGCGCAAAAAGGGGTGCGGGCAGCGAAATGCGCGTGCTACGCTTCATAGTCAATCCTGCGGGGTGGTAGACTCAGTCACCGACTACCATTGTAATCTGAGTGGATTGACAAACAGGAAACACCAATGGAATGAACCTTGCTCCCGAGAATCGCGGCTCGAATGCTATCACACTCAGGGTTTCCAAGTCACTGGTTCTTTGCATCACTTCCTTGCTATCGTTTGGTCAACCTATTTCCGAATGCGTAGATCTTCTTGACAGTTTGATATCAGCGATGACGTTTATAGCCTCATATAGAAGACGGTCAGACACGTTCGACAGGATGCCGGGTGTGCAATTATTCACCAGGTCAATATACATAGTACATACTGCGGCAGATCGCACGCAGGATACAGTCGCACGATTTGACAACTTGACAAGCTCTGAAAAGCCGGGATTAGTTACCCTGTCAATCAGAGATTCGTACCAAAAGAGGGTTTGGACCCTAAAGTGGATGCATTCAATATTTGTCCTTTACTGTCAAAGAAGCAGCTCGAAAACGAATAGCTGATCGGCGATATGAGCACTGTTCGGGCAAACGACAACCAACAAGAACTTGAAAGATAAATTGAGATAGTAACATACTTAGATCGCTGGTCGTTGTATTGGATGTAACTCATCACAGGGGTCAAATGATGAGTGTCTCACGGTGGGAATTCACATTGGTTGTATGTCAATCTTCATAAGTACTGCGATACGATCACGAGGAGAATATGCAATCACTGATCGCAGCTGTAAACCAAATGAGCAAGACAGGAGGGAACCAGGAGGGAGGTCGAATACGTACCTTGAAATGGAAGTCTGTCCCTCATGAACTCGGCTCCAAGGCTGAAGTCGATCCCACAATGTCACGGTCTTGTAGAGTGGTAATCTCAACCCGCTTCGAATGAGATCCGGTGTATTTAGATCATGCCCTATCTCGAGTAATCTGTAAAGTGATCAACTTCGGTGCAATGCATATTTGATTTGCAGTTAATGCGTCGTTAGCTCAGCGAGAGGCGAAAGATTCACCTGAACTTGGACCAATAGCGGGATGAACAGCAGGTCAACCGTGTTATGAATGCTATGCAAGACGCTAAACACACCGTGACTAACAACAGCCTGTAAGACAGCACTTTTAGCGTTCGTCGATACAATATCATTCGACCCTCGGGCATGTTCTTCGCCGAGCACTTCTCGGAATCTATGTGGAGAGCCGGGGATAGACCCCAGTAAGGAACGGAAAATTTGGAAGTCGTCCCGGGCAATAGAGTTGAGACCGGACGTGCGGCTGCAACGACTGTGAGGATCGAGGAGGCTGCAATGTGCCAAATAAAGTGAGACAGGTAAATAAACTGATCAGTATGAACCGGCGGAAGCTCTATGGATAGCATAGAAAAGGGATGTGATGAATCCAACGTCTATCGTTCCATACCAGAAAACAATGATAAATCTATCAAAGAATCATTTCGATGCGGTTCGTAGCATTTGTTATCATATCAGAACGTACCAGAGACCCATCGGCAGAAATGAAGCAATGCATCGCGCGGCGTTTTCGAAAATATTCATGAAAATAACTTGCTCTTTCTGCAAGTATGCCAGCTAACGATTCAGGCACGCTCATTGAAGTTGAGGTTACAATGAAGATTGATTATAGCCAGTGTGGTAACAACGAAGAATTGCAGCCACCAAGTCCTGCATCTACGTGAGAGAACGAGGTACAAGATCGCAGTGAAGATGAATATATGAACACCTGGACACGCTGGCGTGAACAAAAGAGGACATAGCAATACCATACTCCAAATTACTCACAGACCTACTGTACGCCATCGCGCCGACCGTCGTGGACGCATTGATGCCCTACTCGAACCAAAGAAGCCCGCGAGATATATCCATAACAAATGGAGAAGGCATCTTCGGAAATTTCTGGTCGTTGAGCCAGTCGGAACGCGCTCTAAGAGAAAAACATGCATCTCTGATCATCAGTGGTCCTTCGATACTGAATATGCCTGATGAACAACTACTTCGCCATTTGCCAGCGATGTGATTGTGCTCAGGGCTAGTTTGTTCGACAGTCGCCAGAGAGAGATTGAGACCGGCCAAACCGTGCAGAGTGCGGACTAATCCTAAGCAGGTACATCCCAACCTAGAAGTCTGTTTCCCATGTTGATCTCGGCCTTGGAGATCCCCACGCGTGATTTGCCCTGACAGCTTTATGCACCCAAAGTCCGCTAGGATGAGGGAGCAAGGGACGCCGTCGGAAACAGCTTTCGGGGTCTTATGGCATGCTCGTCTGCATTGACAGAACCATATGCAGCAGATGGAGCACGTCTGATCTCAATTCCCTCTTGATATTGCTGGATGTCACTACATTGTGGTAAGAATCCTGAACTTGTCGAGACGATAATCATCGTCCGGAGCGAATGGATGAGTACTGAATCATGTGAAGGCCTATGGGAACGGTTAGAGAAAACACTAGACAAAAGCGGAGGGAACCGATACTGACCTCCAATTGGGCGAGCCCGTTGATCTTGCCAAAAATCGACATTACAGTTGGGCATAGAAGGGGAACACGAAAGTTCTAGAGTCGTGAAATGTACAGATGGACAGTGAAACTGGCCAGAACTGCTTGAGGAGAGAGCCGAGAACGATAATGTAGTCAAGAGCTCTCTGCGCTTCGGAGCATATTCGGTCGCTCCGTCGATGTACCGCAATAGCTCTGTCCCTGCGTCCAGGACCCAGATATCAACTGAACTTCGTTCCAGTACGGTAACGTTTGGATCGAAAGTGTCTGTGCGCTGCGGTATGGTAATATTTAGGATGCAGCGCTCCATAGCATAATCCATGTTCCGAAACTGCAGAACAGTAGAGGTCTGAAAAGATGATCAGCTGATAACTCAGATGAGAGTAGGACATAATCTGTAGAATACCTCTGCATTGACTACAATGCGACGATCATCTGGATAGACTGTTCCGTGTTTCGAGTACCAGCCCCGTTCATCTTCCCACATAGTGCGAAGGGGATCATTGACCTTCACTTGGAAGGTCACAGGAGGAAAGTTTGTAATTGGTGGGAAGTCATACGTAGAATTCTCGAGTACCCGGTCGAGGTTCATGTACTGGCTGGGCCGACGAAGCGAGCGACCGTTTGGGCTCCGGGTTGGCGTAATAAGCAAATCAAGAGACATATCACGAGCAAAGAGTAATACGGAGAGAACAGAGGATAGTAGAGCCGCGATGCAAGCACAGACCAATAGGGCATTGTAAGGGCCACCTGCAATGATGAGCGAGTGTTAAACGGTCATACTGACTCATGGGTGGCGGACTCACTTGAATTTGTAACATTTGAATACGCATGGGCCCTTCCATCGCTCGGACACGATACTTTCGAGGCTTCGTCTTCAGAGGATGCAAGGGCAATGTATTCCGCTGTACTTCGCATTCTGGTACAACAACGAGTAAATGGTCAATGGTAGGAGCTCAGCGGTAATCTTGCGTCCTACACCTATCATCATATCAGTCTTCCCAAGTACATACATACCCATAATCAATCGGAAGTAACATGAAAGGACGACACAAACTTGGCAGTCACTGGCCAAGCAAGACCCAGGATATCATTAGCAGGGAGAGGTTAGGGTTACCGTATAGGAAAGGTATCCGACCTTCCCGGGCTCGGCTAGTCAACACGTTCTCCATTGCGGCGTTGTACGAATCCTTCTTTCTGACAGTGAAAGCTGCAAAATTACATGCGCAGTCTTCTCTTCTTCTAGATGTTGCTTTCATAATCGTACGAAGTCTACGGAGATGCACGGTTACCCCTCTCTAGATTTTCGGGATATTGCCCTCCTGGGCTCGAAACGTGTCGGGAGCGCAAGTCTAGGATATCTTAGCTGATTGCATGGATCTTGCTGCCTTTTACAGAGCAGTATACCCATGAAGACTCATCGATATCTCGCAATATTCAATACATTTCCGAGGAGAGGCTCGCCGAACCTAGCACCCGAGCTGATGGGCACCTCGGACAGATGATCTTAGCTGTGCTGACCTTCTGGACATACACCAGGACCTTCCTTCAAGTTCAAGGGGCTGTCCGTTTCTTCTCTTGATATGGCTGCATCGAAGTGTATGGCGCTGTCAAGCCGGCGGATTTCAAGCCGTTTACACGGTTCCATATCTAGGAGCCTTGGGCCTCGCCACCATCCTGTCATTCCCGCTATCGTGCGCAGTCGCCCGGGTACTAGTATCTCTGTACTTCATTCAGTCAACTTGCGCGCAGAGCCTCGTGTATATACAAGGTACGAAACCCTTTGGTATTGATTGAATTGACTTGCAGTCTGAATAGGACGCAGTAGAACATCTGTTTCTCGCCCACTAAGCACGATGGCCACAACCAAACCATCCGCCGAAGGGACCATTGACTTCCCGTACAACGGCGAGACGTTCCAGACGTACTACAAGGTCTTTGGTGATCTCAATAATCGCACTCGTAGCCCTCTCATCGCACTTCACGGCGGACCGGGGTTGTCTCATGACTATCTCTTGCCCATCTCAGATCTTGCCACCACCGCCAACATTCCTGTGATCCTCTACGACCAAATCGGCAACGCGCGCTCAACCCATCTCAAAGACAAACCACCTACATTCTGGACAGTCGACCTCTTCATCGACGAACTCGTCAACTTATTGAATCACTTTAACATTTCGGACTCTTTTGACCTCCTCGGACATTCATGGGGAGGCATACTCGGTTCAGAATTCGAAGTTCGCAGACAACCCGCCGGGTTGAAACACCTCATTTTGAGCGATTCCCTTGCCGCGTCAGCGTTGTGGAACAAATCGAACATGGAGTTGATGCAGTCCATGCCCAAAGAGGTTCAGGAAGGATTGGGCGCCGGTATGAAGGATCCAGCGAAGTTCTGGGCGGCTTTGCAGGAGTTCCATAAGGTGTATGGATGCACCGTGAAGCCTTTCCCGCAGGAATACCTTGACTCCATGTTATGGGTATTCGGACCTAATGGCGACCCTACTGTTGCTGGTGCACCGTAGGTGAATCATGTTGTTTGGCGAATGGTATATTAACTATTTTTGGTCTGCAGTATCCTGAAAGACTGGACTATCATCGACCGCCTCAATCTGGTTCGCGTACCAGCCTTCGTGATCAACGGTCGCAAAGACATTGCTCAAGACTTCGTCGTGAAGCCCTTCTTCGACGGTATCAAGAAGGTCAAGTGGGTGACCTTCGAGAACTCCAGCCATACTCCCTTCTTCGAGGAGCGTGAGAAGTACATGAAACTCGTGGGTGACTTCTTAGCTCTTTGACTGGATGAGGGAGTTCTGCATTCGAAATTGTAATTTTGATGTTTTCGTGGCCTCGGTACTTTCTGGTGGTGTTCCTGTGTGTATTTTTACAAGCTCGCATTTTCCCAGGTGGACATTTAGCATATTCAGAATTCAAGATCAGGAATTTCACCATCCCCAGTTTGGTTATGTCCTTGCTACACATTTGCCAGTTAGTGACATGCATGGCGTCCCAGTACCGTACGTGTGCCGTCCCTCACCAACTTCACACAGACTTGCACGTCTTACATGTGGAAGTGTCAACTGTTGGACGCCAAGTCTCGTCAGCAGACACCTCAACAGCCTCATTCCTGATCCTCACCGGGGAGTGCTGTCAAGTCTGTCAACAACGCCTTCGATACTACTCGTGTAGGGAGCGGATCTATGCGACCATTTGATTATCACTGTATGAACGTTGACCGGGTTTTCTGCCTTCTTCCGTTTGTCCCCTCGGTTCCATCTCAAGCAAAGGGTCGGGTACAATCAAAGGTAACTTGAACAGGGTAGACGCACTCAGTACGTTAATGGATGAATGTACTCCGAAGCCAAGATATGCTAGTATTTGCGTGAATTCAAGGAGGTCGTGCAGTTCGCAGAGTTTTCCTCACCTACTCAATTAGAGTTCCGGGGTCCTGCCGCTGGATGGTTTTGTTGATTTTCCAAAACGGGTAATGTAGAATAGAGCGCGCACAAAAGTTAACTTACCGATGGCAACGGTTATCTCGCCACCGTCACTACGTTCTCAAGTGGGAGCAGCACTGTGGATAAATCCCGGGAAATCGTGTGGTCTTATCTGCAGGATATGTCATGTGCGTTAGTAGAAAGTCTTTGACTGGGCGGAATCCTAATGATGTTTACGACAGCTCGCGCGCATTCGATTTGGACGTCATTACAATCTGTGCAGGACAAGCTCCCTCACGTCTCATGACAACTTCGGCCATTGAAAATGTGTAGAGCAACGTTGCTTGGCCCTTATTATCAAGTTGATCAATCCGATGCAAGGACCCTATCTGTTCTACGGTTCCACGGTGTCTACTTCTCATCAAGGGCCTTACGGTTAAACAAGGGTCGCCGAACTCTTTGTATGGCCTTCAAGAACTTTGTTGACTGTGCTTCTTTTTTCTCCCCTTAGTCAACTGACTACTGGCGTGTCAAGACCGTATTACTGAGACCGACGGACCTCAGGCTATCTTATTAGGCGGTGCCAGAAATGACGATCCTGCCATATCAGACACTGGAACAACCTCCAGTGTTGATATTGGTCCGATTATCCTCGATATGTGAGTCTGTTGTTACCATATCAAGGGGGTCAGATCCTTACTATTGGTCTTCAAGATTGTCCCCTTTCCAATCATTGATCTGTCCAAACGTATCGCTCTAGACAGACCTCACCCTTCAGTCGCTGTTCTCCATGACATCGTGATATCAAGTCACTTAGTTGTTAACAAGTCCAAACTCCGGGAAATGCAGGGATCTGGTCACTGGGACATGATCCAAATAAAGGCCATTCCATCTTTCTGTGAAGAAACCTATAACTTGTATAGTCCTCATTGACTGCTCCTACAGGCTTTTCGTCTGTCCGACCCGCAGATTAGCGCGAGCTCTGTTCCTCGTTCAACCTTCTCCGTACACCACGAGTTGATATGCCGGACCCGTTCGCTACCCAGGAGCCGCCCGATGCTCTCTGGTTCGAGCAGACGAACAATGCCTCCGTGTACATCGGCGCCATTGCATACGGTACGTCCATAGTCATGATCAATATTGAATTTTTAACGTCGGCGGGTGCTCATTGCTTCCTTTGCTGGTCATGCAGGTGCCCATATCGTCATCTTCTTCATGTGCGCGTATTATCTCGTGCAGGAGAGGAAGAAAGGCAACTGGCGATGGCTCTCGTTCATTGCCTTATTATTCGCTTTAGGCACCATCAACGTCGTTATGAACATCCACTTCAACGAGCTCGCATGGATCGACGAACGTAACTACCCTGGCGGACCTCTTGCTTTTATTTTGGAGCAGCAGTCGATCAAGACCAATATTGCCGGCAATGCCGTCTCTGCTGTAGTTCCTTTCCTTGCGGACGGTCTTCTTGTAGGTCATTCGAATTCATACGCTATAGTATCGTTTTCAAACAGACGTGCTAGATTTATCGTGTCCACGTCGTTTGGAACAGATGGTGGATGATCGTCATCCCGATCCTGGCCTGGCTCGCCTCATTTGGTATGAACTTTTCTCCTCACTGTCTCATCCACACAGCCGCTAATTCTGTCATCCCACTAGCCATGGGAATCCTCACCACCGTCCAAGCAGCCGAGCCCCAATCCAGTCTCTGGGCCGATGGCACTCTGAACTTCTCCGTCCCCTACTTCTCACTCTCCATGGCGCTCAACATCTTCCTCACCATCCTTCTCGTCTCTCGTCTCATGTACATGCGCCATAAGATCACTTCCACGCTTGGAGCCCAGTATGGCAAGACATACACCGGTATCGCTACCATGGTGTTGGAGTCTGCTCTGCCCTACGGCTTGACATCGCTTGTGTTCATTGTGCTTTATGCAATTCACAACACTGCAGCCAATTTATTACTGCCTTTGCTTGTGCAAGTCGAGGTTAGCGTTCTGCTTCCTATTACTGTCATTATGAACAACTGAGCTGACCGATTCTTTATATATTCCGCAGTGTATCTCACCGATGCTCATCATCCTCCGCGTCTCTCGTGGCCGTGCCTGGTCCAATGACACCGTATCCGAAGCGCAACTGAGTAAGATGCGATTCGGTAGTGGAGGTAACGGTTCGACTACCGCTGGTGGAAGTCATAGAAATGGCGATACGTCTCTGATCACATTCAGGGCTGGATCGAACTCTCAATTGAGGAGCAAGGAGTCTTACGTCTAATGTTTTGGTGGCGCTTTAACTGTGGGACACTGATTTTCGTTCCTTCACTCGATATAGGGTATCATGGAATTTACACGATTCACCTTTTGGTATTTATCACTATCGTCTGGATGCGCGCACTCCTCCCTACTATTGTACATACTACATACCTGCGTTGAATGCATTTCTGTCAGAGGCAGAACCTTTTGCTTGACCATTCTTCAAGAAATGAACGACGGGTGACTGAGTACCGTGTTATTCTTCCATTCCCGTCAAACCCTATGCACACATATTATTATCTTCCGTGTACTACGAATGTGGATAAATATCTTTGAATGTCGAAGTAGAAAAGACACCAGTTCCGCAACAGCGCAATCCAGGATTAGATCAGAACTATGCAGATTGGACGTAATTACCTATAAAAGCGATGTAAACAGGCAAGATATTAGCTTCTGCAACATATGAATGCATGGACGTCAAATAACACTCACCAGGGAACACGCCTTGCCTCCCATTCAACTTCCCCGTCCACCAATCCTCCGTACTCTCACTCTTCTCAACGATCTCAATCCTATCGCCAGCCTTGAAATCCAAATCACCGTCCGCCTGAGCTTCGAAATCGTACAGTGCCACTACGTGTTCCGCAGCAGGCTTGGGCTTGGGTTTAAGTGGAGGAGGCGGAGGGGGACCTCTCTTTGCTGCTCCAAAGCTTGTGGTAGATCCCGCAGGGGAAACAGCAGAGGGGGCGGTGCTATACGGTGGCGGAGGTGCGGTAAACGTAGGCGGTGGTGGTGGGGACTTCTTAGTGAATGACGATGCAGAAGATGGTGAGCGGGAAGGTGGTGCCGCCAGGCGGCTCGCGGTTGAAGGGGTCGCACTGGTGGATCGGCCCAAGTTGGATCCACCTGTGGCTGCACGCTGGGATTGCACGAATTTGGCTATGCAATCGAGGAATGAGCAATTGTAGGTGTGGGATAAGATGAAATGATAATACGTACACGTGCTGATCATGCGCTTCGAAATGTTGAGCTCTTCGATCTTCGCCCAAGCATCGGTTCGCTTCTCTTCGTACTCTGCTGCAATCTGACTGGCGGGTACGGCGACGTCATACCGGCCTTCTGCGAAACCGCTCAGTTTCTCGAGCAGGAGGTAAAAGATGTTCAACCTGTGATTTGAGACAGTGAATGAGTTTCAAGCCACAATTCCACGTCATGAAATGACAACTGAAACTAAATGATAAAGAGACTCGAACGTACTGCATGTAGAAGAACGAATGGAATAACGGATCAATGAATTGAGTCGCCATCATCATGAACCTCGGAAGTTCAGTCTTCATGGTTGTGTTGATGTAGTCGTACTCGTTGGTAGCGACTTCGAAATCTTGTTCCAGCTAGTGACATATGAGCATTAGAATTCGAAATGCTCTGGTAGGGCAGAATCGGTGAACAGACCTTGAATAAGTGCTTCTCGTCGCTCAAGCTCTTCTCCTTCTTGTCCCTGAGCTTCGTCAACGAGTTATTGAATCGATCGTAGTCTGTCAGCTGTACGGATGTAAGTCTTAGCGAGAAAACGCATGGCCAAGAAGTCGAACCTTATGATCACGCTTCGTGATACTCTTCCTGATTGATTTCAAGACTCCCTGTAGTTCCTTGATTGGTCCAAGGATTCTACTCTCGATCAACTCCAACTCCGGCACTATTGCAGCTTTCAGCTCCTCCAACGCGCCCTCATAAGCATCGACGTTCTTGATCGTATGGTCAGCTTCAGGATGTTTGCCCAACAAGTCAAGTTCGCCCGACACGGGACGAAACAAGATGGCGAAGTGAGTCGCAAATCCAGAACCATGTGTGAAGAGGTTGCCAACGCCTTCCGTGAAGGCTTTGGTATCTTTCAGGAGCTTGTCAGTTGCGCCTTCGATCGCAGCAAACCGGCGGGCATAGTCGTCGAATTCTGGATCGGAAGACTCTGTTTTAGGTGGATAAGAACACAAGCCAGCGAAGTATGTGAGCGCTCCGACGTCATGGACGAATGAACAAGATAAACGAACTCTTTGACATCCCCACCTTAGTGGTGATCAAGTGTGGCGTACTACATGGAGGAGTCAGGTTGACTCAGCCTCTTCTGACATCCGGCGTGACAAGCTATGAGTGTGCTCACCGAGCGAACGCTTTGCCGATACCCTTCATCTTTACAGATCTCTAGATATCGTCCAGAATAACACAAAGTTGGAGGATAACTTGTGGGTACTAATGGAGGTTGATTCTACCGAGGAAACGAGGCGTTGGATGGAGAAGAGCTGTGTGCGTTCAGGCTGCGCAGGATGAGTTACCAAGGCGCTTCCAAGTCACCGAAGATGATCTTGGCACAGCCTGGGCAACAGAGATAGTTCTCGCTCAGTGCCTCCGTCGTCGTCAATAATAGTGAACGTACAGTAAGGGTGTGTGTCGACCGATATCGCGAAAAGACGGGCACGGGAGACGAAGAGAGTCAGAGTGGGAAGCGCATATACCCAGGTGATCATCATTCCATTAAGCCTCGTTATCTATATCAGTTAATTTTAGATATCGTAATCGAAATCATTTCATAATCTCTTCTGTGCCTGCCCCCATTACGGCCCCGCCCTATAGGTTCCGTTGACTCTAAATCCCTTTCATTGACTCGTTCCCGGCGATATCTATCTCCTTGGATTATTCAGAAACGGAAAGATACCTCTGATATTTATAACAGTCCCCCAATACACTAGCGAGATACTTCCTACACCCTTCATACAATATGCCGATCAACCAGCCGTCCAACCAGATCAAGTGCGTATTCGTCCTTCCCTCCTCGTTCATATTTCATAAAAAGCCAACCTGGACACACAGACTAACAAATGTCTCAATCGTTCGTCTTAAGAAAGGCGGTAAACGATTCGAGGTATGTACACTCATCCCTACTCGCTTCGATCATCAGACAGACCAGGAGAACTCAGAGAAGCTCTGCTCTAGATCGCATGCTACAAGAATAAAGTGCAAGAGTGGAGGAACCGTGTTGAGACAAATTTGGACGATGTACTTCAAATTGCCAACGTGTTCGTGAATGTGTCGAAAGGAGAGCTTGCGAGGCATCAAGACTTGCAGAAAGCCTTTGGTACGACGGATCAGGATGAGGTCGTGAAGGAGGTTAGTTCGAAAGCTATTGTTCGAAGGGAAACGGATACTGATTTCATTTTCGATAGATACTCAAGAAAGGCGAGCTTCAAGTAGGAGAGAAAGAGCGAGAGCACGATTTGACGTCACTCCGGAGAGAAATCGCCACCCTCGTAGCAGAGAAATGCGTGGATCCCGCGACACAACGACCATATCCAGTCACCATCATCGAGAAAGCGATGACAGAAGCAGGATTCAGTGTACGTCAAGGCAAGAACGCAAAAAGCCAAGTAAGACACACCAACATCTCATCTCGGACGGTACTCATTTCGGTTGCTAGGTCTCGGAATGTATAAAGGAACTGCAGGCGAATTCGACATTACCTATCGAACGAGCGAAGATGCGTGTCCGGGTGACAATGCCTACTGAAGATGGCAAGCGATTGCGTGAGAAGGTGATTGAAGGTGCCCAAACCGTAGAGAGTGATGAGATGGGTCAGCAGCAGTGGGAAGCGGTATGTCCTTATGTCCTCATTTCAAATGTGCGCTTTAGGTTGCTCACTTACCGTCCAACAGATGATGCTCATCGACCCAGGTCAGTTCCGAGTGATCAACGAGCTGCTTCAGAAGGAATGTAAAGGAAGGGGACGTATCGAGGCGATGACGTTTGCTGCCACTGCTGGAAATAATTGAAGGTGAGGTCCACCTTGAGTAAAGATCTGTTATGCGTTGTTTCCATAGTCCCCGTCGGAATGTATCCATACCATACTTCGAATAGATGAGTCAATATTGTACCACTATCACTAAATTGTTTATCTTCCGTGAGCGTTGCTACATTTCGTCCATTACGTATTCTCAAGCGGGACATCTCGTAAAACCAAGGGCCTCATGACTCGATTCCAGTTCTCCGACCACGATCCCCATTCCCAGTTTCCAGCACCTTTACCAGAAGCTTCCAAAGACTGACGGAGACTAGCAAGCGTCGGTGAGGTCGGGAAGGACGCGAGCAGGGACTGATCAAAAGCGATATTGATTATAAAATACAGAGCAGTAAATTGCATAGAGCTTACCGCCAATTGGGTTGCTAGCTCTTGAGCATTATGGAATACGAGTCCATTTACACCATCCTGCACGAGTTCATGGAGACTGAAAACAAACGATCGCATAAGAGAAGTACAGAGTAGGGAGACTGAGGTGCGTACCATGCAAAGTCAAGTGCACAAACAGGCAACCCGCAACCAAACATATCCACCACCTTCATCGGTAAATCCAATGCCGAAGAGCTCGAATGCAGTGAAATGCCCAGATCAGCGGAACCTACAGTAGACGTCCAGGTGAGCAACTTTCGATGTGCTAAGAGGAAAATAAATCTACCTAGTAAAAGCGGGTAATCCTCTGGTTCCAACCACATACTCACACACCTCACCCATTGCCACTCCTTCTGCAAGACGGCCACTTCACTCATATACTTATCCCTCTCCGGTCCTTTCCCAGTAACAACCATCAAGACTTTCGGCAATCCACCTCCAGTTGTACTGGCATCTCGTGCTTTCTGCTCATACAGCTTCAACGCTTCCAGCAAAATACTGAAATCTTCATCGGGAGTCCATGAAGTGCTGCTAATGAGGAGAGCAGGGCGGTCCAAGCGTTGATGAGGCATGGGAGAAAAGTCATATTCGCCTTCCAGTTCAAGGGTTGATGGGGGAGTGTGTTTGGAGTGATGCGGTGAGGAGGTTTGGGTAAAGGGCGTTGAGAAGGGTGGATTAGCTGCCGGGAGGAAGTTTTGGAGAGATGGAGCTGAGAAAGAAGGTTGGAGATGGAGAAAGAGCTGCAATGAGGTTACCTTGCAGTGAGTACAGTTTTAATGCCGAAAAGAGGATGGGTTGTGCATACCTCGTGCATTTCAGATGGAGAAGTTCTATGGAAATAAGCAGGAGGTCGGTCATGCAAGACGACTTTGTGTCCTCTGTTTCGTAGGGATAGTCATGTATATACTAAAGGCCCTGGCGTAGATGATGAATATTTACTCACTGCAAGTGCCATTCTCTGACAAGGAAGTCACGCATAGCGTTCGTTACGAACAAGTGCGCATATGCACAACGTCCGAAGTAAGCCTCGAACCTAACACGTTGTCAGTCTCAACATCAACCAGCTTCTTCTGTTATAAATTGAGAATAGTACCATTTTGCTAGTTTGACGAATGGATGTGTGTCGCCGAGTTTGAGAGCGAGTATACTATATCCCAGATTATGCCAATCGATGATCACTTTGCTGCCACGTAGCTCGCCAACGAGCCAGACAAGAGCGAGAGTAGGTATACTGGGCGGATTCTTTCTTTCATGTAACGACAAATAGTTATATGCCAGTGAATACTATATATTAGATGCAACAGAAGCGCTCACCTGGACGACTATGAACTCGGGCGGACGGGGAATGCGGAATAGGAGTGCATTGAGGATGGAAAACACCTGGTGTACGATCTTCCTCGGAGCCGACAGGATGAATGGCAGGCCGGATGTAGAAGGTGCATTCGGTAGATATAAGAAATGCACATGTGGTATAGAGAGCAACGACGGTACGGGTTTGGAGCCTACACCATGTCAATGAGCGTGAGCACAGACTGTATCCACTCTCTAGTGACAGTTGGTAGTACCGTCATTTCCGATTAAGTACGTCTCAAAGTTATTCTCTGCAAAGCTCTCTGCATGATACATCATGCGAGGGCTCCGTCCGATGTCGCCAAGCACCAGAATGGCGACGGAGCGGAGAGAAGGCCTTTCCAGCGGTTGTTTTACAAGTTGCCATACGAAAAAGCAGAAAGTCAAGATAGCAAGCAGCTGCAGTATTATATTTATTTCCATATCTTGTCGTAAGAAATTGAGATCAGATTGCATGGAAAAGCAGGCTTGGAGGTACGACGTCGAGAGCTTGGCGCCACATGCACACAGGAGGTTGAAGATACATACTGTCCAAATCTGGATGGTGGTGCGTATTTACGTCAGCGATTCCTATTGGTGGATTCAGAGGTGCCTGAGGATGAGTGAGCAGCGAGTAAGCAGCGCCGAATTTCTGCACTAGTACAATTCTACCACCATGTCTGCGCAACGCTTCGCCTCGATATCACTTAGGACATTGTCAAAGACATGCAGAAATAAAACGAAGACTCTGACAAGGCCATCCCTTGCCTCATCGTCGAGGAGTATATCCTCGACCACTCCGAATAGAGCGAGTTTGCACCATGGACGGACGATTGCTACGGCTTCCTCCAGATTAGCTCATTCATCTACTAGCTATGAACAGCCTGCACATGGTATGCAATTTTTCCTTAGTCGTTTGGTGTATACTCACCTCATACAATCGTAGCAAGGTCAATGTTTATTCAGACAGAATCAACACCGAACGATGACTCACTGAAGTTCATTCCTGGTGTACCTGTCATGGAGTCCGGGAGTGCAGAGTTCCTCGATACTCGCTCAGCCCTTCGATCACCTCTCGCTATCCGCCTTATGGGTATCGAAGGCGTCACGGCAGTATTCTACGGTCCCGACTTCGTAACCGTCTCAAAGGACTCCGAAACGTCTTGGTCCGTTATCAAACCCGAAATCTACTCCATACTCATGGAGTCCTTCTCTTCCGGTCAACCACTATTCAGATCGGAAGAAGACCGAGAAGCTGCTGGTCCTCAGGACACGCAAATATTGGATACAGATTCAGAGACAGTGGCTATGATCAAGGAGCTACTGGATACGAGGGTCCGACCGGCCATCCAAGAAGATGGAGGAGATATCGAGTACCGAGGCTTCACGGACGAGGGCGTCGTCGAATTAAAGCTGAAGGGAAGTTGTCGAGGGTGTGATTCGAGTACTGTGACGCTCAAGAGTGGTATCGAGCGTATGTTGATGCATTATATCCCGGAGGTGAAGGGTGTCGAGCAGGTACTGGATACTGAAGAAGCGATCGCCTTGGACGAGTTTGAGAAGCTTGAAAAGCGACTACACCCGAATGAACAGAAGCAGGATTCTGGGTACGTTGCGGTTTAATTATACAGAACATTGGTTTGGAGCTGATGAAATGCTTCAACTAGTATGGCTCAGTACATGTCGGTTTGATCATCTAGACTCTATGCAGCTTTTATATTACCCCCATTCCCCTGATAGACAATGTATTCTACTCACTATCGGTCACTTCCTGTAATCCCCTTACGTCGCATTCACACTCAATCGCAACATAGATTCATACGTACTGTACCTGAAAATACCTTGAGAGCTTTGAGCAGGCGAGAGAGTACCGTACCCGGTGAACTTCGCAGTGAAATAACAGAGACGGCATTTCCCGGATCTGAATCGAGTTCCCAAGATCACCTCCAAGCCCTCACCGAAAGATGTTACTTCACACCGCAAAGGCCTCAAAAGCCCTCCCTGGGTTCTCATACTCTTTCAAACCCTCTCCTACCTCTTTCCTGCACTATGGCCGCCTCAGAAACGCCTAGGACCATAACCCTCGCCTCCCGAGCTTCCCAGCTAGCTCAAATCCAAACTAACATCGTCCGAGATGCACTCGCAAAAGCCTTTCCTTCCAAAACTTTCGCAACGTCGTTCATGACTACTGCAGGAGATCATAATCAATCTCAAGCTCTCTACTTGCTCGGGGGAAAGTCTCTATGGACGAAAGAACTCGAGGTTGCTTTGAAAGAAGGCGTTGTGGATATGCTTGTGCATAGCTACAAGGACGTGCCGACAACTTTACCGGAAGGATGTGAGATCGGGGGGGTGCTTGAGCGAGAGGATCCTGTCGATTCCTTGGTAGTAAAGAAAGGACTGGAGTTTAAGACCTTAGAGGACCTTCCTGACGGATCAGTCGTCGGTACAAGCAGCGTACGGAGGGTTGCGCAATTGCGGAGGTTGTTCCCTAAGCTTGTGTTCCTGGATGTGGTACGTCGTATTTGGGTATATGCTATGTCTTTGAGCTAATAGATATACTCGATCATAGCGAGGAAACCTGTATGTCATTCCTCTCCCTAGTTAGACTCAAAGCTAATAGTATCATTTTATATAGGAACACTCGTATGGCCAAACTGGATGCTCCAGACAGCCCTTACGCCGCTCTCATCCTAGCCAAAGCAGGGCTCGTCCGTCTCGGTTGGGGTTCCCGAATGACAGCAGACCTCCATCCACCAACTCTCTACCACGCCGTTAGCCAAGGTGCACTGGCCATTGAAATCCGTTCAGACGACACCGAAGCCCGAGAACTTTGTCGTTCGGTCACACATTGGCAGACGGAATGGCAATGTGCTGCCGAGAGAGCGTGCTTGCGAGTTCTTGAAGGTGGGTGCAGCGTCCCTGTGGGCGTACATACGCAGTTAGTGGGGGATAAGACATTGAAGATCACTGGGTGCGTCACGTCGCTGAATGCGGAGCAGCATGTCCAGCATACGTTGGAAGAAAAGGTGGAGAGTGTGCGGGATGCTGAGGCCGTTGGTGCGAAGTTGGCAAAGATCCTCATTGAGACTGGTGCAAAGGCTATTCTCGATGATATCAATGTTGATAGGGAGAAGAGGATTGGGGAAGCCAAGACTGCGGATGAGGTGAATAAGATCGAAACAACTATGGATGGTGCGACTTCTGCGACGGCGTAACCTTTGACTTGATAGAACCAACTGCTCTATGTACTATGTATTTTGTTGTGTCCTAGGCCTCAGTAGAGTTCTAAATATATAGAAAACCATCAATGTAATGTGAAGTATGAACCTCAAAGGAGACCCAATTCTGCAAACCCGTAGAACGAGTAAAAATTTAGCATTTTTGCGAAGCCGATTGTTTTCACCTGGAAACTGCTGTACGCAATGAGGTAGAAAAAATCAATGTATTCCGAAACATGAGTACCAAGTACGGCACACGAAGCACGGTATACAAGAAGTAAAGATGTCCCTTACAGATTCAAGTTGCAGGTGGTAGAGGAAACTGCACCATCCAACGCTAGAAGCAAGGGAAAGAGTTCCTCTGCGTCCCCGCGAGCGCCTGCATATCCCCTCGAGAAATGGGACGCAAGTGACTCTATAAGCGGGGACGAACTAAAGACATTGTGGAGAAACGAAAAGCAGCTCGGTCTCTCTCTTTATGCTCTGTTTGAGTTTGGCTTTGTTTGTTCATGGCGCTTGAAAATGACAAAATTGGATAAATATACGTCGATAAGGTCAGGCTTATAATATTAACTATGTAATTTAGTAGTCGCTCTAGTCTAGAGTTGTAAGCTATCTTATTATCCTGGTAGAATGTCATCAATTTGCGAGCTTGCTTATTACCCCATCTTACTTCAACCGGAGGACCTCATTTACGACCCTCTAGACACTAGACATGACGATAGAACTAGCCAACGATACTTCCCTCAAGGTGAAGAAATCCAAAAAGTCCAAGAAGGACGAGACATCAACGCCGGACTCACTTGAAATAGCTGGTCTGTATGTCATGATCACACTTGGTTCTGGGGAATACTTATCGGTTGTGCTGGTTCATAGGTATTAACAGTTCGGTCGATGTTTCCGTAAAAGAGAAGAAGCACAAGAAAAAGAAGCGCAAGGCGGAGGAGAGTGATGAAACTTCAGCTGCAGCCGACTCTAATGGTGCAGAGTCGTCGAGAAGAGAGAAGAAAAAGAAGTCCAAGAAGGACAATGCCGCTGCCTCAACACCTACAGAGCAGTCTGTAGCTGAGGGTGCCATGAACGCCGACGAGCCAGGTCAGTTTATTTGGAATATCATTATGTGCTTTATTTTTAAATGGATACACAGAACAATTGTTGTCAGAAGGCTCGCCAGAGAAGAAGCGGAAGAGGGAGCAAGAAGAACAGGCAGCGCCATTGACGGATGGGAAGAAAAAGAAGAAACGCAAGACTGAGGAGGCCTCCGAAACCATCCAAGCAGAGCCCTCATCGTCAAAGAAGGACAAGAAGGACAAGAACAAAAAGCACAAAAAGGACAAGGCTTCCTCATCTGAATCCGCAACCGCAACACCTGCCGAAGCCAGCTCTTCCATCACTCCTACAGTTGCTACTCCTTCACCATCTGACGACGTTTCTGCCTTCCTCACCAAAAATGCTATCACGATACATAGCGAAACCCCGATTACACCTGTACTCTCGTTCTCGCAACTTTCAATACCTGATGCTCTACAATCCGCGTTCGTTGGATTCAAGGAACCTACGCCGATCCAATCATGTGCTTGGCCACCTGCGCTTGAAGGGAGGGATGTGGTCGGTATAGCTGAAACTGGCAGGTTTGTGACTGCACTTCTCTATGGTGCCGTCACTAAATGTATATTTCGATTACAGTGGTAAGACGCTTGCGTTTGGTCTTCCAGGTCTAGCACGCATCGTTTCAACGACATACAAGCATACGAAACCCGTTGCGCTCATCCTCGCTCCTACACGAGAACTCGCCATCCAAACACATGACACCCTAGACGGCCTCGGGGAGTCATTTGGTATCCGCAGTGTCGCGCTCTTCGGTGGTGTCGATAAAGCCGGTCAAATTCAGCTGTTGCGAAACGACAAGAAGAAAGGCGGTAAAAATCCCAAGGGCCTAACCACTCGTGTTATCGTCGGTACACCCGGCCGTATCCTCGATCTCGTAAACGATGGTATTTGCGATCTCAGCGAGGTTCATTACCTGGTGTTGGACGAAGCAGACCGTATGTTGGATAAGGGATTTGAAAACGATATTCGCTCCATTATTAGTCATACGAAGCAGGGGGACGAGAGGCAGACATTGATGTTCAGTGCAACATGGCCTGATGCTGTGAGGCGGCTTGCGGCGACTTTCCAGAGGGATCCTGTGAGAGTCACCGTTGGAAGCGATGACTTAACTGCGAATAGCCGGGTGGAACAGGTGGTGGAAGTATTTGATGATCAGAGGTCCAAAGAGTAAGCCGTTGCTCTATATTAGGGAGCTCCGGTACTGATGTTATGCTCATAGTTCTCGAGTTGTTGGCCACCTGACCAAGCTCCTTCCAAAGAAGGCTCAGATTGCGTCTGTAGATACCAGGCGAATCCTTGTGTTTGCGCTCTACAAGAAGGAGGCTCAGCGAGTGGAGCAGATGTTACGCTACAAGGCCTTTAGCGTCGGAGGTCTGCATGGAGATATGTCACAGAACGCCCGAATGGACGCGTTGCAGAAGTTCAAGAATGGTGAAACGCCGGTGTTGGTAGCGACGGACGTTGCTGCTCGGGGTCTTGATATCCCCAATGTTGCTGCCGTTATCAACTACACGTTCCCTCTCACCATCGAAGACTACATCCACCGTATCGGTCGAACAGGTACGGTTTCATTTTCTCTGTTTTGTGTTTCAAGTTAGCTGACGTTTCTTTAATAGGCCGAGGAGGGAAAAGTGGCAAGTCGATTACATTCTTCACGGGTGATGGGCACGAGCGTGCTCTTGCCGGAGAGCTTGCGCGAGTACTCCGAGAGAGCGGCTTTGAGTGCGAGGACCTGAAGAAATTCCCGATGACGATCAAAAAGAAAACACACGGTGCCTATGGTGCTTTCTTCCGAGATGATATTCCCGCCCCGAAGGGTCCGACGAAGATTACTTTTTAACGACTCGGGCTCAGTAGTAGTGATCTGTGTACTTAGATCTAGACATAGAATGTATATTGCATTCACTTGGCTTTTACTCTGTGTTTTTGTACCATCCGGAAGACATGACTGAGTTTCATGACGAAGGCCGGTGGGAGCGGTTGTGCGTCACTGTAAGCTGTTACTGTAATAGGCTGTAATAACTTAGAGCCGCCTGCCCTCCTAAGCCAATCAGCATTGCCTTCGCGAATTCACTCTTCTTACCTTCCACCGCCATCCGCCTCTTTCTCCTTTTCCTCCTCCTCCTGGTCTTTCGCAGCTATTATAGTCCTATTGTTTCTCAACTGAACGTGGCCACGCCGATACCAGCTTTATTTTCGGCCAGATCAATATATAGTGGCTGTTCTTCTACTCGGGACACGCACCATCCGCCCTCTTCCCTGACCTTTCACAACCATGATGGGGCTATTCAGTTCAGCTGCTTCCAACCTCAAGGTGGCGACGGGCCATCGACCACGAGGAATCTCCGTGGAGGACAAAATACCTGAAGACACCGAACCGGATGACACATCGATTCTGTTCGTACTTCGCCTTGCTCCTACACTCTCGAAACTCTGCTGACCGAATATGTTCTACTATGCTACTTGTAACGATGATGACGATGTGGGCGAATATAGAGATGAGGATGAAGGATCCATCATTACCTCCCTTATATCGCAGCTCAGGTGCGTGTGCATTGTTCTTGTTGCCCACACGTCGTTCTAGACGAGTGTGGCCGCTCGTCTGCTAACTCATGTTTCCCTTGTGCAGAGTGGGCATGGACCTTTCGAAAGTTACATTCCCAACATTTGTCCTAGAACCGCGCAGCATGCTAGAGCGCATAACAGATTTCATGTCACACCCTGATCTTATATTTGGGTCAGTTACTGCGATCTCCTTTGTTTTGACTGCATACTGATATTTCCCACATAGCGCAGAAAATTGTGATGACCCGGAGGAGAGGTTCATTCGTGTCCTGCAATATTATCTCGCAGGCTGGCACATTAAGCCGAAAGGCGTAAAGAAACCGTGCGTCATGAATCCCTTTGGCTCATGTTACTGAATAGCTTGAACGTCCAACCTCTGTTTAGATACAATCCCATCCTTGGCGAGTTCTTCAGATGCAGATATGACTACCCTGACGGAACAAAAGGATTCTATATCGCAGAACAAGGCATGTTTTTACGTCACTACAGATCCTTGTTTGACTGACAGCATGAACGTTTGCAGTATCCCATCACCCGCCTGTATCTGCGTTCTACTACATCTCACCGGAGAACAAAGTTGCCATCCTCGGTGAACTCCGTCCAAAGTCGAAGTTTCTGGGAAACAGCGTGTCAACGACAATGGAGGGAGAGAACAGGGTATTCCTACTCGGACGACCGGAAGATGGAGGTATGCAGGTCATTCATGCTTACTCCCGACATCGATTTCTGAACGCCTTGGCGACCCAGAGTACGTGATCTCGATGCCGAACATGTACGCTCGGGGGATCCTATGGGGAAAGATGGTTCTCGAGCTCGGTGACTCTTGTACCGCACGAAACGACAAGAACGGTTACTACGCCGAGCTGCAATTCAAGACCAAGGTAAGCAAGCGTGTGTCAGCGAAGATCAGAGATTTGTTTCACGGACGGCGTCATCATGTTGCAGGGTTACTTCTCCGGCACGTATAATGCCATTGCCGGCCGCGTACGACGCTGGGACAGAGATACGGGTGAGGTGTCGGGAAAGTGGAGCGGCGTGATGGAGTACAAGAGCACGAAGGTAGCCATTCTTAGCAAGTTCTCGCCACTTGCACTGACTGCTGGCCCCGCTCAGACCGGCGAGAAACGTGTTCTGTTTGATGTCTCCAAGGAGGGGCAGAATATAGCGCCAAAGTGGGTTGCCCCAGAGGAGGAGCAGGAACCCAACGAATCACGGCGGTAAGTTCTTGATGTCACGAGCTCCATAACGTAACTCCATAAGTAATATCGCCTGTCTTACAGACTATGGTCGAAGCTCACTATTGCGATAATCGCGAAAGACATGGAGGCGGCGACTGAGGCTAAAACGGCGGTGGAAGAATCCCAGCGCGAACTTCGAAGACGTCGGGAGGAGAGCGGAGAGAAGCATGTGGCTCGTTTCTTTACCCTGAGGCATGGACGCTGGGTGCCCAAGTTCACGTTTGTGTTTCTCGCCTTCTCCAGGAAGGTCTGAACTGATTTTTCTTGGATTATAGTCCTCCGGAAGACCCCCTGGAAGCCGACACAGCCGCGCAACAATGGATATGGCCTTCTCGTACATCGACATCGACATCAACATCATAGACACACCAGTTCATTCTGGTCTGCATTCGACTGTGTCCTATACTCCTAATTTAAAGCTTCAACGCTCTACCTACCTGCACTCTCTGCTGCTCCCCCAGTCCGTGTGTACCATCGATTCCCGATTAATGCAAATCTTATTCCCAGTGTGTACAAGTAGACAATATGCGCAGATCCGTTGGATATGATGTAGAATTGGGAATGGATGGAAAAGGAAGGGAGAACCAAGAAAATCCCAGGCCGGATGAAAGCAAGTAGAGCAATGAAACAAGGGGGTTGTCTCGGGCAAGGGTATATAATGGATGAAGCAAAGAATGTGGTTAAATATTGGGGATGCATATGGGAAGATGATGTGACATGATGATAATATGACAGGAACTTAAAACAGACAACGGACGATCACCCATGCAGTTTAAGTCCACCATCCATCCTCACCCAATGTGGGTGTCGCAGATACCGTACTGGGTGTTGGCGATGGTGCATGAGGTCGGTAGAATGGCTTCCTCGGTTTAGGTGTCACTGGTAGTCTCACAGGGTTATCTCGCCTGGCCGCTGGGGCGTGGATCGAATCCCATACAGAGGGTTGTGAAGGGGTTTCCCCACGAACACTTGGTGTATATGTGCCGTTGGGCTGACCGGTAGGTGTAACAGCTCTGCTATCGATGTAGACAGTACTTGCTCTAGAGTCAGGGCGGACAGGTGGAACGCTGTGGACGTAGCCGTTTTGACGGGGACGAGAAGGAACATTGCTGGACTTCGGTTGCAGAGGAGCGGTTGCACCTTTCCTTGCCTGATCAGCGTCAGTTTGTGCCCGCGCAACTTGCCCTTCCAGTGCAGCAATCTGGTCCCTCAACTTGCTTTCGCGATCCTGCGAACACGTTATTGATGTTAGAGCAGCTCAAATACATACGATTGCTTTAGACGGTCACATACCTTGGCCAGTCGTTCTTCTGCATCCCGCTCTTCGAGTTGTAGTTTCACCAAGGAATAGTCTGTATCCAACTGAGATCGTGCCTCTTCTGTTTGGTCGAGTCTTTCCTTCGCAGATTGCAACTCCTGCTCGTATTCGTTCGCACGTCTCTCCCATTCGGCAGCACGCTGTTGAGCTTGAGTGAGACTCTGTCGCGCGGTGAGAGCTGTTCGTTCGTTGTTTGCGGCCCTATTCTCTTGATCCTTCAGACGACGTTGCAAGGCTGCATGCTCTCCTTCCAAGACCTTGAAGCGGTCACGAACACGCCTGAGTTCCTTAACCTCCTCATTCTCGCCTTGAGAAACGAGCGCAGCAAGGGCTTGAACACTTTCGTTGACACGACGTAATTCGTCCCATTGGCTTTGTTGCGACAAGAGTTCTTCCTGCTGTCTTCTCAAGTGAGCCATATCGTTAACAACAGTATCTCTCTCCCGGTTGGCAGAAGCGACAGCTTGCTCAAGAGCATTAGCCTATTTAATGCCTAATCAGAAACGCGCCACGGATAGAAAGTCAGAGCACATACCTTGGACATGAACTGATACTTCTCATTGCTGAGATCTTGAATGACCTTCTCAAGACTGGAGATCCGCTCAAGACTTGTTTGCGTAACGACATCAGAGGACTTGATACGCTCTAAAGCTTGCACGAGTGCCTCCTCAAGTTCCCGATTTCGAGCCTCCATAGCCGCTGCTTCGGCGGTCTTGTTGGTGACCAATGTCTGAACTTCGTTTAATTGCGTACGGAGACGATCCCGTTCGTTCTCAGACAATCGAAGCCTCTCATTCAACATATCCTTCTCGACACGGACTTGACCGTGAGCACCACGGGCCTTCGCCAATTGAACTTGCAGTTCGGCACTATTTGTCATAAGTCGGCGAATCTCTTCCGAATCCTTCTGAGTTGTGTCTCGCGACAACATGTCAGAGTGAGCATTCTGCAAGACCTTGGTGGCTTCAAGAATCGTCTCCGGAAGCGCGTTGATATGTCTGATAATGTCCTGACAGAATTCGGAGAACTCCTGATTTTGGTCAATAAGTGTCTTTTGCTGTTCAGAGACGCTGCTAAGAGTGGAATCGATGGAAGCGATTGTCTCGGTCGAGGGATCTGGCTTCTGGAGATGTTTCGCGGAAACTGCAAATTCTTCCCGAGCACCGCCAAGCGCATTCGTTGCTGCCACAAGTTGTTCGGGCAAGTTCGACAAGAGAGCAGTGATGTCTTGTCGAACAGCAGAAAGATCTAACGCTTGCGGGGCCTTGTCACTGTGCTGGACTTGGCCTATAGCATTCACCGCAGATTTCAAGTCTCGCAAAGGAGCTAGGAGATCGTTTATGCTCTCAGTCACCTTCTTAGAGATAACATCGGCATTGAACGCTTTATCTCTGACTGCGAGGCGCGAATCGAGGCGTTCCACCACAAGATCGGAGACCTGTTCCTTGATCTCATGCGCGTCAAGAGGTTCAACAATCTTGCGCACTTCCGTAGTAAGGCGGCCTACAATATTGTCCACGTCGAAGTTGGGAGTAGAAAGTAGCAAAGACGGCAGGAGAGGAACGAGCTTGTCGACAATAAGACCAGCAGTTTCCCGCTTGTCCGAGGCGAGGTCAATTAGTTGTGAAATGTGAGGTTTAACTGCTTGGGACAACTGGACAGTCAATCCTTCGTAATCGATTGGCTCGGATCGAAGAGAAGCGAGGTGAGGAGTCAAAGCGGCCATGACATCAAGCACAATTGCTTCACGCTCGGATGACAGCGTAGATCGGGACGGCTCGAGTGCTTGGATGCGCATGCTGATCTGAGCCGTAGCAGACATAACAGTATGCATCGTCCTCTCGCTGAGGCTTTCTGCGAATGCCTTGAAATCGATGCCATTTTCCAATTGAGAAAGACTCTCTCTGAGCTCGCGGTGAAGAAGTGCACGAGCCTCAGCGTTACCCTGTTCGATGATGCCCTTGATAACCTCGAAGTCGAGCTCTCCTCGAGCGTCCATCTGACTTTCTTCAAGTCCACGTGCAGCGGACTCTTGCAATTGAGTACGGAAGAGGGAGACCACCTCCGATATCATGTCTTCCGTAGAGGCCGTGAGACCTTGCCCGCTAGAAATTGCGCGAAGCTCCTTTAAGTCTCGCTTGAGACCTTGCATTTTCTCATCCAAAAGCGTTTCCAGCCGTTCTTCAAATTGTTCCAGGTCGATCTGTCTGGCAATATCCATTGCAGCATAGGACTCAGAACCCGAAGAAGCACTGTTTCTCCTCCTGGGTGGTAACGACGACCGTCGACGAGAGGAGAACACATCTTCCACCTCAGGAGAAGTATCTCGGAACCCAGGATCAGTGAACAGACGATTCCTAGTATTGGCACTTCGGCGGCTAGAAATCGGGAGAACGTTATTGTCACTAAGTGAATGTGTTGAATTGTGGGCGCTGCGACCACCGAATTCCCTAGAACTGAGTCGTGAACGAACGGCTCGCCTTGTCCGCTCATCACCATCTCCATTGTTCAAATTCTTGAACAAACCAGCAGGAACTGTAGTTGTTGAGATAGGGTGCTTGAAATCCAAGGGTATAGGCGCACGCTTTTGCTTCGCAGCAGGAGGGTAGGGCAATTCTTCAGCAGCCTGAGGTTCGGTAGGTTTGATGGTGCTATCCGCCATGCTGTTCTCATTTCGTTCAGCACCCTCCGAGGCGGCGTAATGGGCATGTGATTTTTCAACGTCGAGGGTAGACCCAGTGAATCCAGAGAACGTGAATGGCTTCGCCGCAGGATTCAAACTACCATCCGTAGTCAAGTCTGATGGACCAGTAGGCGGGCTCGCAGGCGCCGAATGTCTGAAAGGCTTGGGAGCGTTTGGTGTTGGCGGGAACTTGAACGACCTAATGGTATCTTTGGCGTCTCTTTCTTCATCTATTGTCTCATCCCTTTCCTTGTCTGATACTTCCATGTCTTCCTCTGCATTCAACGAAGAAGCAGATGCACGACGCTGTCTCTTCTCCCGTCCTTGCGTGACACGTTCTGATGAAACGATGACAGGAGGATTTGGCAAAGGTCGATGAGCGGGCGGCAATACAGGCACAGAAGGAATGGAAGGTTGGAACTGGAAAGTAAATCCACCTGGTTTGAATTCTGGTGCGGCGACATTCAGAGGTTTTCCAACAGACTGTGTACGAATATGGGCGGTGGCGGCCGACGCGGGTGGCTGTGATATAAAGGATGAAGCACCGAAGACGAAGGGCTTAGCCAAAGGATTGAGCGTCTCCTTGCGCGGCGCAAGAGTGGGATTTGAAGCTGCAACAGGTCGAGGATGTAGTCCACCAAGATTAAGATGTTCTGAGCCCTCTCGGGAGTGTGCTAGCGCGGGATCATGATGTGAATACTGTGCAGACGCAGACCGTGAATGAGGAATTTGTGGGAGAGGACGTCCAAATGCACTGAGATTGGAGGCAGGCCGGGTACCCATGTCAAGGTAGGATTCGACATGCATACGCTCTTCTTCACTGGGATTGGAGATGATATCATCCTCCCCTGCCAAGAAACCTGGTGCGGACGGAGGGCGAGGGAAGTTAGGTAACCGCCGTGGCATTTCCAGATCACGCTTGAGCTGCTCTGCACGACGGCTAGCACGACGAGCAAGACGTTCTGAACGCTGTTGACGAGCTCTCTCCTCGTCAGAAGGATTCGACCATTCACCGATGCTCTGTAAACACAATCAGGAAATTAGAAAATGATTATTTCGCATTGAACATACTTCATCCTCAGAGGTCTCAGCACCCGTCCTAAGATCCTCGGAACCTGTCCATTCGCCGATTGCATCGTCACCAGGATCAGACTCGTCGAGATGGAATTCACCAGCGGGACTCCTACTGGGCGGTAAGTGGTACACCTCAGGCTCTGTGTTTTGCTCTTGCATTCCTAGAGTAGTAGGACTATCATTCCTTCCTACAGACCTCAAAGACAATGCGGCAGACAGCTTCGATACATGTCTCGAGTGAATCCGGCTCTGTGCGACTGTACTCATGCCGTCCCGTTCTGTCTCAAAGTCGTCGTTATCTTCTCGATTGCCGTCCGCGTCAGTTGGTTGCTCCTCCTGCGAGTTCACTTCCACAGGAACGGGCTCTTCTGGTGGTTCTTCCTCCTCTTCGGTAGTGTCTAGCCCGAATCCTCGAGTGAAATCCGGCCGACTCTCTGGTCGTGAAAGAACGGGTGGCGGGGCTAGGGACGAGACGCTCGTTGGCACCCTTCCCTGAGGCGCGTGAATGGTATCGGGACGCGGTCCAGGAGAGACGCGAGTTTGGATTTGTTCTGAGCCGAGCGTTGCATTGGGACCAAAAGGGTTGAAACCTACAGTAGGGTTGTACACCGGCGACTGGAACGACGGAGGCTGAGCGAGAGACATGCTATGGCCGTGCCTACCCTGGAATCGGGGTGGAAGACCAGTAGAACTTCCGGGCGACGGTGTCAGATGAATCGGTGGTTGAGGAGAAGACGATAGTGATGTCAAAGTCGAATTATTCTGGGACTGTTGAAGCTTGTTGAGTTTGAAGAATAAAAGTGCAGGATCTGCCGGCGAAGATATCTGGCGAGTGGCATCATCATCAACACAAAGATCAAAACGTGGTTGTGTGCTACGTGACGTACTGAGGCAGCCCTAGCATGGGGTGCGTGAACGTGAGGTACAATGCTGCCCGTGCCTCTCTCAACTCCGAGCTTTTCGAGTTTCTCCTCAATGATCCGTCGTTTCATTGTGTCCCACGCGCTCTGCAGTGTCACTGTGAATTGCTTGACAATCAAGATATATTCGGGCACCATACCTTTCCCGGTAGGAATACGTCCACCGTCGGAGGAATATATTGCCTCCATGCATCAGAGGGATACGCTTCCAAAGTGGTCAGCTCCGGAGGCTCCACTGCAGGCAAATCTGGTAGCTCGATAATAGGCAGAGGATTACGAGCCCAATCAGGACGTGACGCAGATCCATCCTCTTCATTGCGCACTGTTTCCTTTGGAAGATTGATGACGATTTTCTTCTTCGGAGCCGCTGGAGCCGGTTGGACTTGCGGTGGCGGCATTGGGCTTACCTTTCTCTGAGGCCCACCCAGGACGGCCTTTGGGGGCCCTCCTGTACTCACGCTCGGTGCCCGCTTACTTCTTGGTACGAATGTCTGAAATTGTCCGGGTATCATAGGAGCAGGGAATCCGTTCTGAGGAAGTGGTGTCATAGGTACACCGGGATGTCCAAGCATACCTTGCGGAGGCAGGATGCCTGCAGCAGCAAGCTGGGCTACGCTAGGATGCGAACGGTGCATTGATGGTCGACCAGGCGCGCCGGGAGGTTGGGGAGGGAAGAAATTCGTCTGCATAGGCGTTTGGAGGGAATTCGAAGCTGGCATCGGAAATGTCGGGTGCATTCCATGTTGAATGGCCGTAGGAAGACTTGGTGAGAACATAGGTGCATTCTCAGCAAAGACTGTTGGCTGCTGCGAGTTCAGAGACGGTGGAATGAACAATCTCGAGAGTTGCTGCTGGCGAGGTGGCATCTGAGAATGGGCCGCCATCCTAGAGTGAAAGACAAAACTACAGGACAAACGTAGAGTCTAGAGAGACCCGTAGGCCGACACTGGTATAAACAAACTTTCCTGGGTATCAGAGACCTGGTGGTATCTTGCGAACAAGTCCGCTGAGGTCCGCTTGAACGACGAGCAGGCCAATTTAGCGCCACGTGGACGCCTATATATTTTGGGCCGATTCGGAAGCATTTCAATGGGTTGATGCTGTTTCACGAATGACCGCAGTTTCTTACCTTCTATCCAACTGCGAAACTTAGGGAGAGGCCACTATGGCGCGAGGACGGAAAGGAGCACAAATAGGAGCACGACTGAAAGAATACTAATGTCTTTGGAAAAGTTAAAAGCTTCGGTCGGTAGTAGGACAAGCGCCCATTTAGAAAATCACAATTAACTCGATTGGCACATTGACGAAAAAATAATAATTAGAATGATAGATTTGACGACGCATATTCATGACCGAGCTCACGCAACTAGGCAAGGAACATATGAATTGCTATGTTACAGTAAGTAATCATAGGAGTACATGCAGTACTAGACAGCGAGTGCGGTAAGGGAGCGTACTCCATCTAATAGGGAAAGACACAGATCCTGAACAACAATACCAGGTATAAGGGAGGTATAAACAGGGGGAGGGTGGGATAGCGCAGGGTGGAATCAAAAAGCAGGAGAGACGGGGTAACAACTATAGCACAAGGCATAAAGCAGGTAATGCAAGATAATCCAGCGAACACAAAACACAACAAGAGCCAGAGAAGAGACCATAATGAACATATAAGATTATACAGACCAGACGATAGCAAGCATAGACAAGACGAGAACGAGCAATGGACCTTGCTTAGAAGGTAGACAGGGTAATGGGTCCTCCAAGCGAACGAGGCTGGACTTCCTGAGGAACACGAAGTTGAAAATCTAAGAGAAGAATAAGTCGTCTGCCCCAAATGGAGAACGAACAGGTCAAACGCACCTCCATCTCTAAAGATGGGATTCTCGCGGCGTCTGCGCTTCTCCTCCTCTTCGCGCTCAAGCTCAATCTCGTGGGGAAGCTTAGTGCCCGGTGGTTGGTAACCAACCAGGTTAACCGGTTTCGGTTCCCAGCGGCCACCACCAGTAGCCTTACAGATAGCACTTGAGTACCTGAGAGGATACGCACTAAGCTCGCCAAGGTCCGAGTCAGGGACATGAGAGCCACCAAGCACAGATGAAGGAGGAGAAGAACGAAGGGGTGATGAAGGTATCCTGGGAGAGGTATGTACCCTCCTTGTAGAGAGTCGCAAGGGTGATGAAGGGGATCTTGGAGACCGTGATGGAGAAGAGGCGCGAGAGTCGGCTTCTTGCGTTAGATGAGTGGTCACGGAGCGCTCGATGACTGGAGTACGCGTGCGCCCATGTATCTGACCGTAACAATCGTCGCAGACCCTGGCAAAGACGACAGATGAATTTGGTGATTCATAGTCCGTGATCGGGACGTTGCGCGGTGGATGTAAGAATTCCAAATTAGAGGTGTCAAGAAGGGTAGTCCCTTTTGTCGAGCAGTCCGAGCAGAAGACGCCGCCACACTTCCTGCAGTGCTAGAATGATTGATACCGATGAGTACGGAGATGTTGATGTTGATTAGGTTTAAGACTCACATGTTTGCGTTCAAAGATAGTAAACTTCTTCCGGCACATAAAGGTATCACAGTGAGAGGCTTGAGAATCGGGCTGTCGTGATATCATCCATCCGTCAGCTCAGTACTGCATACGGTCGATGCCGGATACGAAAGACGCGCAGTGCCCTGTGTGGCGACGCGTGCTGAACAGTTGCAGATACGCCACACACAGCAACGCGTCTCCGTCCATAGGAGCCGAAAACCTACCTTCCAATGGTGCTTCGAAACAAGGACCGCAAGATGTTCGTTGGGTCGTAGAGGACCTGACACGGTAGGTTTCGCGAGAGGACACGATGAGGTTGAGGCAGATGACTCCAGTGACTTCGGATAAGAGGCACTGCTGGAAAGAGATGATGAACACGTCCCTGGTAAAGTAACGTAAGTCCATCGCGTTGCAGCAAGTTAGAGAGAGACACGCGCACCTTGCGAAGAAATTATACTGGCACTCTCATCTCCGGAATCGACCGAGGAGCCGTGAAGGGTCGGTGAAAGGGAAGATATACGAGCGACGATGGCGGAAGCGAGGGCCATGATAAGTTAGACAGGTAGGAAGGGCAGGAGGGTAGGGGGAAGGGGCACGGAGGATCGAGCGGAGGAAGGCATGGATGCGGACACATCTATATAACCTCGTTGACGCCCTCGGCGCGGGGCAAGTGTGTGGGAAAAAGTAATCTTTGATTCTTGTTGGCTCGCCATGAAGCGCGCATCCTGATTGGCTGCCAGCAAAGCAAAGGTTACCACTTAAGCTTTTTGGTCCGTCGCCCTAACCTCGCACCTCGCCGGTCGTCGCTTCCGGCGAAAACGCGGAGGAAACTATCAGTTACCCCGCATACACCATCCCTTCCCTCACTGTCAAACCACCAGACCTCCGCAAAGGCGTAAACTTGGAGCATGGAATGTTGCTGGCGAGATGCGCTGGGGTTACCTTGGAATTGTGTGGCGACAGCAGTGGTTCAACACCACGCCCCCCTCTGCACATGGATGATTTCGTATGGTGGTTGCGTGAGATAAGCCAAGGAAGCCTCATATGGCAACTAGCATCACCGCGTGCGGGCCTGGAGCGTAATTCCGGGTGCTATGGCCATCAAACCAAATGGCCCTGTTTGCTTGCACGTCACCGCCCATGGGGTGAACTTACCAAGTGATTTCCGAGTGGGTCAAGAACCCTGACATCGTTCGGATGGGTTTAGACACAGGTCGACGTACACCGAAGCAGACAGCCAGATCGCCACGGTTGCAGCATCTGCCCGTATAACTTCTTGTTCGGTTTCTATGCGAGTCTCAGACTTGTCTACACAACGACCGAAATCTAGTCCGCGGGTCGCTGGTGTTTCATGCTGTCGCCTAGACTAGTTGCCTAGTGAAACCGTGCGTGAGTATTACGTCCACATTCGGGAGTAGCCATAACGTTACTCGTCTGATTTCCGGCCGGACAAGGGCCTTTGCCGAGGTTGCCCGACCAATCACAGACCTATGCTGGGCCAAACTGACTGCATGTCAAGGCTTTGACACCATTGGCCTGCACGGAAATCAAAACATAACATCTCTTGGGAGAATCCCTATGTCGTCGGTGACCTAGTGTGTCCATCAAACGCTAACGCAATAAATAGGATAGACAGCTTGATAACCAAGTTGGACTATACCGTTCTCGTAGTTACCGGAGGACACCATTGTAGAAATGCTTAAAGGCACTGAACGCCACACCCTGAATCTTGGTGAGACTTGGGTGAGAACAGCGGACAGTCGTGTAAATATTGGACTGGAAACAAATTGCATATACGACGCCGCTATTGCCTTAGTCCTGGAATGTTGCAGGCACATTCGGATACAGATCCGGGAGCATGAGAGCGGGCCCTATGAAGAGAAGTAATTCTTAGTCAACAAATGGAATGTTTGTGTGCGCGGTGCTTATTACCTATCAAGAAGCTTCCATCGGGCATTGTGAGACGATCTCAATAGTAAACATGCCCATAATGGAAGCAGCGTACAGAAGACAGAGGTCCTTTGAGGTGGAACATACTACGCATGAGGCCATGACCATCTGCAGATGACCTATAGAGCCACAATTCTGAGAGTCAATACTCGAAGAAAGTAGAGCGGTCGAGGTACCTCTGCTCCCGTCAACTGCGCAACCAGGTCCTCTCGATAACGGCCAATATCATTTGACGTTCTACTTCGTCCATGATCCTATGTTCCCGCAAAGTCATTTCGGTTGAGTCCTTCTTCGTCTGCTTCTTCTGCGACCGAATGGTCTGATGGGCCACACAGCGGGTACGCCGAAGCAACGCCGACAGAGACACAAGAATAGCATCGCCAAGCAGAGTACTTCCCTCATCTCGGTGCGGCTCCGAAGACGCACCTCCTTCAAAGCTGTCCAACGCGGAGAACATCAGATGTATATAGTTGCAGAAATACCATAATGAGTCCTTTCTCGCAAGCTTTAACAAGCGGTCCGAGTCCGAACGTGGTCTAGCCAGGGATATTTCTCCGAGATTTGCATGCGTGTGGTGTGGCGCAAGCTCTGGATACAGACAATCCAACTCGCGTGTGGCTCTCAAAACCATCAGTTCCAAGAGGTCCCGTATTTTGCTTGCGAGGATCCCTCCGGAAGCAGAACTAACTTGACAGAGTGTGTCAGCCACGGTTTGCAACAAAGCAAGAACATGAGGTCTAAGATCGATCACTGTGCGAGGTTGAGGAGTTGCTTTCAGAGGCGGGGAATTTGCTTCTGATGCAACAATAGTGAGAAAGGCTAGCGACAATGTTGGGAAGGAAGCAATCAAAGGATAGATGACTGAATCCATTAATCGTGTGAGGAGTCGGTCTAGTGACGACGGAATCTCCTCGGAAGGCGGTTTCATGGTCGCATATGCTGGCAACACCGACACTAGGTACTGCGGAAGTAGAGAGGAGACAGCTTGAAAGACTTTGTGGGAGGCCGTAGTGAGACGGCTTGGCGAAAGCACAGATGAAACGAGGGACGCAAGATGATCCAAGGCTTTGTCAGCAGCGACGGAAAGTGTCTTGGATTCTTGAGAATCTTCAACAAGTAGCGCAGTGAGATGCTCGAAGCTAGTTAGAAGAGCGCCTTCTGGAAGCGGGTGTTCTGAGGATTTGCATTAGCACAGCTTGATCAGTAAAACGTCGTCACACTCAATTGAAAAGCCTAAGGTCGTGAAAGAACCAAGTCCTGACTGTATGCACCAGAATGGAATTCGCACCAGTTAATGTGAGCGAACCAAATTTCAAGCATGTAGGTGTGGGTATCATATCAGACGCAGGTGACTTAACAACTTTCTTCTTCTGTTTTCTCTTCCCGGAAGCAGAGGGGGAGGCTGGAGGCTTTGTGCGTGCCTCGGTGCTTCTTGCTCGCAATACAGATAACTCTGCCCCTAAAGCTTGAGTGAGTTTTATCTATAACCGCATTGAATTCTTACCAATCTGTTCCGAGTTGAACTTCTCCTGGAGATTCCGAAGATCCTCCTCAAGTGCTAACGCACGTTGTCTCCATTGTTGCTCATTGTCCCCAATAACAATGGGCACTGGAAACCGTATCTGCAAGTCGAGGACATACGCTAAAGTGCATATATGCGTTAGTAGGTGACCAGGAAAAGACCTATATATGCGAACAATGGTACGACTGCTTCGTAGACTTATATCTCAGCGCAACGAGAGCCTATATGCGGCTATATCAGCATATAAATGGTCAAAGAAACTGTGAATATTCGAACAACGGCGATACGCAGTGCCTGAGACTGAGAGCACGTCGTGGAGGCGGACATAACGTCGTCGATAGTCGAGCGCCCAGTAATGTAGAGTGTGACAGTGACGCAGTTGTGTGACAAACGCGTCGTCCAGCACTAATTATGCATCCCGATTCGAACTACTAAGTACTGTAGATGAAGCAAACTAGATCTCGAAGTCGTTAGGCAGAGATGCTCATCGCAGTCAAATACCGTGCAGTACGTATTCCTCTATGGATGTATCGCAAAAGGAAGGAGTAAGGCATCTGTGATACGGATTCTACAGCACCATTACTTACTACCGCATACCCAAGTACTCTAACAATTCAAAATCGCAGCTTCCCAATAATGTTACGCAAGAAATAGGGCTTAACAACCTGTACAATACCTACCGAGATACGCGAAAGCTCTCGGAGTGTCCAAGAAATCGATAATTTACAAGACGAACATCATGATGGTGTCGTCGGCCTACCGTTGCGCACAGCACCCTTACGTCCTCCGGTGTTCTGTCGACTCATTCTCATAAGAGGAGAATCTTGAAGTCCCAGGGGATACATTGGACCGGACCTCGAGCTCAGAGGAGATTCTAGCAACGGTTGTGGGCCACCTCGTCCTCTTTCTGCTCTTGGTATCGAGCGCTGAACGGGTGTATCCTCGTAGGTGTATACCGTCCGTGGTGGAGTACGGCTCATGTTTGGGTCAAACGTGAAGGGTAAAGGGCCTCCTATGGTTTTGGAACCATCGCGAGCTGTTGGGGTCTGCATCAGACCGTTGCGAGCCGCCCATGTTGGCCCCTTGGGAGTTGTAAATGGTCCGCTGAAATGCATTCCTCGCGATGGCGTTGAAGTTGGATCAAAAGGTGACTCGTTCCAGTCAACGCCATCAAAGATAGTAGGCGTACGTTGTACTCGTACACTTTGTGTTGAATTTCGCGGCGTAGAAGGACCAACTTGACTGGAACTGTCCCATGATGTTCGGGACGAAAATGCCTCGGTCAAATTTCGGCCTCGTATTGGCGTTCTTGGAATACGGGCGGCACTCCACGGCGTAGTGGGCGACTCTTGCAATGAACCCTGGAAAAAGAGCGGATCGCGAGGCTTTGTCTCCAATGGCCTGTCATCTGTAGGGGCAAAAGTCGGTTCGGATGCTGGTCCATCTGACGGTGTCGGTAAACCGAGACAATCTGCGCAAAACCATGGGTCTTCCTCTCGGCCAAGTTCAGAGACATCCTTGATGCCTATACATTGAAGATGATACCAGGCACGACATTCGTCGCATTGCACCAATTCCCGACCATCATCCGACCCTCCGCAGATGCAAAGAACTTCTGAGTCAGAGTCGTCATTGTCTCGAGCCCCTTGTAGCCGTTTGCGAAAGGCCAATGAGCGAACTGAACGCTTAGACAGAAGTGCTGCTCGAGCATCAGCTGGATCACTGGGTATCAGGAAAGTATCCAAAGGCGCCGATCTTGATTGTGGATTAGCTTTCAACGGCACCATCTTTCCCCTGCCTCGCCTTGGTGGATGATCAACAATGTCATCAGATCGTACAGGAGGACCCAGTGATTGATCCCCTTCATCCTCCTCATCACTACTGCTCCGATCAAGGAAATGTTCGATCCATTTCATCCTCTCTTCCTGCTCCATCCGTGTTAGATGCGATCGCTCCTGATTACGCATCGCCCATGGGAACTGGGAATCCAGCCAATTTGGTCTGGGTGGTGCGATCTCCTCAGCAGGCGTCTCGGCAGCCTTCTTTGCAGGAGAGGATGCTCGAACCTTCCTCTTCCGCCCAACTTTTTGTTTCTGCGGTGTGGCAGGTAGAGATAGAGTTGCTTGATCCATTAAAACTCGGCCCTTGCCTTCGACTTCTACAGCAAAAAGCCTATGAGAGGATTCGTATCGACTGTGACCCTCGAAAGCTGCAAGCCGCCGGCGCTTTTTGATCTCTTTCTCGCTGGGTACCCAGTCCACGTCATGCTCCGATTCAGCGGAAGCAGTGGTATTGGTCTTCCCAGGTGTCACTCGTTGTAACCAGTCTAGTGCTTGTTGTGAAAGTTGGGATTTACTCTTGTTTTCTGGGGTCTGAGGATCTGTGCTATATGCTGGCATTGCACCATAGCGACGGTATCCACTAGTAGACAGACTCTGCTCGAAGGTCTCCTCTGAAGTTGCCTGAAACAAGGTGAGCCGTCTACCCTTGACGGGACTATCGACAACACCCAACGTGGATGCATCAGTCTCCTTCTCAGGCGGATCGTTGAAGAAGTCGGATTCTGAACCAGACGAGGGACGTTTCAACCGCTTTAAATATTCCGGTCTACGGGCTTCCACCTCGTCTTGTCGAGTGGCCTGGTCAGCAGCAAGTTGTAATCGAATGCGATGGATCTCGCCACCAACGGGGCGTTGAGGTATTGGCGCTTGAAGAGATCGCGACGCCCTCGACGTCGATGCCCCCGGAGAAAATATATCGTCGACTACCATTGGACTGTCAAGCGAAGTGCCTATGTCTGACTGCTTCGGAGTTGATGGAGAATGGCCATTCGTCTGGGACCGTCTGTCTATGAAGGGAGATGACAAACCCGAATGTAGCGGCGAGATCTCGCGAGAGACTGGTGGTGGCGTGATGGACCTTTCCGAGCCATTTGCAAGGGAAGAGGAGTCACGTCTAGTGTCTTTATCGCTGTTTCTTGGCGATGGCGTACGACTGGAGGAGACGAACGCATCAGCGTGACAGATTCCAACAGAAGTTATGGTAGTCGTACAATGGTCGTGAAAGCCGCCCCCTTCGAGGAAAAAAGGGGCTGGATTCTGGTGTCAAAAATGACGGAGAAAGTTGTAATGGCTTTGGGAGGCTGGCCATTGCCTCAGCCGGCACGCTTCGTGTTTTATTGCGCGTGGGTGTTTCTGGATCAAAGGAGAGCGTAGAGTATGCATCCTTATTTCCGGGGCTAAGAAAAAGACATTTCAACCATTAGAACCGTAGGAATGGCAACACAAGCCCTTGCTTTAAGAGAGCTTGTGCATAAATGCAGCCAGCAATACGAACCTTTGAGGGGTAGGGAGATGACTGGTGAACTGCAAGTTGGAGGATACCTTTGTTCCGCGGTGAGCCGGAGAGGAACTAAAACGCATGGTATCTTCAGCATCCAAACGGAACGGCAGGAGGAAATTGACATACTTTGGCGTGGGTAAATGTTGTCGCGCAGCAACCCTCTCGGCAGCCATCTCTAGAGCAGAACGATTGTCTTTACAGGGTAATAATGTACTCAGAAGGCAGCATATATCGCAAATACTATCCACGTACAAGAAGAGGATGAATCCTTCGTGCTCCCCTGTTCGAATTCCGGTTTCGCATGATTTGGAGTGAACATTCAATGGTTTCCTGTGGACAACTGATAGGCGTTATGCAAGCAGTGCACTACAATACAGGTGTCGCGATAATGTGAATGAAGATTGCAGAGAGAAGGAGAGGAAGAGGGATCGCAGAATGTTCAATGTTCAACGTTCAAGTCTCAGACGGGAAGCCCAACTGCATTTCGCTTACTAATACACTCTCGATCACTCCTCTCCGCATTAGGAAGCTGAAGGACCTCTCAGCTTGATCGGAGATTCTACACACTTGCATTCGAAGTAGTGCATCTAGAAGATCATGCATATTTTGGTTTAGGTTGTATAGCTGCACGCGTAAGTCCACGTTCTGCATGAAATTATAGACTTTTACATCTGACTGATGGAATATTCAAACCCGCCATGCTAATACTTAGTCGTAGTATTTGGCTCAACACTACGAGCTGGCAATGACGATTCACGCTGTCGAATTTTATTCTGGCATTGGTACGCGGCAACTTGACGGGTCTATTCATCTGACACGACATGTCATGTAGGCGGTCTTCACAAGGCTCTCGATACCAGCTCTGTTTCGGGTTCTGTCATTCGCGCTTACGACTGGGATCAATCAGCGTGCCAGGTTTACGATGCAAACTATGGAAAAGGCATTGTGAAGAAGGTGCGTACACATATATCAGAACAATTAAAACCGATCTTATACTTTGTTCTGATGTACAGGCGGACATATCTAAACTGACAGCAACTGAGCTTGCTGAACTGGATGCAAAACTATGGCTTCTCTCGCCATCTTGTCAACCGTACACAGTCTTGAATCCAGAGGCAAAAGGCGCCACCGACCCAAGAGCGAAGTCGTTCATACATCTAATGCACAATGTACTTCCAGAGCTTGTCTCGATGAAGCGACACCCATCTCACCTGCTGGTGGAAAATGTTGCTGGATTTGAGGTGCTCGATCACGTCCTACATACGCCGTTCATCAGCTGAGACACTTCTCACCACAAAGACATCTACCACACGGCAAGACCTTCTTCAAATTCTGCATGAACTTGGATATTCAATTTGCGAACTCTTGCTGACGCCACTGCAATTTGGTATTCCAAATTCTCGCCTTCGATACTATCTCCTCGCGAAATCGGACCGTCGACCATTTCCTCTTGTTCCACATTGTCAAAAAGTGTGCAGACACATACCAGGCCGGGGAGTGGACTGGGAGAATACGAGGATGCAGCCCGAAGATGAAGATTCATCGATCAGAGAAATACGAGAGTATATTGACGACGACTTGTCAGAAGATGACATTCACCTGTATTCAGTTCCTGATCGCGTGTTGGAGAAATGGGGCCGTTTATTCGATATTATCCTACCTTCTTCCTGTAGAAGCTGTTGTTTCACGAGAGGTGAGATTTCAGGATTTTCACAGCTATAGCGCTAATGGCGCGGATTCAGGGTACACAAAGATGGTCGAACGATCAGGCTCTGTCCTGCAAATGAATGAGACACTTGACGTAGGTGTCCCAATTCTCGTCTTTACGTTGTAACGTTGAGTCACGTATCCATTTCAGACTACGGTTGTGTTCGACACGTTTCTGAAGCGACAACAGGTCGGGGATCCGAGCGCTATTCGTATTTTGGATGACTTGAAGCTTCGATATTTTACGCCTGATGAGCTTCTTCGTCTCTTCTGTTTTGAGCCAGTAGGTTCTAGAGGCAATGAGCGGCAGGGCTTCGTATGGCCGTCAGCGGTATCAATAAAGACACGGTATAAACTTATAGGCAACAGTGTCAATGTACGAATCGTAAAGGAATTGATTGAATATCTGTTCGAAGAATAAAAACGACATGTCGGCGTGATCTTCAGGCGCACTTCACGATGAATGCACATTGCGCTACAATCAAAGATCTAAACAGGGCAGTTTGGTATCCCACTGAAAAGGAGCCTGGGCAAGGTCTATTACCCTTGAATAAATAAAATTTACTCGCAGAGCAATATAAGATATCTTGTAAGTCCAAACATCCTACCCTGATTACAACTACTTCGCAACGCCCTCTATTGTAACTTACAAGAGATAGCCGATAGCAACTGCAACCGCACCGGCGAATAACACCCAAACCCTACCAGCAACCCAGCCCATCATCTCAGCTCCACTGGCGGAAGTAGTTCCGGATGCACTCCCAGTGGATGCTGGAACCGCTGTCCGAAGTCGTGCTGGTCGTGTTTATTGCCGGTTCAATAGGGAAGAAGGTGCCAGCAACCGCGTTACCTAAGCCTATGGCAGCTCTTCTGTCCTTGGCCTTCATATTCACGTCTCTGTCGCCCCCAACGCTGCTGCAGCGTTGTTTTTCTGGAGCTTCAGCTTCCCGGCCCATCCATCGCTCCCTGGTCATGATCTGACCCCCTCGAGAGCATCCCATCCCCTCTGCTCCGCTGGGCACCATCGAAAGAGAGACGGAATACCTTGGGACGATAACATTCAGTCTCGCGTTCGACTGCTCTATACGTCTAGCTAGGGTGCCTTTGGGCGCGGTTAGGTGAGTATTTCCTGCTTTGATACTGAGTGATCGACTATTATCGTTGACTCTGCAACTCTTCGAGTCACACTATATGCTTGTCTTTCACGCGAGGCTTTCTCATTTCCCTTCATACAGATCTGTACTCGCCTCTCTTCCATTGCCACTGTCTGGCTGGTCTTTACAGTGAAACATTCACTGGCTCGACGTCTCGGGGATCTTGGCTCTATGCTTCAACTTCACTCGCTATTGACGACACCCCACGGATGATCCTCGCTCAAGCTTCTCTCACGCTTCTCGGCGACTTGCATTCTACGATTCACATCTCCACGCGTCTCCGTATTTTCCTCAAAGGATTCCGTTGCCTGATTTCTGTATTCCGTCTGTCCTACACCGCTTCGACTTGATCATTGAAGCATCCATCTATGGCCATCCAATTCGGTACCCACCTCAGCTTACGGACAACACCAGTGACCCTGTAGGCGATGCAGACATGTGTTGTAGGGCTGTACATATGAGGCTAAGATGATAAATCAGGTGTGGAGGATCTTAGGCTATTGGTAAGCCAATGCACGGTCTTTCTCGCCCTCACTGGCCCTCACCGCTTCTCCCTCTCGTCCCTGTTCTACTAGTATCCATCAGTCATGCGTATTTGGGTTCTCCGATACAGGTCAGGGCCGCATCGTCTACGCGAGGATCCGATCAGCTAGGGTATTTGGGTTCGTCAGCACCTTGGGTGCACCTTCTCTTGCATGAGGACTGCCTGCGTTATCTGACCGTATGAACATAGGATTCTGCCGTGCTCTTCGGACTCACAACGGGAGAGTAATGGGTGAGAATGAACAACATGTACGGTTATTGCGGTGGAGTTTTATGTTGAGGGCTGTCGATATTGCGACGGCTGTCCTAAATGTACCGGCATTACTTTCGATCAGCTTCGCACTCTGTATTCTTCTTCCGCATCTTTACAAAATGCTGCATCCTCGTGCGCTTCTCGCTCGTCAATCTGAGAACCGCCTCTTGCATTCGACTGAACCCTAATACGGCGATTAGATCGCTCCGGGGCTGTGAATGTACGGTGGTGCATATGAGGTGCATGTATCGGCGTCCTAGAGTTGTCAATAAGACATATATAGAGGGGTGGGGTGAATTGGCCTCACATACCTTTCCCTTTCAACCACACCACTTACCCTCACTATTCTGAACTGCCCCTTCTGTGAAATTTGACCATGCGAAGCAGAAGACAACAGAGACTAAAGGAAAGAAAGCGAGTAAAGAGAACAAAGGCAAGAAAAAGAGTAAAGAGTAGAAAAGTCAAACAGCTTCCATTGCTGCCCTTGGAGATACAGTTTGAAGTTATATACTGGGTCTATGCTTCAGACCAAGCCTATTGCTATTACAGAGTGAGTTGAATATGTATTTTTGATGTTGAGGATTCAAGGTTTTGATATGCTTTCTGTATATATAGCAGCTCAATTTAGCTGCATGTTGTCGCACTTGTCATGCCTGGCATTCATATGCATTGCCCTTTCTCTATGGACATATTGGGCTAGATGCTATGATACCAAGACAAACTAGTCAGTTATGGAAAACATATGCACATTATCAGAAGACATACTCTGCATATTTGAAGAGCCTTGAAATTACTTTTTCAAAGCACAATAGGAAATATAAACTTATATCACTCTTTCCCATCAGATTTGATAATATCACCCATCTTACTATATCCAATCTTGAACTTGCCTGGGCTCATCTGGACTTCTTTAGAGGACTGGCTCTTCTGCCAATACATTGGTTGAGTCTAAAGGGTACTACACTTTCAATTAAGCAGTTTCAAAGAATGTTGCATTCATGTTCTAAATTGCAGCATCTGAAACTCTGGGGAATATATATATCTTCTACAATTCCAAGTATTGCTAGAATCAATGCAGATAAAAAGCAGCTCAGACCTAGGTTGAAATTTCTGCAACTAGACTACTCACAGTCATCACTATTGCAGTGGTTATTTGATAGAAACTATATCTCTAATCTTGAATTTCTTTCTATCTGTTTAAAAAGTGAAGATGAATTGAGAGCTGAGTATGTATCAGCAATCAATCAAGTTCTGTCAAGCTCTGGATTATCATTGTCAAAATGTTGCATTGACTTACCTGAGAATGCTGAAGGTGAGAATTGTCTCACATTTTTATTTTTGGATGTTATTCTAACTACTTTGATAGCTATTAATTTTCAGCATAATTTGTGCTTGCAATATCTAAGTGTAAGAGTAGAAAAAGCAAATCTTTCAAATGTATTAGCATCACTTTTATCTGTGCATTCAAAGATGCCAGTAACTGTGAATCTTAAAATACCATTTGAAGCTCAAAAAGACTGTCAACAGCTTGAATCAAGCTTATTAGCTATAAATAAAGCTAGTCTCAATATTAGCTTCTCTTATATAGCTGAGAGAGTCAAATGGTATCAGCTAAGATAGAACTCATATACACTCAACAAATCTAGACACTCAAATATTACAAAAGAGTGATATTTGTATAAAATTTTTAATACCACTTTCTTAGCCTTTTTATTTCACAATTGAGCTGCAACATTCTGTAGAATAGTTATATACTTAGATGACCTTGCAAATAGATTTTCTAAAAAGAAATATGTTTGAGAGATGTGTAAGAGTAATATTAAGAAAACTGGCTGAGCTCCTAAGTATTATAATGAGTTCTCACAATATTTTTAGCTCACATAAAAGGGTAGTAATATCTGTATAAATGTTAAGATATCTAAACAGTCTCTAATATACAAACATTTTATATAAATATTATTACACTTTTATATGAGCTAAAAATATTATAGAAATCTAGTAATTAGTTAATCAGAATGCAACCTGAGGCTGTCACACTATAGTGCAATGGTCAAGCTCAATCAACTCAGTATAATAACAATAGTGGCACTTAGTGACAGCTGATTCTATTATAAATATAGCAAAGTGTACTTTTGGAGCTCTCAAGAATCTTTTGAACTGTGATTATACAAGCTAGAATACTTGCAGATAAAGTGAGTGAAAGTGAAAGAAAAGTGAAGTGAAAGAAAATATTAGTTCAAATCTAAAACTATGTCCAAATAATAGTACTGACCATTATGCAGAAAAGCATTTTCAAATTTCAGTCACTGATCAAAAAGAAACAATATTCTTCAATTCTAATCTCTCTCTTGTCAAATATTGAAAATCTCAAAACTGCATTCTAATATTGTTTTCATATTATAACACTGTACTGAGTAAATGCTTGATAGCTATCACTTCTGCAATCAATTCACCTATTTCTGGTATCAATTATTAGCTGCTATTGACTTTTATTAAAGTTAAAGATCTATTAGACACATCTTCACAGATAGTGCATGACATGCCTCCAGACTTGATAATACATTACTTTAACTCAAGATAAGTTAATCAAGCTTCTATAACTTAAGCATCAAGACTAATTCTGATATTGCAGATATGAAGAATTCTGTTTGAGGCAAAGCAAGTGATATTAATTCTGAAGATTTATCAATAGTGACTCAGACACTGGCATTACAAAAACTTCAGAATGTCCTATGACCTTCACAGAAAAGCAGTTGGAGATATAAAGACTCACAGCTCAATAGTTGGATATAGTCATATCTTGAATATGTGATAATATTTCTATACTACTATATAGATGAATGCTTAGATATAAGAGAAATGTGAATGGCTATATCAGAATGTATTATAGTTGGACTTGAAAAAGAGAAATACATAGCTTATATACTATGATAGAAGGCAAAGATATTTATCTGTAACTGTGAAAGTCTTTCAACTAATCTATATGATATATGATATAAGACTTTAATTGAAGATCAAGAATTTTAGCAGAAGCTTTATTTTCACCTTCAGTGATATGAATAGTATATTTATTATCATACACCAAAAGTGTTTAGTGCAAGATAGAAAAAGAAGAAACTCAGCATCAAAGATGTTCAGAACTTGTTTATAGAATCTATCAATATTATTGATAGATAATCTTGTTAATAATAAAGTCAGTTCTTTAAGACTTTGTTAATAACTCATTAGCAAGCACTCTTACTACTAAGCCTACTCTTACTTTGATTTATAATTATTCAAGGCACTTCAACCTTCAACTTCAACAAGTCTGATTTAAGTATTTCAAAGTCTAACTTACTGCACAGCATTCTTATAAAGCAAGCTCAAGTGGCTTATAAATTATGGTCATATAGACCTAGGCCTATAAGTTCTTACTAATTAAGTGTCAAAAGCTTATCAAGCATATTCTATTTCAAGTTCTAGATCAGGTAAGATTATTCAGCTTCATTCTGATTAGACAAGAGTTAGATTAAGTCATTTCTGCTAAATTCTAATTGGTTGAAAGAAAAAGAGGCTTACTAATATAAAAAGAAGCTAATTTATTAAAGAAAGGCTTAGTGGAACCTAGAAAAAAATATAT